GCATCCAACCTCAAGGCCTGAAGAAAATTTGTGCGCTCCCTGCCTCTGCCATGACTGCCCCTTGCCTCAGTGCGCAAATGCCAGGAATCTGGCAGCGTCCTTTTTACGCCACTCTGTCGGTGCCAAAGATACACGCAGTACAACTGTTCATTGCTCCTCTTACATTTTTGTGTGTGAGTGCGCCTTTAGCTTGGATGGGTGTGGGCGTGAGCATGTGCAAGACTGCAAATTCATGAGGCGCAAGCGGCATCGAGATGGAGCCGAGCTGCCACTTGAAGTTCCCCAGCATCGGCCCAGCATCGCTTTCGACTACAGAGGCACCGGACGAATCGATACGAAGAACTCCGCTGGCGCGGTCTGGAATGGCCTCACTCGGGTGACTTCTGGCGCCGCAAAAAACAGTCAGCGTGATTCCCTCGGCCCGTGGTGCCAATGCAAAAAAAGCACTTCCCGTCACGATTGGTTTCATTCCGAGCCACATAGATTGCCCCATCTTTGGCAAGCATCCCACCCTGCCACTTGGATTTGCCAGGCACCTGGAAATTCTCCTGGCAGCTCAAAGGCTCGGAAGGCCATCGGGGGTTTTAGCAGGGTCGCGTTCAAGCCAAGGTGCCATGAGCGAGACCTCGTTGGTCACCGTATCTATCTTCAGCACGGAATCCTTGACGTCTATGGCTGAGACACGCAAAGCGCAAAGCTTCAAAAGTTCAGAGACTCACATCATCCACTAAGCAACTTGCAGCATTTGATGGAAAGCCATACCTAAGCAGGAGCAGCGCTGGCCACATGTTGTGCAATGACAAGCAGCTTCCGTCATGGCATGTCTTCGAGTTCAGACGAAGACGGGTCAAAAACGTGTCACATATGCACGAAGCACCGCCCACTTGCTTTCCAGGCTACACAAAACGCGAGTCCGCAGCTCCGCCACCCCATTTGAATGGTTTTGGCGACAGCTCCCCCAGCAAAGTGGCACCTGACACGCAATAGTTGACATTGGGAGGGAACCTGTCGCGAGCCTCCACCCGGCTGGATCTTCAATACCTCACGTGCTGTACAGCTTCACGCCATGCATCGCTTGCATATGCTTGAATTTGGACACTCCAGCTTGCTCGTTCGTCATGTCTTCCTCAACTTGGTACCATGCCTGTTGGGCATGTGAAGGAATGCCATAGATCGCTCCATCCGGGCCAATCGTGCCACCTCAGAGACTCCAACGGTAACATCGTGCGCTTTAGCGCCTTTTGTAGTCTGGTTTTTGCAGGGAGGCCCACCTATGTTAAGACCGCGCCCATGTGTTGAGCTCCTGACCATGCCACTTCCAGCTGCCCTCTGGCAGCTCCCCGAACAATGAGACTTCGCCGGTGTCCGGAACAATCCTCAGCGTGAGACACGCAAACCCCGCGTTGGCAGGTGACAGCTGCCTCACATCGCCTGAAGACAAAACGATCTAAACCTGGCAGGCTTCTTCAAGATCTTGGCGGCATTGTAGGGGATGCCATAGATGGCACCGTCATTGCCCAGTAGGCCACCTTTGCAACACATGTGGACGGCTCCAAAAGGGGCAGCCCTCAACACAAGTTCAGTATGAGCAACACGTTGACATGTTGCTTCAATACATTTGTCGTAGAGGCAAGTCCTGCTTGCAACAGGTGCCTTCTTTGTCCCAAACAACATCGAGAAGAAAACGCGTGGTTGGCAAGAGGATGGTCACACAGTAATTCCGAATTACTGTGTGACCATCCTCTTGCCAACCACGCGTTTTCTTCGCGAGCCAGCGCCGAGTCGCCGTACCACTTGTTGCAACCCTCCGGAAGTGCTCCAAGGACGCTCACCTCTGCGAACTTCCAAGTTCCACATGGCTACGGGTCAAAATAGGGGGAATGGTGGTTGTCTTTTTGGTCTCCCATTCCCCGCACTACCAGGTATGTCCGTTACACACCCCATAGTACCCCCCCCTTTTCACTGTGTTTCACTTTCGTCTAACCTCCGTATTAGTTGGGTCAAAGAACTGTCTGAGCCATTTTGCAAAAAGTGTTTGGCCAGGCTGTTCCAAAAATACAAATTGGGTCAAAGAAGATCCGTCTAAGCAAAACTGGGGAAACAATTTGGGGAAAATTAGGAAAACGGCCCCCATCAAAGCTTTTCTGGGGAAAAATGCCCAAACAAAAAAAGCGCTCCCCTTGAGCGTGCATTGCCCCCCCCCAAAAACAAAGTTGGCAATACTAAATGTTGTATTCACGGCACTGAATTTGGCATTCTGAATCCAAGATCAAGCGTTGGCAATGCTGTTAGGTTGAGGGAATCTAAGACTAAGTAGTGGCAACTCTAAGAAAAAGCATTTCATAGACCATGATTACAACACTTTTTGGATGAGGGTGACAAGCGAAAAGCCCACGTCGGGGCTAAGAACAAGGGGCAGGGCGACACCTTGCAAATCTGTCGATGGACTCTCACCTTTGCAACCGAGTCGGCAAACCAGATATATCAAAACAAAAAGAAAGAGAAATCGAAATTCTACCATGGAGAATCACAAAGGAGAACTCATGGAGAACTCATCCCACCATGGAGAACACCATGGAGGACTCATCCCAAAAAAGGAACGCCGCCCCCGAAAACGGGCCGCGAGCTCTGCGACCGGGAGTGCCGGTCGGCCGCTTGTGGCTTGGCTCGGACAAATGGGCTCCGGAGTTCGGAGTTCTCGGACCGCGTTGGCCGTACAGAGCGAAGGGGTTTCGCGGGCCGTCAGCTTTCGACTTGAGATCAGAGCTTGTAGATCTGTTTAGTTCTCAAAACACGGAGTTTAGTTGCTGAGTGGAAGAACAAGCAACGAAAATACATACATCTTGTCCAAACCCATTTTGCAAAGTTGATACATTTCCCGGTTGATGTGAGTTCAGAATCTGGAGCTGCTTAGACCCATGTAACAGCTATGAATTGGGGAGGAAAGTCTTTGTCTCAGTTGTCAAACACACCCACATGGCCACGGCTCAAAGCCAATGGCTCCATTTTGAGCTTGGGGATTGGTGGATGTTCACTGGGCGTACCTGGCGACGATGACGCTGAACGACTGGGCCTCCCCGGTCTCGGGCACCACTTTCAGGACTCCTCCAGCCTGCAAAGTCTCGCCGGCCCCCTTGCCCCCGTTATGGCGGGAAGGCGACACACGTTATGGGTGTGTCTGAAAGGGTGGGAAGCCCTCAAAACAGGTGGTGTCCCATGCACTTCCTCTTAAAATCGGTGGATTTCTTTCTTGAAATCACCCCCCCACCCAGGGCACCGACTCCAAAACAGGCCGCTTTTCGTATGCGGACGGCAGGCGTTGCAGGGGATGCCATACACAGCGCCATCCGGCCCCAGCACTCCGCCATGCCACTTCCAACGATTCCAACGGCCGGGAGGGACCGGAAGATGCGAGACCTCACCTGGCGATGCCAAAGATAGCACATGATGTCAAAGAAGGGTGTTCTTTGATGGCACCTGTTTGTGTGTTCTTTGTTTTGTGTGTGTGTGTGTCTTTTTGGAGGGGGGGGGGGGTTGGGCTTCTAAAGGGAAACCAAAAGGAACCCACCCATTTCCCCCTATTTTGACAGACACGCACACAGTCACACCCACACGGCATGTTGGCCCAATCCTGTGCTGGGCTTTATCTTCAACACCGAGTCGGCATGGGCGGGGATGCCGTAGATACCTTGGCCAGCAGGATATCACAGCTTGCCCTGACCCCCAAGTTGCATTGCACACCAAGGGGCAGCCATCGCCAGCTAAGACTCCTCGGAGCCATTTGAACTTCCCATCCAACCTGTAGAAAAGCGGCGTGCTTCATGGGATCACAGAACAAGCCCCACCTGGGGCCTATCAGTTGAACTTCCTTCGTCTTGGGATCAATGCCTTTGCAGAGATGCGCTGAAGACAAGCGCGAGGCGCGAGGCGCAGCCAATTTCCGAGTTGCGCAGCACCCGCTTTGCATGGCCAGGGATGCCATAGATGCTGCCATCATCTGGGTACGAGGACCGCAGGATTTTGTCTTTAGTTCCATTTACCAGGGTTCCATTTTGGGTACGCGCAGCTAATTATCTGCTCGAATGTCTCTATGCCAGCTGACCCAAAACACACCTCTGTCCCTTGCCCCAATCATGGCCGCCTGCTCGTGCTCCGCCCAGGTACTTGAACTGGCCCATGATGGGACCCCCAAACGTTCGCACACCAGGCCTCGGCCACTGGAAGACACGCCCCCCACCTCCAGCCAGACCCTTCCTAAGCACACCGATTCGTACGCTGACAGCACTGCTCGAGCCCCCAGGCCTCAGATTTCTGTACACTTCGGGCCTTCGAATGTGGACCCATTCATCAACCCCTGTTTATCAGTAGGTGTTCCGAATTCCCCTCGTTTATTAATAGAAGGTCTTGGACTATGGACCTCCAGAAACAGCTGGCCCGAGCCGCAAGAACGCCAAACCCGAGAGGGCGCTGAAGACCAACAGCGCGGTTTGCCTCGCACCGCACAGCTTCCGGGATAGCAAGCTGCATGTGCTGCGTCCCCGATAAACAAAAAAAGACTATTAAAAAAAATGGACATGCCTGGCATGCGCATATCCTCCGGGTCTCATTCCAGCTTGCCAGGCGTCCGCACGCTGCGCTGTGGCGCTATCTTCCAAGCATGCTCGCGCAAGCACACCAAATCAACCCGTCTTGAGCCACACAAGTGTGCCTCACTTATTTCGCGCAACATCACTGAGGATCAGCACATCTTCTGCTGCAATGGGGCCGCTTTTCCCGAAATGCGTTTCTATCTAGCCACCGTGCTATCCTCAAGCGTCTCAGCGCTTCATCAAGCAGGCCCCACCTGAGCCGATTGACTGCTCCTGTCAAAAGAGCCAACTTCCTGCATCCCAACAAGCCAACTCCAACTAATGATCAGTCAACTCAAGTCAAGAAACGTTGGGTCAGCCATCTAAAACCCCCTTGCCACATTGGTATTGATGCACATCATACCTGTGCTGTCACGCCGCCTCCGACTTTGCTTCTTCAGCTGGCGGCTCCGTACATTTGGTCTCGGTCTCCTGCTGGCAAAGAATACACGCAACGCTCCCAAACTAATGGGCAAACCACAAAAGACATGAGTCAGAATCAACACCTGTTATTACAGGGGGTCGATTCACTACCATGTTAACGCAACAAAGAGGAGTCGCACCGATTTCTAAAGCCTACCAATCTTGACCTATTCGTCGAGCTGCCTCCTTGTCCGCTGCAGGCGGTTCTGCAGACTTTGCCTTTCCGAAAAGCACGCCCAACTGAGCGCATGCACGAGGAGCTCTCAGGAGAGAATCATCTATGATGCTACCTTCTGGAAGTATCTGTGAAAAACGCGGAGGAAAAAAGGAAGAAGACAAGAGCAAAACCAATAAACACAAAAACAAAACGACGGTTCCAGTCACATCCGTCGTACCACATCCTCCGTAGAGGTTCAGTCCCTCTCTGGAGACCTCAGCCTTAAGCCACGGGCCTCCGGCGTTCCTTTGGCTGGCGGCGCGGATGTTGCCTGCGATCGAAAAGAAAAAAACAAAACAACCCCCCCCCCCCAAAAAAAAAAAAAAAAAACGCAACTCATAAGTCACAGTTGGCCAGGTGGAGGTTCTGGAGTCATCCGGGTCCAGCAGTCCATGATTGGAGTTCGTCGAGCTTGTCCCTTGAGCCAAGACAACCATGGAGTCCTTCCCTTTGAAGACACGCCTAGCCAAGGGTTCCCTCCAAGAAAACAAAGATGGTGTGCGCTGACACAAAGCTGCCTCTGGCTTGGCTTCAGCTGGCTCCGCAGGCTTCTCCTCAGCCCCTGACTCTCCCAAGGCAAGAACTTGACAACAGGCATCGATCTATGCAAGGGAAAACCAAAGAAACACCTCCCTTTTCTTTAGGGGTCGTCTATAAACAGAGATATGGCTGTGGCTCAAAAAACCGGTGCCCAAAATGGAACCCTGGCAAGTGGAAACATGGACCAAAACCTGCGGTTTGCCCCTCCTGTTTAATTTTGAGCCACACCCATATCTGAATGAGCACAACGCCAGCAAAACCTCAGCTGCGCAAGTTGACATCTTTGCGCCAAGATGCGTCTTGCTTTGCCCCAGCCGGCAGCTCTGCAGATTTTGTCTCGGCGGTGAGCTGTTTCTCGGCAGCCTTAAACAGCAGACTGGTTCAGATCGAAGGACCAGCAGTTGTGATTGTTCCATGCATCGTTTGATGAGTGGGACCATACCTGCTGGTCGATCAGGTCGATTTCTGAAGTCCGTCCAAGTGTCTTTCTGACACATTTGGAACCGAAAAAATGGTACAACCAAAAGGGAACCCAAAGATGTTGTACAGCAATGCATCAAAAGGGAGTGGACACTCTCGTAAGTCTGCCGTCGTACGCGCGGCCAAGGGACGAGCGGGCCACAATGATCAAAATGAGACGGGTTTCGCGGGGTAGAATTCGTGTCAGGGCGTCGTGCGAGACGCAACCGTCGCAATTGGAGCCTGGTGACCCGCCATGAGTTCCGGTAAGTCAAACAAAGCCCACTTTGCGATCTCTGTGCTCCTGTGAGGAGATCCGCAGCCAGCTGCATCATGGGATCGCAGTCGGTCGGCTGTTGCAGTGCCTGGCAGGGTGGTCCACCCAATCGTTCTGCGGAATGTGTTGCAGGCCAGGCAGCCTGCGGCGGTTGTCACAGGTTTTCTGCGAGGGACCGAAGAGAGCCCAGCCGACTGTCGCGCGGCGGCAAAAATACCCCTGTAGGCCGGCGATTGAAAGATGGCCGCGGGGACGTGCCAGGAGTGGCACAGCATGGCGCGCGAGCTTACGCATGGCCTCGAAGGAATCCCATCATGGAGTCCCGATGCTCCACGAGGCGCTTCTGTTGGTGTTGCCAAGGCGCAAACTGCCGGGACCAACGTTGGATGCGACGTAGGGGGGGTTCTGGGCCAGTCTACGCCTGTCGTGAGAATAGGGGGGGGGAAGGAGCCGTCTGCGCGTGATACAAAGCGATCGCTTGCGGGGCAAACTTGAAACAGGATCCACACAAGTTCTGGGCAGGTTTGGCAAACCTTTTTCTGCCTACCGCCCGCGCACCCCTAGCCGCGCTGGAAGGCGACGCTGTCTTCGTCGGTGGCCGGGAGATTCGTTTGAGTCGGCGCTGACCCACAGGGTGTTGTGCAGGAGCGAGATCTGTGCCCGTGAGGGTCACGTTGGAGAGCGGGAACAGGGGGTGGCCCCGGAATGTTGTCGACCGTAGGAGTCAGCGAGCAGCATGGCGAGGGCCAAGCCGCAGGAGTGAGCAGGCGCAGTATTTGAGATCGGGCGACGCGCGTGCGCCGGTGATGTCCCTCTTCTGCGCCGGAAAATTGGAGCTGCCCAAAAAGGGGCCTAGCTGTCAGAGGCGCGGGAGCGCCAGGCGCGAGGGGCCCCGACTGGAAGGCGTATAGTGTCCTCCAGTTGAAGCGAAGCGGGCGCGCCAGCCAGGACTGGGGGCGCGATCTCAAGGTCCTTGACAAGGCAGGTTGAAAAGGGGGGAGCCTGAGTAGCGGACTCGCCAAAGCAACGGTCCATCAAAGGAAAAACCCTTTGCGTTCAAAGATGCGCGCAGCACGGCAGGCACGCCTCTTGCTCGTCCGGCCCCGGACTTTCAGGACCTCCGAGTCAGCGCAGCTTGCATGAGCCGTGGACAAATCTGGCTCCTCGGGACGGCGATGCCACCCTCGGAAAGTCCGGGAGGAGCCCATGGGTCGGAAAGTCCGGGTCGAGCTCGGTCATCCTCCTCATGAGATCGAGGTGCACCAAGTCAGCGAAGGTCACAAAAAGGGGATGGTCGCGAAAGAGAATCCTTTTTGGTCAAAATGGCAAGCGGCATTCGGTGCGATGCACACAGGTTGTTCGCTTGCAAGGCATGACTTGTTCGAGTTCCAACTCGACCTCATCCGAAGGTTCTTTCGCAGGATACCATTCCTCTTAACACAGGTGTTAACCGCAACACGCCAGCTCAGGCTCTGTGCACATGTGTTGAAACACTCTTGCTGTGCTCGACAGGCGCTTGACACATCGTGACATATTCCACGAACAGTCCATCTCGGTTGCTTTCTGCTCCCCTGCTAAAAGTTTAACTTTTAGTGGTTTAACGGAAAACCCATTAGTTGGCAAAAAGTTAAAGTCCTAACATCCGAGCAAAATGCACCAAAGCAAAGTTCGATCACTGCTGTCAGGCTACCTCTGACGCCGATTCTGGCCGCGCCGCTGGCTTGGCCTTGGCGAATGAAGGAATTTGGAAGCAACATGGCTGTGGGTCAAAACCCTGTTCCCCCTGGTGAACATCAAAATAGGTGGTAACATGGGTGGTCATCCGCCCCAAAATGGAGGCATAGGTTATGACCCATGGCCACATCTTGACGGTCGAAACGTTCGACGTCTCAAACGACTGCTGCGAAACCGTGATGCCTGCGTCGCCTCCCTTTCATCGCGCCTGCAATGCGCATTGCCACAGTCTCTTGCCATTTCAACGAGTTGTTGCTTTGACAGAAGCTAGAGGGCGCTTCTTCTCGAATTTCGCATGAGCCCCTCTTCGCAAGCACTTGCTTGCTCATGTGTTCTAGCATTGGCCATGGGCCATAACCTATGCCTCCATTTTGGGGCGGATGAACACCTATGTACCACCTATTTTGATGTTCACCAGGGGTACAGGGTTTTGACCCACAGCCCATTGGCTTCTCTGGCTGGCCTGTACCGCGGTGCAGTGATCGCTCGATCGCGGTACCTCTCCAGCAGGGAAAACATCCAACCTGTGACTGGGCGCGTGGGGTCACGAGTCTCGGTGGCGATAGCCATGTCTCTGAGAATTCGGACCCCGCCAGGGCTCGCCCTGCCTCATCTTCCACAAAAATGCGCCCCTCCCTCTCTGCAACACACACATATATACACACACACATGTCACATGTCACATGTCACATGTCACATGTCACATGTCATCACATGTCACATGTCACATGTCGACTGCCACTGTAAAACTGTCCCACAGATCTGGCCAAGGCTTGTCAAACAGATCTGGCCAAGGCTCACAGGATACTGAAAGCCCATGTAGGGGTAAGGGTAGCTGTAGTTTCGCGGGTATGACCTGAGCAGGGGTCGACGAACCTAAAGAGCCGTCCGCTTCTCAGGCTCCGCGCATCTGGCTGGCCACCTCAAATGACAGCCACTTGGGGCACAAAGCACCCGAAGTGACTCGCAGCTTTGCAACGAGGCATCTTGAATCTGGACCTCTCTTCTTTGTTATTCATAACACAAGTTCAAGCTACCACTCTGCAAAGATGTCCCATGGACCCCCTTGAAATCTTAATCGTTGTTTCTTTGTGAGTGCTGCGTAAGAAATCTACTCTGGACGCACGTCTCCCCTGCCATGCTTGCTGCACGCTTCGCTGCGCGCGGCGTCTCAACGGTTCAGCCCAGATGCCATGGAGCTGATGAACTGCTGCTGCCACGCCGCCGCCTGGAAATGGCGCATCTATCGCACGGGGGGAGTCCCCTCCTTTCACATGGCTTCAAAAGGAATCCAAAAGGAAACCACTGGCAGAAACGAGAAACCAGTCCCTATTTCTCAGAGCAACACAAATGAATCAAACAGCCAGAATCACGGGCGTCTGAGTCACAGAAAGGCGGCCAAAGGGGCCTCGCGGCCCTCGTGATCACGTTCGCGGCCCTCGCGGCCGTCCCGAACCTCTGGCCGCGAAGGCCTGAGACGAGCAACGAGAAACCCGGCGACACCGGCGCCTCGGCGCGCCTGGGAGAGCTCGAAGTGGAGGACTCGTACTCGTCCTCCTCAGCTCCCGGAGGTGCCCCGCTGCTGGGCACCGCAGGCACAGTCTCCCTCTCGCCAGGCTGGGCTTCGGCTTGCTGCGAGGCTCGAGGGGACCTTCTGTCGGCTGACTGGCGCGGACAATCTCTGGGCGCTGACTTGGAGAGTCCTTGTCCCAAATCCCCAGGGGATTGCCCTGGCGTCCGCCGATCGGACGTCCGCTGCTCCGATGTCCTCCGCTCAGATGGCCTCCTCTCCGCTGGTTTGTCCTCTGGATGCCTCGCCACTGGCTGCTCCACAAACGGACGCTGCGCTGATGATTGCTTGACCACTGGCCTCCTTGGTGAGGACTTTGGCGGCAACCTCTGCGCTGATCGGCCTGGCCTCGAATTTCGTCGCCCGTGCCGAGGCGAGGATCTGCGCTCAGTCATTCTGGGTGACTGCCGGGGAGACCGCCGAGGCGACCGCCGGGGCGACCGCCGGGGCGACCGGCGGGGCGACCGGCGGGGCGACCGGCGGGGCGATCGCCGGGGGGACCGCCGGGGCGACCTCCGGGGAGATCGGCGGGGGGATCGTCGCGGCGACCGCCGCGGCGACCGCCGCGGCGACCGTCGTTGTGACCGCGGCCGCTGTGGCAAATGGCGGGGTGGCCGGTGAGACGTTGCCACCGGCGACCTCCTCTCCCCCTTGCGCCGGCGAGGGCTTCGGGGCTTGCCACCGTTCTTCCGGCTGGCCTTACCGCCTCAGCTTGCTCGAAAGTTCGAACACCACAACTTGCCAAGGTGTTTTTGCTCGAGTGCATGGCTAGGTAGGATAGGATGAGACTCAGGAGACAAAGCGCTGCCCCCTCGAGGCGCCTAGCTTTGCGACTGACCCTGCCTTCTTGTTCTGAACACAATCATGTCATGCACACTGTGGATGGCAACCTCTTGTGACGCACAGGCCTTCAGCTTGTCTCTCTTCCCGCGACTGCAGGGGATTCAGTCATTCTGCATGTCAGTTGGCAGTGTCTGAACTGGCGAAGTGCAACGTCATCTACATGTGTTGCTATGTGGAAAACCAATCTCAATTCTCGCTGGGTGTGTGTCTTTTGAGGGGCACCACAGGTTTGGTGGCTTTTTTTGGAAAACCAGAAGGAAAACCAACATGGCAGTGGGTCAACAATAGGTACCCAAACTGGCACCCTGGTAAATGGAAACAATGACTAAAACCTGTGGTCCATATCCTGGTGGTTTCATTTTGACCCATACCCACACCCCATGTTTGGTGGTCTGAATTGGGAAACCAAAAGAAAAACCATCATTTAGGGGTCATGGGAAAACCAAAAGAAAAACCAACATTTAGGTCATGGGAGAAGGAACACCACCACATCTCGGGGTCTGACAGAAGCGTCTCTCTCTCTCTCTCTCTGCGCCTCCTGCTGCGCTGCGCGCTGCGCAGCAGCACCGGCCGCCGGTCTCGCTGGCGCCCGTCTCCGCGCGCGTCCCGGCTGCGGAGAGGGCTGCGGCGCCGGTCACGGCTGGGAGGCCTGGCCAGCGGCTTCCGTTTGAAAGCGGACCTGGAGCCAAGAACCCTAAAAACCCGAGACCGTCAGTAAAGGAGGTTGCCAAAAATCCCCAAAAAATCCCTCATACCCCCCAAACTAGGCCCCCAAACTAGCGCCTGTTCAGCCATTGATTTTGGACTACGAGCCTCTCGGTGAACCATCGCTATCGCTGCTTGCTCAAGGAAAAGGCCACCTGTCTGACTCGAAGGTTCTCCAAGGGCCCTGGCTCATTGCAACGAAACCAAGTGAAGGCGAGCTGGCGGGTCAAAAACATGTACCAGAATGGCACAAAGACTAAGACCTGCGTAACCCTAAGTCGTTGATTTTGAGCCACGGCCATCTATTGTTTGCTCATTCTCTGTTTTGGAAATGCTTACTTAGTTCCACAAATGCCCATGATTTTACTTACGAGAGAATGAGCCAAGCAGTCTTTCTGCAGGTTGCAAAAAATGGTAGGAGCGCGGAAACACGTGTAATGAAGCCACCGTTCTGAATAACTCGAGGGTGGTCAGGTGGGGCAACATTTTACCGGAGCAATCTGTGGCCAACATGGGGGCAACAGATCAAAAACTAGGCTAGACCCAGATCTAATGTCTGTACCTGATTGATGCAGGAACGCAAGGGAAGTGTTGTTTGGCTGACTGTTCTAGGGGGATCAGAACAAGGGAAAAAAGGTGAGCCTATGCAAAACTCCACTTTCAACCAATTCCATGAAAAGGGTGGCCTGTGGGACAATTCCCACCAAAAGCCTGGCGCTTTTGCGCCAAATGATGGAAACTTCATGGGCCTCGTATCCTGAACCGAAGGTCGCACCCTTACGAATGTTCATCCAAGGCTTACTTCCTGAGCAGATGCGCAAAAAGAAGTCCAAAGTGTGTGTTCACTACTAAAGTGGGCTTTTCAGAAAGTTTAAAGTCCAGGAACTCAAAAAGTGAGAAGGTTTTAAGAGGAAGGCTACACCGATTTCCTGGCGCTTGGCATCCCAGAGAAAGAAACTGCAGCTTGGACAAGCAGCTGAACGATTCAATGAGTGTAGACTCAAAATACTCAAGCATCTTCTCCAAGCGGGACACTCTGCAGTCCACAACGCGATTGTTTAGGAGGTGACATCTGCAAATCTAGACCGGGAGTGGCATCTTGGCAATGAGGGCTCGCCTGGGTCCTCTTTCATCTGGACGTTGGTCTCCTGTCGCAAATCAATGACACTGCACCATGCTGTCCGTGCTCAGAAATGGTCCTTCCCTTGACCTCACCCGCGGAGCTACCTGAGACAGCCACTGAACACTTGTGCACAGGCTTTGCGGCATGCTGGCCAAGGACAACTGAAAATGAGAATGACTGGTGCACGCGCCATGCCTGTTCCCTGTGTTCTTGGCCCCTCTCTTCTTCGTTAGCCCTCTCAGCCATTAAGATCTTCGCATCTTGCTCCTTTGTTGCTTTGGCCGCACTGCCTTGCGGCCGCGTTTCTGGCTGCTGCTGTTCTGTTTCCTTAGCTCTCATTTCCTCTTCAATCGTTCCTTTTACCTCCTCCTCCACATCGTCCTCCTCTTCCTCTTCCTCCTTATTCAGGGACGCAACCTAGACTGTGTGACCCCAAAATCAAATTGTCCGTCCAGTGTCTCACGCTCATTATTGAAACAGCTTGCAAATGTTGCGTCTCTGAGAGCGTCGGTCCTCCATCTCTTCCTCTTCACTGCTGGCCTCGCTGGCCTCGAACTTGGGCTGCGGCTCCGCCGCTTCCGCCCTGGGCGTCGCCTCCGGCTCCGTCGGCTTCGCCGCCGGCAGCTCCGCCGGTGGCTCCGCCGGCGGCTCCGCCGGCGGCTCCGGCGGCGTCGGCGTGGGCGTGGGTGTGGGCGTCACCGGCGACGGGGTCGCCGGCGGCTCAGTCTCCTTGAGCTCCGGCAACGTCGCGGACGCCGCTGGTGCCGCCAGTGCCGCCAGTGCCGGCGCTTCGTGCACGGCTGGCTCTTTGATCCCTTCTCTGGGCTGGCTGGGCTCAGGCTCGCTGGCGCTCGCCAGTCTCGGCTCAACGTGTGGCTCTTTTGCCTCACGTTCCTGCATGTCCGGCCCTGGGCGAGTGTGCCAAGTGCGGTCTCGCAAAAATCCTTGCAGCCAGTGCCCAACCCGGCAGCCTGCACCAGCGTCAGCAGAGAGGACATTCACCGAGTCCAGAACCTGGCAACGCTCAGCCCTCTCATAGTTTCAGCTTGCCATGTAATCACAACTACTAAGAACGTGTCATGTCCAACGCACCTGCTCGCTGGTGACGTCCTTGTTCTTGTGTTTCCTCCGAAACGAACCACACCAGGTACACCGAATGAAATTGACGAATGTACAATTTGGGGAACGGCGGCTTTGCCAAGGCAGTCCTGCGTTTCTTTCTCTCCGGAACCCTCAGCCAAGGCCAACATGCACCAAACGCACCAAGGGGATGACGAAGAATGGAGCCAAGTGCAGTCTGGCCGCGCCCATTCAGCGACTCGCTTCGCGTGGGGCGTTTCTAGTGGACCTCCCGCACCACGGGCACTATTCCGCAGCGGCATCAGCAGCACAAGCAGCAGACGCAGCAGCAGACGCTGCTGCAAAAGATCATCATCATCATCATCATCATCATCATCATCATCATCATCATCATCATCATCATCATCATCATCATCATCATCATCATCATCAGTCACGCTCATCCCTCTCATCATGCATGACGCATGATGCATGATGCTTGGGGCAATGCCATGGTAAGGTGCATATCGCGATCACCCCAAGAGACGCCTAGATGCTCGGACGGCGCGTCATCGCCGACTGCAACATGACCTGAGCTGCCAGGGGATTCACAGGTATAAGCCGCCAAACAATTTCGCATCAAAATGTGACCACAATCAGACTGCTTGAATCAGGACTATCTGCCTAAAAATCAATGCGCACGACCTGTGAACGCAATGTAGATGTGATCAGAGAAACGCAATGCCATCTGTACCATGTAGTTATTTGGCCATGGGTCAAAATCCCGTACCCCCAGTGAACATCCCAATCCCCACTAAATTAGACCAAAATGGGTGGTGCACCTGCCCCAACATGGGATCCCATTGGTTTTGACCCACACCCATTTTACAACTCCTACAGTGAAGCTCGTCATGCGAAGCGCCTGATGCATGCCGTTGGTTCATCACACATGGCCAGAAGATCATGCGATCATGCGCCGTCAACGACGACCGGTTTTTGGTCACGGTGTCTACGGTGTCTCACGCAACGTTCCTTCCTGCCAGGCCCGCGTTTGCATGCCGAGATTTGCATTGCATGTCATGTGTGTGAATGAGCAAAGGCACAATCCTCCCTTTCTGAACAAGTTGCAAAGAGCTCTGGCCCTGCTAACGATGCTTGTTCTGTCCGGGCATCCACAATGTCCAAGTTCAAGTTGTTGCTGAGTCGGTTGGCGGTTGGGCCCCCTCGGTTTGACAGTTCTACGTGAAATCAGGTGGATACTGCGGCTGGCTATAATCTGCGAGCGAAATATAGACGCTATCGCGACACCCAAGTGCCAATAACAACAAACCACGTTGACTGACCCTGTCTGGAACCAGCAACGCGATCCGCGCGGAATCCGTTTCATCTTTTCCGCTCAATCGACGTGATGTCTGAGTCAGCTTCGTCAGGCTGGTTCATCCCATATCGACCCAAGAGCTCAAGCGAAGCATCAATGAAGCCGCGGATGGGACACGCTGCCCACCACCAAGGCCTGGTTGGAAAAGTCGGACAACAAGTCCGACAACGGCACTTTCCTGCACAATGTGATCCGAAGGTATGAGATAAATCGATACATCCGGCAAAAGCTGTCGAACACCCGTTGAAGTCTGCAACGCGTGAGCCTACATAGTTTGATAATTGCAGAGGCAACGCGCGCCAGTCGGAGAGAATTGAACAACTGTCCAAAGACGCCGCAAGAACGCCTCGCATAGCATCATCACGTCCGATGTCAAAATTGATTTGACATGAAGCCAGAATCAGGCGTCCAGTCCGAGAAACGCGGGAACTTTCGCCCGGTATTCTCCGGAAGGGCTTGCGTATTAACCACGTCCGGCAAGGGATCTTCAGCTTCGAAACCGCTATGCAACAACCAAAATCAAGCGCAGGCATGGGATTCACGATTCGGGCATGCGGGGGCGCATCACCGTCGATTCTTGCAGAAAAGGGTGCAGATGGGGGCGCAATGTCTGATCCTCTCCGCCAACATGGCCATCGACACGTGAAGTTCTCAACGATTGCGCAATCTAATTGTGCGAGACGGTAGCACGTCCGTCAAAATTATGCGGCAGTTTTCTAAACCTCGCCAAGCCCGAAACCAAAGGCTCAACGCTCGACGTCATTCATCACACAAGTGTTAACCGCAACCAACCTTCGGCTGCTGCTTCAGGCAGACCCGCTTGGTTTCCCTTTAAACAACGAGACGCTCCAGAGAGTTCGACAGCAACCAGCTTCGGTCCGACTGTGTTTCACCACACTGCCTCAAGTGGGTGGGATCGTACCTGTTGGTCTCTCAGACACCACTGACACAAAAGTAAAGTACAACGAAATAAAGGTAAGCAAATGCGAACGCACGCAAACCAAAATGTTGCACAGCAAGGTATCGAAAGGGGAGTGGACGTTCTCCCGTCCGCTCGATCAATGCTAAATTCAGTGACCGATAGGTACTGGGGGCGTGCAAAAGGGTGAGGGTGGGTGGGAATGAAAAAGATCTATTCCCCAAATGGCAAGCGGTGTGAATGCAGCACTTGAGATTCCAATTCAAGTGCAGGTTCAAGCCCTTTCGCTTGCAGTTGTTACTTTTAACACAAGTGTTAACCGCAACAACGAGACGCTCCAGAGAGTTCGACAGCAACCAGCTTCGGTCCGACTGTTTTTCACCACACTGCCTCAAGCGGGTGGGATCCTTGCACAGCAAGGTCTCGAAAGGGGAGTGGACGTTCTCCCATCGACTCCCGTCGAAGGTGAAGCCGAAGGTGAACGACCTAGACAAGGAGAATTCCTTACTGCGTGGCCGGTCTCCTGACTGGTGTCTGGGCTCTCACGAGACATGGGAGTCCAGTCAGTTTCAGGTGGAATGGGACTGGTGGAACTTTTGGAGTTCCTTTCCTCCGTCGAATCCGACGCGATGGGCGAACTCAATGTCGCCTATGATGCGGCGCGTGCGTTTGTGCAACGCGTGCATCGGTGGCTGCAAGATTTGCCAGCCGCGGGTGTCAAGGACATGTCACGGCGGCTAAAAGTGTTGGCATGTGTGGGTACACATGCTATGTGCAAAAGTAGTTGCTGACGGTTGCGCCAGGCGCAGTGTGCTCAAATAGGCAGTTCAAAGGTTGGTGGTTGCCTACTCTTCTGCGGATCGCGTGCTTGGCTGCTTCGTTATCACACAGCTGAAGGTGTGTGTTGGTGAGCCAGGGGGGCTATAAGGGCAGCCCATGCTTCGAGGAAGTAGATGGCGTTGGTGCCGTGGCTGACCGTTGAAGCTGTTGCCCGCCAGGTCCGTTCACCCTGTTTGCAGGCGTCGGTGCAAATGATGGTGAGGGCACGTGGTGTCGCTGAGGGTGATGCTCCGGAGGGAGCTACGTTGGAGGACGTTGGGTAGGCAGCCCGAGCCGGTTTGTCGATCTGGTTGGATGTCCTGTGAGCTTTGTGGCACAGGGCCGACAAAGCGGATCGACCGACTTGGCCAAACAGATGGCCGGTGACAAAATTGCACTTGCACGCGGTGCGTGTGGCGGTGTCGCTGTTCGTGCGTCCTTGTTCGAGACATTGGGACAGGGTCAGTGTCGGGCGTCGGGCTCCTGAGTGTGGCGCGCTCCCTGTGTCTTAAAGGTTTTCATGTGGAGACCGAGCAGCAAATCAGGCCACAGAAAGATGCGAAGGAGCTCTGTGAAATGTGTGTAGGCTGTATGGCATCATAGTCATCCACATCGTGGAGAGTGCGGCGAGGGCGTCGCCGAAGTGTAGCCCCACAAGCTCCCTGCAGACCCAATGCCAGAGGGCGGGGCTGTCTGGCGTAAAAAGGAGCACGTGTGCCACCTCTGGTTGCGCCAGCGGGAGTTGAGGTCGAGCTGGTGTTGAGAGTCGGGGTACTGGCGCGCGCGCTGGATGTAGTGGTCGGGCGTGTGGTGGTATGGGTAGCGCAGTTGGTGTTGGATGTGCTGTAGGATCCAGCGAAGCAAGGCCCGGAGCGGTGTCTGTCTGGTGTCAGCTTGCACCGGTAGGATGAACAGGCCCTCGGACTCGCCATAGGCGTTGGTCGGAGCGCGCGAAAAGATGGCGATGGTCAAGCGCCAGGGCGGTGCGGTCGTCGGCCTCGATGGTTGGTGGCAGAAGCCACTGGGCCAAGTCGCGCCTGAGTGGTAGGCGCCGCGTGGGGGGAAGGGGCTGGGTCGGGTGGTGTGGGCCGTGGCTGGGCCGGTGGTGCGTCCTGGGCGTCGGCATCTTGTTGGCGTCGGGGTACTGCTGGTCGTCCGTGGTAGGTGGCCAACTGCCTGGCCTGGCGTATCCCGAACGCATGGAGCGATCGCGTTTGGGTCGTGGGTTCCGCCTGCGGCTGTCTGCACGTCACCGGGGCTCCGGTTGGCATGAGGTAGGGCTGTTGGTATGCGCATGGAGCCGGGCTCGTAGGCCTCCGTCGGGACACGAATCGCCAGTCATGTGTCTTGAGTGGCGCACGAAGCGAAGACAAGCAAGGAGGTCGCCGTGCAACGTGGAGTCGCTGCGCACATGGTTGCAGGAGTCGCCACGGTCGCAGAAGGCACCAGGGTGGTGGCCGCGTTGTCGAAGGTGCCGGCAGCATATGTTGTCCCGGGGAGCCCATCTCCCCAAAAAAATCGGATGGAGGTAGCCGCGCGTGAAGTCGGAGGTCGGCGTGCGACCCCTACAACTGGAGTGTTGCACGAAGTGCATGCATACCTGGTTGCCCGGGAGGATGTTGCCCGCGCTAACGGCCTCGGGCAAGGTGGTGAGGTAGGCCTGGAGGGCATGGTACAAGCGGTGTGAATGCACACGACTCATGCAAGGGCACAGCACTTGAGATTCCAATTCAAGTGCGGGTTCAAGCCCTTTCGCTTGCAGTTGTTACTTTTAACACAGGTGGTTAACCGCAACAACTACCTCTCGCCTCAAAAAACCGCAAGCCCGCATACAAGCGCACCACCTCGCACGCACCCACGCAGACACAGTGCGACTCGCCAGTAATCTTTGAACCACGGCACGGACGGACCGCTCGAAGGCGGATTCCTTCGTTTGGCAGGCGACATCCAGCATGGCTGGCGGTGGCCTGCAACGAGCTGCCTTTGGGTCTGAGTTTCAGTGGGGGGCCCCTCAAAAGTGCAGAAAAATTGGAAACAGGTCCCCTTGGCGGACCTCCACAAAAATTGGGGGATGAAAACAAAAAGGCGCAGCGCCCCCAGTTTCTGAGGCGGGTTCCAACCCAAGACTCTCAACACCCCCACCCCCACCCCCACCCCCACCCCCACACCCACCCACACCCACCCACACCCACCCACACCCCCACACCCACACACACCCACACACCCACACACCCACACACCCACACACCCACACACCCACACACCCACACACCCACACACCCCAGCGCTCGCCAGTGTCGACGTGGCCGAATCTCGCGCCTGGGCGCCTGGAACGGCTCGTCCGGGCCCACCGCCACGTCTCGGCGCACCGCAGCCGCAGCCGCCGGCGGCGGCAACGCGCCGAGACTGGGCTGAGGACCAGCGCCTGGCGTTGGGAGTAGTCAACTTGTGGGACCTCCAGGGTGGGCTCGTTTTTCCGCTTCCGTGGTAAAACGACCAAAAAAAACAAGTGTCCCCTCCAGTGTCCGTCTCAAAGAACGGCAAAATAGCCGTTCCCCACCCCAAAAAACCCACCCCACCCCCCAAAACAAAAAGAGAGAAGAGAACAAGCAAAGGCATCGTTTCAAGGTCTGGCCTTGCATCTCGTCCTCGGACGTCGTCTCATAGGAGCTGCTCCCATCCTAACGACCCCAAGTGGATGCCCAGCAGTCGCGGTCACACAAAATCAGCACAGAGACGTCTAGGAATGTTCGTCCCCTTCTTGGATTGTATGGCCGTGGGTCAAACATATGTACCCATGGAACCTTGGTGGAAACTTAGACTACAACCTGCGGTCCCCTGGTGTAATTTTGACCCACACCCGTATGGGGAAGAAGAAAAAACTAGTCACAACAACCTCCAAAACAAAAGCTGAAGATGGCGCCCGCCGCCCGGTTCCCGCCCGGTTCCCGCCTCGGCGCCTGGCGGCTTCTTTGGCTCGCTGACCTTGAAGCAACACAAAGGGCGGTGGTGGGCAAAAATCGGTTGAGCCCAAAATGGGTTGCCCCAAACGGAACCAAGGACTAAAACCTGTGGTCCATATCCTGGTGCTTTCATTCTGAGCCACACCCAAATGTAATCCGAAAGCAAGAGGTACTCCCTGGGATTATTCGAAGGGCTCAACAAAGGTCGGCTTGAGGAATGGAGACAAGGAGCGGATCCCTGGAAATGTCATCCGCTGGCAACGAGACACGTCGCAACATGTTGTTGTTTTCTCGCTTCTTCGGTTGGACCCTCCAAGAGGCCGAGTGTCCCTTTTGGCTTGTGGCTTTTCTCTTTACAACCACCACACAAAGCCTCAATACAAAAGACTCACCCATATGGCCATGGGTCAAAATCCAAATCGTACCCCCAGTGAACATCCAAATCCCCACTAAAATAGGAAGCCTAAAATGGGTGGTGAGTTCACCTACCATTTCAAATGGGACCCCAGAAACGGTTTTGACCACCACACCCGCATGGAGACCGACATGGGCCATGCAGCCGTCGAAGGCCGAGAGGCTCCTTTCGCGCCGTGGCCAGCACCTCGGAAGCTCGACGAGCTCGGGCCAGGCGGGGGAGGTGGGGAGCGGGAACCGTCGGAAGAAAATCGAGGAGGCGAGCAGAAAAGGAATCAAATGGAGCTGGCGTGAAGAGACAAAGGGAATAAGATGAGGAATAGGAAGAGCATAAAGATGGAGCAGGATAAGGAAGGAGACGGAAAGATTACATGAGGAGGCGGCAGGAGAAAGGAGCGGAAAAAGAAATCGGCTGATGTTGCGAACAAGAAGGACAACAATTGTCCGGTCAGCGAATCCTTCGATTAGGTCCGGCAAGGACGGGGTCCCCATTCTTTGAATCGGGCTTAGGGCTGAGCCAAACCGCCCTCCTGTCTGACGTCCCAAAGGTACACATCAAACCATTCGAAAGAAGCCGCTTGTTTGGTGTGAAATCGAAGCAATCCCATGGCCCATGACCATAGGTGTCCTTTTTGGGAAATAGATGGCCCTGGTAGATAATTTAACCACCAGGTAAACCAGGGCCATCTATTTTTCCACCAAAACAACCAAAAAGGACACCTATGCCCATGACGCGTTTCTGTTGTGGAAACCCCTTCGGCAGTCCGAGATCTGAAGCTTTCGGCCAGGCGCTCGCTGCACTGGCAGCCATAGCGCCATGGAAATCAATTCTCACGCTCGTCTTGGCGAGCGCGCAGGCTCGGGACTGCGGCTTTCAGCCCTATGTCTTTTGTGGGTCACAACGGTTGAGAAACAAGAAAACGAGATCGCGCCAGCGCAAAAGAAGCTACTTGAAAATAGAAACCTGGCATGAGAAAGGCCCGCAAAAACTTGAGTCTGCCTGTGAATGTCCCTCAACGGCAAGCTATTGCCTGGATCCCGTGTCCGACAGTCCAGCGGTCGAAGCTGCAGGGATTCAGTCGACGGGCATACTCCGCACATCAAGGCTACGACAACGGAACGAGCTGCATCTCTGCGCTTCGCATTTTGCTGCACAATCTGTCTCTGGTCTTTTCGCTGCGAGTCGAGCGCAGCGTCGGGAGGCGCCTCAAACTTGCTGGGAGTGGCGTTGCCACCGATTTGTTTCATGCCCACGAATTGAGAGTCGTGCCACTTCTGGAGCTCCCTAGTATCTTTTTTGGTACCTAAGGCACCAATCGCTTGCAAAGGATCGACGCGAGACATGGAGGTCAAAGGGCGTCTTAGTACCGCGCTCGTCCCGAAAGGCCGCCACTTGGCTTCTGACCTGAAACGCAACTCACACCTGGATCCTCCATCGCGCTGCTTCGCAACCATAGGAGTCCTTTTAGGGGGTAATAGATGGCCCTGGCGGATGATTAATCCACCAGGTAAACCAGGGCCATCTATTTTTGTAGCAGAAGCAACTAAAAAGGACACCTGTGTTCAAAAAACTCTGCCGGATAAGCAAAAGGAGAGCTTTAACGTTGTTGCTCAACTCTGGTTTATCAGTTGAAAATGACCTTCGCTCGGATCACCCTGAGGTCACCGCTCTTTCTTGGAGCCTTTCCAGCCTCGGCCAAAAAAAACGTTTCGCCGCACTGAGCGCGGGACTCCTTCGCTGGCTCATTCAGCCGCCGGCCACTCGGTGGCCAAGGGCAAAAATGTCTCGGAAGGGCCTCAGGCGTGCAGCCCCAACGAGAGCCCAACCTGGCCAAGGCCACAAACGAACTGATCCATAGGGTTGATCAAAAGGTCCGTGATGCACGTGAGACATGAGATGACCATCATCTTGGGGCCCTGAATGGCAATATGGATCAACCCCCCAAATTCGCAAAGCACCAAGAATGCAGCCAGAGCCCTTCCATCTAGCATCCACTCGCAGCCTCAGCAGCTTGGAAAGGTTTTCGAATCTTCACATGTATCGCAGCGTGATTTTCCCTTCTCGGAAATCGCTCTTTGGCTGTGTCTTTTCCTAGGGACGCCATCAAAATTGTGGTTTTCCATTTGGTTTCCCCTCAAAACCCACCAGACAAGGGGTGCCTTCAAAATTCATGACACCCATTTGTATCACATGCCGGCAAAAGCCAAGCAAGAGAAACGGACCTGTTTTCGTTCGCGTGACCTGGGCTCTTGCAGCTCGCTGGGCTGCGCACTCTGCTGGAGCGACTGCGTCCATAAGCTCCGGCATACACAGGGACTGAGCAAGCGTCGAGAACTTATTCGAGTGATCAGAAAAAAGTATCTGCTTCTTTGATGCTAGACTTGAGCATCGGAGTTCAAAACAACGAAAGAACACTTACCATTTGGGTGTGTCTCTCTTTTTTGGGGGTACCCACCAAAAAGGTGGTTGTCCCTTTGGGTTCCCTTTAAAACCACCCCAACAAGTTGGTACCCTCAACACAAACCACACCCATTTGGCCGTGCGTCAACACCAGTGGTACCATTTTGGGGTACGTGCACCACCCATTTTTGTCTATTTTAGTGGGGATTGGGATGTTCACTGGGGGACACGGGGTTTTGACCCATGGCCATTTGTCGTGCTTTGCTCAGGCGGCGGCGCCGCTGAATTTGCTCTCGCCGAGGTTCAGCGAGAAGCTGAGCTCGGCTTCGTAGTTGAAACCTCGGCTTCGGCTTCGTGAGCCGAGCGCTCCGGGCTTTCCCTGTGAGCCCGGCCGTGGCGCGGCTGCTTGCGAACGTAGACGATGTGCGCCTGGCAAGCACAAGGCCTGAAAGGGGATTGTAAGAAATGGACGGTGTGCGCCCTCAAACAGTTGGTGTCCCCGTCAGGGCGTCCTTTTTTAACTTCCAACTAAAAGGGCGCCCCACCTTTTTAGAACCTCCTCGTCTTCGGAGCCGGGAACGGCATAAGTCCGCCTCGCCGCTCAGAGACTTCACCTTCGTGACCTTGGCAGTGACCTCGCCGGTACCCGATGGCAGGGTCACCTTGGCTGAGGCCCAGCTCGCTTCCCGAGAGTGAGCTGGGCCAAAAAAAGGTCCAAACTCTTTGTCTACTGAAAACGGCCTCCCCCAAAAGTGCAAAGCCCAGGAACTAGGAAGTGAGGCAGTGCATGGTCATTGGACACGTGAAGTGTGTTGAGAGCGACTAAAACAGTAGACGCGTGTGTGTGTGTGAGGTGAGTGTATTGAGGTTGCCCATCTCTCCCTTTTCTCCGACCCTCTTGCAGCGCGGCGTTGGAGCTTGACACGCAGGCGTCGCTCAGCCTCAGCTACAATCGCTCGCGTCTGAAGAACGTAGCAAAAAAACAAAAAACAACATGTTCTGTGCAGACGCGCGCACTCAGAGTTCCACTTTCTGCCTACCCCAAGATAGACTTAACCCAGTGGTTGATGTCCCCCAAAGGCAAAGCCCTGTGTAACATGTCCATCTTCTCCAAAAGTGGAACCCCACCTGCCACCTGCCACTCCCCTCTGCTCCACGCCTCTCTCACCCCTTAAGCCGGTGGCCAGGCGGTGAGCCGCTCCTTTGCCCAGGACCTCGGCTTCCAGAGCGCTCGCTCGAAGCGAAGCACCGCTTTGCTTGGGGCCGCTGCGAGGCGTCCTTCTCCTCCCAGGTGCCCGCCTGGTTCCACTCGCTGCCGGCTTTGGCCAGGGACGCCTCTTTGGTCTCCGTGACCTCACTCGACGCTTGAGACGGAGAGTTAACAAGCGGAGTCGCACGGCAAATTCCCTCTCTCCGTGCTTGGGGGGGAAAGGGGAGTCCCTCAAGAACCGACTTAAACACCCACTCCGCTTCCCCTTAGGTCAGCCTTGATCTGAGCCAACCTCATTGGCCCTCAGCCACCGGCCATCTGCGGCTTGGGCGCGGCATCCGACAAAACCTCGGCGCTCGCGTTCAGCCGGCAGATCTCCCGAGAGCCGGCAAGCCGGCAAGCGCCCGGAACTCGTTCTCTGTGGGGAGCTAGCTGCTTGTTGCTGAAAAAAAGGGGGGAGGGAAGGGAAAACCCAAAGACCGAGATCCAGTGGTGGCCAAAAACAAAGTAAACGAAAACACAGGCACATCCCACTCGCACCAATCCCGAGGTTCCGCGCAGTGCCCAGCCGGCCATGATAGTAGCCCTTTTCCCTGCACTTTTGATACCGCGCACATGACTCGCATGACTCACGCGACTAGACGTCACCCACTTTGGGGCCAAGGCTTGGTCTCCTTGAGCAACTTCTTGTCCTGTCGCATCCAATCGAAAGGCTCCCGTGCGATTTTTGGCTCCGCATGACGATTTGTTGGATTTCGCGCTCGAACAAACCAAAGCGGTCCTCTTCGTCCAGCTCATCTTCGTTCATCTTGACCACCTGGCGTTCTGGTTGCAAGATTCTTGAAACGACCTTTTTCTTGCGGCCTGGAATGGGAATGCAAGGCAAGGCATAGCGCGGCAGAACTAACAAAAATAGTCAGAAAAAGGGGTCTTCCAAAGTCAACCCAAAAAATCGAAGAAACAAAATGGTCCAAAAAATGGCCGTGACTAAAAGACCAGGTCAGCTCCGGTCGCATCGCTCTGGACTGCGGCTGGGCCTCGCCTCCTCAGGGCGCTTCGCCTCTGACGCCTTCTTCGCCTGCTGAGAGCGCCAGTCCTGGCGAAGCCAGGGGTCCAACACAAATGTCGATAGGATCTGGACCGCAGGTGGTTTCATCCTTTCCAATCTCCATCAACCGAAAAACAAATGGAGGAAAAAAATGAACAACTTCCCATGTTTCGCCCAGCATGCCTTACTACGACCAGGTGCCTGCACACCATCCAAGCCAAGGAGCCAGCCCTGTCCCAACCCTACATGGAAGGTTCTTTGGAACCTTTTGTCCTTGTGGATGGCCTTTTGAGAAAGCTCCCAGCGCCGCCAAACGGGTCGTCTGTAACTCTATGCCATGGCCCCAAAGAAAAGATGAGTCCTTAAGAATGTTCAAGAGAAGGAATTCAAGATTTTGAAACATAACCAGACACGCGGAATTGACCGGGAGCACCGCAGAAGTGTCCAGTCGATAAGTCCGGACTTTAGCAGCCATTTTGGAACTTGAGCAGCACAATCAATGCAATTGCACACGTGGCAAATCGCGCAGGAGAGACATCTACTCTTAGCCAAAAACTTTGGAACGGAGCGTCGAAACAAAGTCAGCACGCGTTGCCACCTTTTCCCTTTCAGTTGCAAGTCAACGCCAAGTAGGCTTTGCAGACATGTCTGATACGGGTGTGCCGCCAAAAGGGCGCAACCCATTGAGGGACTTGGCGTCCCTCTAAATCAAGTTCAAAAGAAGATCTACAAAAAAAGAGAAAAGTGGAATTCCCCTTTTCTTGTTGAGCCCGTTTTATCTGCACTTGCTTTTCACCCCCCCCCCTTAAGGCGCTGCTACCTCAGTGCACTCGGCAAGCCGCAAAAAAAACGAGTTGGGCGCTGCGAGAAGAACAAAAAACAAGGCGCCCGGCGCCGCGCGCTAACAACGAGCGCTCCGGGGGGCCTCCAGCGACAGCTCCGCGAGGCCCTCCGTGCTTCGGCGCTGGTTCTCCTCCTGCAACAGCCTCTGTCCAAAGCGGAAAGGCGTCAAACAAAAAAAGACTGGTGGGTGAAGATCGACGCAAAAATATGTATGATGCAGACATATATATATATATATATATGAAGTTCCGTCAAAATTTGTTGTTCACAGTAAGTACATTCGAATTTAGAGAGTCCCCTATCGTTTTCCAGCGTTTGGTCTGTAGCACAAAGGTATCGTTTTTTTTGACAGTCCCCTATCGTTTTCCATGGTTTCAAGCACCTTGAGCTATATGGATGTCCAAGTGTAGACTACTTTCCTTTTCCGTAAATTTTGACCGCGCTTCATATGTTTATAGGACATATATGAACACAAATAAGAACACCAATAGGGAAACCACCAAAAAAAAACTGCAAAAGCCGCCAAAAGCCGCAACAACACACAAAAAGCTGCAAGACTAAAACTTTAAAAAAGCCACCCACTGAGGGCGTTGCTGGTGTTGCTGAGATGCAGAAAGCCAAAGCTACAGAAGCCGCGAGAAACACACAAAATGGGCCACATCGGTCCTAGCGTCTTGGCACTAGCATGTGATACATCAGGGCACTGTGTTCCATTCCTCCTCCGGTTTGTCCCTCTCTGGCTTACCCTGCCAGTTATTTATATGACAACGTTGCAAGCCCAAAATGTTCCAAGATGTAGCGCAAGCATGAGAACTTCCCTCCTCTCTTCCTCCGCGTGCAAATCATATTTTGCCCCAAATGATGAGCAAATGTGTGGGGCCTTGCATATGAACAACTGTAGTCAAGCCTGTATCACGCGGGGGAGTAACCATGCGTGCGTGCATGTATGTGCATATATATATATATATACATACATACGTGGACATATATATATATATATATATGGTAGGTATACCACATACACTAGCATCCCGTACAAAACCCTTGTATTGGGAGGGGTCTTGGCATATGTCGATATGCACATGTATACATCATGATACACATGCTTACCTACATACAGATTGTCCTTTCAGACATAAAGGACGGCACATCGTTCTACACAGACATATATTTATATGTGAGGCAGAAGGGAAAGTGACACAAACAATTACGAAAGAACAATTCTGCCTGTGCGCTGTGCGAACAAGAAGGACAAGTGCCGGGCCTCTTCTCCTCCTCCAACTGCGCTTCCTCTCTCCTTTTTTGAGCCTCCTCCTACACTTTCAGTGCATATGAGGTGGCAGTGCAGCAATGCTTCGTGAGAGCTCGTGCGACCCAAGCACTCCACGCCTTCTGTTTCTTTTCTAGCTCCTCCTCCTTCTCTTTTGCCTTTTTGGCAAAGTCCTTTCAAAGTCGAGCTAGATCTCATAGGATTCCAAAGACTGCCACTTTCTATCCAAACCCAACGAGCAAAACTGCGTCCCAACCAGCATGATGTGGCTCATGTCCCCTCCTCAAATGAGATCTCATCCTCCCCAGCGTCTTTCCGTCTCTTAACCTGTCACTGCAGCCCAGCCAGGCCGGTCTTTCTGGCACTCTGGCACATGAGGTCTCACCAGTTGAGAGCCCCAGGTTTTCATTTTGGGGCACTGGCCTCCTCCTCATAGGCTGCTTGTAGCTTTCCAAGCCTGAGGTCTGGCCATGTACGACGCTGAATCAGAGCCTCTTCCACTTGTGCCGCTCCGAAGGGTTTTCGGCTGCCGACTTCTTGTGCTGCTCTTGATAGAGCCCGCCCTTCATGGCGGCGCTTAACCTGGGTCGTCAGCCAGACAAGCTCCGGAAGCGAGGCAAAGGCTTCGCCGCTCCGGCCTCTCTTTCTCTTGCTGCTTCAGGTCCTTGCAAGTTGCATAAGCAAACTGTCTGAATGTGGGGGTTCAAAAATTCCCAGAACGGCCCCCAGGTTTGACCATTTGTAGTATTGCAATGGCCGTAATCCCAAATCCACGTAGGGAAAAACAAAGGCGGCCGCAACTGTTTGCCGGCTGGGACTGTCCCTTACTACCCTCCAGTTATCCGGGTTTTGATTGTGTCTCAGGTGCCTCTCCCAGAAAACGTGTCCCTTTCGAACCAATCAAAAATGGATACCATTTCTCCAAAAAAAGACACACCCATTTTCTCATACTGGGCCTCATGGCAATGGCTCCGGCCAAAGAGACCTGTCCTTCAATCGCTCTTTGGCCTTCTGTACCATCTCTCTGGCCTGGCAAAAGCGACTGAGGTGTTGCAGAACGAAATAAAACAAACACTTGTGAGGCTCTTCTGGCACGCAGGCGTCAATTCACGTCAAACCGAAGGCCCCAATTTCGGCCAACAAAGAAGCCTTCGCGCCTTTCTAGATGCCCAAGTGCATTAAGTTAGAAAACACCGGCTCCCAACGGATTGCAGGCGGAAATTTGGGCGCTGCGCTAACCTTGGTGATGGATAGGGTGCTGATGTGTTGATATGGTTGATGGTTCATCGATCACAAGAGACGATTGAAGCTGCAAATGCCCAGTTCCTCGCTTGCATAGCTCGCTATGTGTTCTCCAGTCAGAACCCAAATACTGTACGCACTCGCCAAGACAAAAACAGAAGTTATGCATCAACATATCGGTGAGCCCCACAAAATGGTGCGTCTCTCCTCTTTGGGTTTGCCTTTGAAACCACCCCAAACTTCAGCACACCTTTTGCCTCAAACAAAAAGATTCGCGGAACTCGCCTTTCGCCTCAAAAAAACAAAAAAAACGAGCAGGAAAAAAAGAAAACAGGGAAAAAAGGAAGAATAAACAAAAAAACGGGGCTCGCGGTTGCCAGCCCCTCCTCGCGGTTGCCAGGCTCCAGCTGAATGAGGCGGGTGAGATCACCCTTGGCTTCCTCCAGCCGCCTGGATGTGGATCCCGGTTTTGACTCGTAGGCAACCCATGAAAATTGGGGGGGTCCCCCCCAAAAAAAAGGGGGAAACCCAAAAAGGGGAAACCCAAAAAAAGGGGGAAACCTAAAAGTCCTAAAGAGGCGGGAAGCCCCCAAACATGGGAAGCCTACTCACCCACGGCAACGGGAAACCTCAAGTCCTCTTCGCCAAGCCCTCGATTTGGTCCCCGGCCCCTCCGTGTCCAGCTGCAGGGCCGCCAGGCCCCGGCGGTACAAGGCCTTGGTGTTCTCCTGGATCAGTCGGCTCGGACGGAACTCGAGCCCAACCCGAAACAGAAACGCGAACGCGCCCTTTTTTTTTGACCTGGCTCTCGGCCCTGCTTTGCCAGAAAAACGCCGTAAGCACGCAGCGGTTTAAAATCACATCCCCACCAACACCCGGTCTCCCCGCAACTCGGGGGAGGTTTTGGTTGGTCGGAAACCGAAAAATGGACAAACAGCTGAAGAGTTAGACAAACAGTGTCAAATGAGACCTTTCTGCAAACTTTGCCATGTTTGGCTTCCGTTTGGCTTCCTCAAAAAAAAGCCACTCGTAGAAGAAGATCCAAAAGAGTCGTGTGCGGTCGCTGTGTCAGATTTGGCCGCGTATTCCACCTATTCGTTTCCCTCCGCGTGCGAAACTCCGACAACCGCCTCGGGGAAAAGTGTCGGCGGCATAAACCCGGGTGGCCAACCACTTGCGAAGAGTGGTAGATTGAAGGAAAATGCTCACAGGGTGTCCATTTCAGCCGGGCTCACTTGGCTGTGGGTCAAAAATGGGCACCCAAAATAGAACCCTAATATTTGGAACCAAGGACTAGAATCTGCGGCCCCCGGGTGGTTTAAGTTTGACCCACACCCATTTGTTTACAAAAAGCGCACAATTTGTAGAAGGGCTGTCCCCCAAATGATAAGCAACACCGAAACGGACCATTCGGTCGACTCGCCGTCCCGATCGATGGATTCGGCTCCTTCTCCAGGAGTAGGACTTTGCTGGCGTGCTCGATGGCTGGCAGCCACAAGCTCTGCTTGATGCACGCCTCCGTGGAGAGGAAACTGAGAGAAGAAACACCGGGGGGGGTCTGGGGGGTGGGGGTGGGGGGTGGGTTGGGGGGGGGCGGGGCAGCGGTTGCTAGGGAGATATATAGTACTCAGGGAAGGAATCGGGATTCCCCAAAAACTGGGAAACGTCCGCGAGATCAGATATCTTCCAATCAGAACCCCCAGCGTGGCATGTTGCATGTTCAGTGGTTGGAGCATCGCCGTTTAGCCTGAACTACCAGCAATGTGATCAACAAAAAGCCCACTCAGAAAATAACTCCTTTCAAGTGCGGTCCTGTAAGCGATGCGGACTCTCTAAAGGTCGGTCAATATTTCCTGTCTATGGTCCATTTCATGTGGGAGGAACTTGCTGACTGACTATGCATATTCCGACTGCAGCTCATCAAGCGACCTTTTCGTGCGCACCTGGGCCGAGTTCAGCCGCAAAGCCACGTACACTGCGGTGCCTGGCAGGGTCCCCACAGACCGAGCTGTTTGGAGCCAATGCCCAAGCTCAAACAGCGAGCCTCTCTTCTGAAGATCTTCGCCCACTTCGCCTGGATCCTTCTCCAGTAGCGGCCTCATGACAAAGGAAATGGGCGCTCAACAGCCAAATGACAGCAACTTCAAGTTAGGCCCTGGACTCGGTCAACTCCAAGCCCTCACCGTACCTTGCGGATCAAACGATCAAACGCAAGGTACGGCCAGCAACCCCACCCAAACTCCCCCCCCCCCACACTTGGGATTCTGTTTCGAGGGTTCCGGTGTTGCGACATCCCCATGTCGACACAAGACTCACCTGCCCCATGCGCAGTCCGGTTCCATGCCCAGTGGCCTCTGAGCGGCGCCGGCGGGGTCCCCGGCCTCATCGGCCAACGGCGACCCAAGTTCCGGCCCGGCCCGGCCGCGCCTTGAGCAGCGCGTTGCCCGCTTCCTTGGCCGCCTCCGCCGTTGCCACCCCTCGGCCCAGGCGCCCAGGCTCAAAGCAACCCCCCCCCCCCCCAAAAAAAAAGGGGGGAAACCACCGCATCGGGGCAAAAAGAGCAAACGGACCGAGGCTGGGGCGCTCTTCGTTGCTGGGGCCCATTGGCTCATCCTGCGGAAGAATCCAGTTGCGCACCAAATGACGCCCATGAAGTTGAGTATGATTCGCCCATGTTTTAGTTCTCACCTGATGCCAATGGGCTTTCCGCACAAAAATTCACCCAGGTGACTCACTCGCCTTCTTGTCCTCGTCCGCCTTTTCGGCGTCGCCTGGCAGCGCCTCTGCCTCCACTTCCGCCTGGGGCGGAGCCAAACCAACCCGCCCCGCCAGTTCACCCGAGCGAATCTGCGCTTTTGCTCCGCCTGCGGCTCCGCCGAGTCCCTAGGAACAAAGCGACGGAGTTCACATGGCCATGAGTCTTAATGGTTGGAACCTCCTAAGTGGTCGGACAGAAATCCCCACCTAAATTATGTCCACCAAAGGGTCCCTAATTAAAATTCAGACCCACATCTAACGGTTTGAAGCCAGCAACTGGCCCCGATTTGGCTTCTCTGCATGGCTGGAATAGCTCATTCGCTTCGGGGCCATGAACCAGCTTGAGGCGCTCGCTTCGTCTCGCAGTGGCTCTCTGGAGACATCATGACCTTGGCAGAGACGTGGCCATGGGACAAAAGCCGGTACCCGCAGTGAACATCCCAATCCCCACTGAAATAGACTAAAATGGGTGGACCCACCAGCCAGGTGGGAACGAACAATCACAGCTTCTGGCATCTCCTTCGCCCGCCATTGCCAGGTGATACGCTCAAGGAATCCTTGCTGATTTGTTTTAAGTATTGCATGGAAAAACGGTTCAGCCACAAAGGCCACTTGACATGGTTGCCTCGATTCTCATCTGCAACCAAGAGCTGCTTCGAAGCAGAAAAAGATGTGCACACCCAGCTGGAAAAACAGGATCCCATCCAATGTGGCGGTTGAGTGAGGGTCTTCTAGACTTGACATCTGAGGGCTTCATGACATTGGCGTCTCCCTGTCTCTGGCCCTCAAGTTGGTACCTGGAGCCACGCAAAGGAGGCGCCGCTGCCTACCTGACTGCATCTGAGTTCACTTCAGACTTACGTTGGCCGACACGGGATTTCAATGTGGCACTGCTTCAACAAGGGCTCATTTATAGAGGGTGGCAAAGGGGCCAATTGGAAAAATCGACCAGCCCTGGCGACTTGAACACTTGTGCTTTGGATTCCTGCCGGTTCGCGCGTGGGATCTCCACTTCGCGCACTCCGAATCATTCTACAAGAGAGATCTAAAGCTATGAAACAGTGTGTCCGTCCCGAGCTTTTCTCAGGATCTCACAGACATGGCCAGTCCGTACCGTCTCCTTTACAATTTCACGGTTGGTTTCCCTATAAAACCACAAAAAAAACAAAAGACACACCCACAAAGACTTTACAACCGAGGTTTGCTGGCAAAAAGAGCTCTGGAAGAGCGAATGATTGGCCACATCCTGGATTCCAGCAGCCAGCTTTGTATGCTGGAATTCAATCAAGCGTGCGGGAGGTCAAGTACAGTGCACTCGGCTTCTGCCAGAGTCTTCTGGAACTAAGTTACTAAGTAACAGCTCAACCGCGCGTGAGATTGCGCTGGCTTAAGTTCGCACGTGCTCCATCCCCGCGCACGCTATGTGCAAGTTCGGCAAAGAAGAATGTGCCAAGTACACAGCAATGCTCGGCGCTGTCTTGTTGTCCCTGCTGTCTCTGCGGTAGTTGAGTCCACTTTTGCACAAGTTGCATCAACCCAGAGACTCACTCGAAGACGGACTGGCAAAGGAAGGATGGGACCAAGGAATTCACTGCCTTGTGGCAAAGGCAAACCTGCAACAAACAACCTGGCAGCATAGGTGCCCTTTTGCAAAAATAGATGGCCCTGGTAAATGGAACAAAACCCATCTAAACCAGTGCCTATTTTTAACCAGGCTCACCTAAAAAGGACCCCTATGCAGGCGCACCTCTCCATTTCGCCGTCTCAACCAACTCGCTTGCATCAAACCGTACGAAGCAATCAGTCCCAGCCTGATAGGGAAGAGGCTTGTCCTCCTCTAATGCCTGGCGCAAGGAGCACGACTTCACCATCCAGGGTTCCGGCGCAGACCCCCCTTCAGGATTTACCCAAAAGTTGTGTAGCGAGCGGCCTCGATCTCTAAGATTTGCCTTCTTCGAACCAAATTCTAAATGGTCCGGTTACGCTTAGCGCAAGCCCCTGGTCTGAGCCTTTCCGCTGGCCGGATGTGGCGTCGGCGCGCCTCCACCCGTTTGTTCACATCTCGCAGCTTGCAGCCCTGACCTGTGCCGGTCAGCAAATGGCAGAGACGTCATGTGAGTGACAATCAACCCGGTATGAAAATGGTCTACGGCCCCTTAACCTCCGCCAATCCCCAGGATGTGAGCACGTGGCTCATGTCTCGCCGCTCCGTTTTGATCACCTCCAAGCCCGCGGCGCCAAGCTTCCTTCAAGAGCTCTTGCTGCCGCCGCTTCGCAGCCTGGACGTCGGGTTGCCGTCGGGTTGCCGGGTCCACTTTGCCAGGTGCCAATGGGAAAAAACATAGCGAGACCCACCTTGAGCGACTGGCTCTGAAGCGTCATGGTGTGCGACTCGCGCTCCAACATGTTGACCTGACATGATTGACTAATTGCTGTTGTTTCCAATATGTATCCATCACATTCTGGGTAATATTACTGGATTTGTCTCATTGTGGTTCCCTTTCAACGAAACCCGAAAAGGCTACCGAGCAACCCGTCTCTCAGCATTCTCAGCGACCGCGGAGAGACGGAGAGTCGCGGGCTGGACGAGTCCGGGTGTTGGGAATGAACTGTTTGGGGAGGGAGAGGGGAATGCCCTTAAAGGAAACCATTGGGGATGGTTGTTCTTGGGGTCATTCCCTCATTCCCTGCCGAGAACTCGTCTTTTGGACGGCCACAATCAGCAATTAAGAAAAACAAAAACATGTTGAAAATGCCCAGAGTGGCACCGATCGACCGAAAAGCGACGGAACCTCCGCATCCATCCGCTGTCGCTGCTGCTCCTGCCGCTGCCGCCGCCGGACCTGCGCCCGATCGCCCAGTGACTTGGGGCCTGCCACGTGAGGTGGCCGTCTACGTCTTTTCCGCGCAAAACTGTGGCTGTGGTTGTCAAAACCGTTGTGGGATCCCATTTTGGTAGGCGCACCAGCCATGTTAGAACCTATTTTAGTGGGAATTGGGATGTTCACTGGGGGCACGATTTGGATTTTGACCCATTGCCATGTAGAAATCAACACCCTTCAGCAAGGGAAACTACGAAGTGCGACTCTTGATTTATTGGGCACCCTTGGTGTCAAACCTCATTTTTGTGGGGGTTTTACAAGTCCGGCAACCAACCTGGTGGCGTTTTTTGGGCGCAGGTCCTGCCCGTTCTTCTGTTTTTTTCCCCCGGCCCCCCCCTTGCCTCCATCTGCGCCTGGAGGTCGCTGCGCAGCTCCTCCCGGGCCTTCTGGGGCCCCAGCAGCGCCACAGGCCGTGGCCGGCCCAGCAGCAGCTGGTCCTGCTGCAACTGCTCCGTGATCTGCGAGGCGCTGTCCTCCTGGCCCCAACGCCGAGAAACGTTTTGCGGCGGGAGAAACGACCGCGCGACGGGAGAAACCACCCCGCGACCCCGGAGAACGCGGCGGCTTTTCTTTTCTCTTCCTTGGCCCCAGGCGCGGCTTCCACGGAACCCGTTTCCGAGCCCTCTCCCCGTGTCCACCGCTTCCCCTTCGCCGCTCGTTTCCTCGCTGCCGGCCTTGTCATGCGAGGTGAGCAAATCCCGGCGATGTTCGGAAACGCCAGCCTCCAGAAAGCGAGAGATGCCGCGAAGTGCCTGACTGATCCTGAGCATGCCTGCCTTCCTGGGTGTGGATCCAATGGTAGTGGAGACGACACCTCGCGTCAAGCTCCGACACCGTCCAGTTGTCAAATGGCTGTGGGTCAAAAACAGGTACCCAAAATGGAACCCTGGTACATGGAACCAAAGACTAAAACCTGCGGTCCCCTCGTAGCTTAATTTTGACCCACGCTCAAATGAACACGCACACACACACACACACACACACTTGATATGAGACGGCGAAACTGACAATGCGCACCCCCATGCAGGCACAGGCTGTTTGAAGGTCTCTGGCAGGGCAATGGAGTTTCGGCACCGAGGAAGTCTAGGCATCTTTCGCTAACGCACTCTCCTCTTCCGGACCGCCAGCAGTGCGTTAGTTACTCCATGCTAGATCGTCCCAGGCGGTGGCGGCCGACTCCAAAAATAGACACAACCGCAGAACCCCTTAGGAACAGGGGGGCCACACACACACCCCCCGCAGGGGGAGAAACAGAAACCGAACCCCCGGAACCCGAAAACCCAGAGAGAATCCAAAGTTCCGAAAGCCGCCTCCATCATGATTCTCGATGGGTGATTTGGTCGCTTTTTTGAACTCCTGCCTGCGCTCGCCTACTTGCGGGCATTTTAACATGTGGCTGCACTGACTAAGTTCAGGTGGCCTTCTGACGCTGTTCCTTCACTTTCCTGAGGCGCTCCAGACTCTTCCAGCGCTGCGTGACATCCGCGATGGACCGGTTGAGCTTCTTGGCCAGTGACTTGTACGAGTACTTGGACCGGCTGTCCCCCTTCAGGCTGCAAAGCTGCTGGTCATCTTCTTCTGTCCAGGCACGAGGTACTTCCGGGGGAGTCCCTGGGTTGCCGGCATCGGAGTGAGCATGAGCAGGAGGAACAGGCCAGCGCAAGGAGATACCGGAGCCGGGGCTGGAGTGCGAGGCGCTGGATGCGCCGGAGGTTCCGGGGAGTTCGTAGGCTCGGAAGATGTAGCTCTGCATCTCTTCCGCTTAGTTCTGCGTCGATCCGCACCCTTCTTGTCCATGATGGAGCGGGGAATGTTGGCCTTCTTGATGCCCGGCTGACCAACATAATCGTGCTTCGAGCGCGGGTCTATAGAATCGTCGGTGTCCCCCGTGATGATGCCGTAGGACAACGACTTGGGGTTGGCCACCGTGTTGTGCCTGTGGTCTGCGTGTAGCTGGAGTGACTGGAAGCCGACGTGTGGCGGAGGGTCGGTCGGAGTCTCCGAATTGACCGAGTTCAGCATCACCGGGCCAGGTGGGTTGACCTCATCGACTCCAGCATGGTCAAGTGCTCGTGGTCGCGATGACTCTGCTAGCGACCGGCCTCGGACATATTGTTGCCGCAAGCTACCTTGACCGTCATGGTGCCGGCGGCTGTGTGCCTCGTCACCTTAATTCAAGGTCTCTTGGATGAGCTGCATCATTTCCGCAGCGTTCTGGGTCATGCGATGATGAAGTGCTATCATGCGGCCGAGCATGGCTACCGCTCTCCGATGTCGGCGAGAAGGCCAACACTTTTTGAACCAGTCAATGAGCTCCGAGATCAACACAAAAATCAGGGACCAAAAGCCCAAAAAGAACCACACCCGAACGCAAAAGCCAAGACGAACCAGAACAGGTCCGGGGAAAAAACCGAAAAGACAAAGGCGAGCCACAATGCCTAACATCAAAAGCGGCGACAAACTGGCACTTAAAGGTTCTTTCTGGTTGGGATCGCCGGAAGATGAAACAGGTGCTGCAGGTCAGCTGCCTTGTAGCCGGCGGACAGATAAATACTGCGGAGCTGATCCAGTGCCATCTGTACTGCTCTGGCTGGGTGCGCACACTTGGTGGCGAGGGCTGACCGTGATCTGGCCCCGGAGAGAAGGGTGGAGAGGCTTCCTGCAGTGCGGGGTGCCAGATTTTGCTTGGGGTTTTGTGGTAAATCGCCCGGTCGCCCACATCGATGACGAAGCCGAGGAACTCCGAAGACCCCACCTGTTCCAGCACGATGGGAGCGCCGTAAAAGTCAGAGCAGAGCCTCCAATGGAGCTGCCGGGTGACCTGAAGCTGGAGACGGGAAGATGACAAATCTGTTGTCCACATATCGCTCCAAAAAGATGTTGTGACTGGTAAAACAATTGTCCGTAGATACGCTGCCAGATAACTTCGTGCCTCGCGACGCATATGTGGCTGAGTACTGGGCTCAGCTGAGAACCAATCGCTGTCCCGTGGACTTGGCGCAGGATGAGAGTCCCAACCTGGACATACATGCATTGGAAGCTGGACTTGACGATACCCAGGATGTCCTCCATGTAAATGACACGCGGGCGTACGTCCGTAGGATTGCTTGCCCGCAAACACCCGATTGTAGTGGACAGCTGCCTGGGTTTCCACTGAATACACGAGACCAGGTTGCCCTCGCTGGTGCTCTGCTAATAGCTGCTCGACTGCTGCACACACTTGATCCTGAGGGGCACTATTGAAGAAGCCGACCAAATCGGCATTGTGGAAGGCAAGGGTGACTGTATCGTCTGTGTTGTCAAAGTACTGTTTAACGTTCTGCCATATCCTCGGTGTGGGGTGTATCCCCCATGAACATGTCCATGTAACCGCTGCGATTTCGCCGAGAAGGATTGCGACTGCTTTGAAGAGCTGCCGATGTACCACCTTATGGTAGGCTATAATGGTCCGCCCCGATTTCCATTGCTTCTTGCGTTTGAGAAAAACTTTTCCAACCGGGATGGAGGTGGTCTTCTTCCTGTATGCCAATTTGTACCTCTTCTGCAGGTGCCGCGGAATGGCTTCAACTATAAGAGCCCCGGCTTGATCGGGCTTCAATGGGGTAGCTGCAAATGTGCCGGACTGAAGCCAGGTGTTGTGGAGGCCTTTGAAGTAGAGTTGAGGGCAGAAGAACATGAGGTGGTGGTTGTCGTGATCCTCGTTGTGGCATACAATGCAAAGTCCTGGCCGAGGTGTCGATGCAGGATGTTGAGCTGGTGCTTGGTAAGGAGCTGATGGGTGGATGCGTGCTGCCGATGTTGCTTAAATTGACTGCGTAGGTGCTCCATGAGGGGTGCGTGGAACTGGTCCAGGGGGAGTCCGTGATGCAAACACCATTTTCCACATAATACGACGCCAGCGCTGAGGTGTAGTGAACGTGCTGTGGGGTTCCAGGAAACCGGAACTCCTGACGTTTTAGCCAGGCTGCGCATTGGCACGATGATGGTCCTGGGGATGTCAAGGAGTAGCAATCCTGAAATGACGAGAAGTTCCACATGACTGTGTGGACTCGAGGATGAGGAAGGAATGAAGGAAGGAAGGAAGGAAGGAAGGAAGGAATGAAGGAAGGAAGGAATGAAGGAATGAAGGAATGAAGGAATGAAGGAAGGAAGGAAGGAAGGAAGGAAGGAATGAATCAATGCATGAATGAATGCATGAATGAGGAGTCTCTGCCAGCTTCGTACTTTGCTGTGGTCGAGGACGAGACGACGAAGCACTTCTCTGGTGGACCGTTGATAATGTGGGTGGGACAGCCACGGTAATCGCAGTAACAAATTGATCCGGGGTTGCTGAAGTTGACGGAAATCAAGAACTCGTCGAAGAATGTTACGAACTCGATGCCGATGAGGCTGTTCCACATTACCAGACAGCCTGTATATAGCATACATAGATGTCCAAGTCCGAATGCCGTCCGCTACGGAGTCGTTTTTCCTCCTCCCAGGATTCCATGTGCTCCGAGGTGAGACGAGCAATGATGGGCCAGGCTTGGGTGTGTTTGAGCGCCACTCGATGAAAGTTCCTACCATAGACTGTGCAGCTCCTTCTGCGCAAAGGGAGGAAAAGGCGTTTGCCGAACCTGGACCAGGGTTGTTCTGCAAGGAACCTGGTGGCCGTGTAGCCGGTGGAGATGCGCTTGTGTCGCCGATAAATATAGGGGATCAAGGCATGTTCCTGAGTCCAGGTGACCCTGTGGTCGGGGTCTGTCAGGATGACCCATGTAGCAAACTTGTCATAGTTGTCGAAGTGATGCCACCATCCGAGTGCTGGTTCCGCATTGATGAATTGTCCGTGCTGAATACCCAGTAACTTGGCTCTACGGTTGTGTTCTCGACTGGGATAAGTGATGCTGGTGCTTCCAATGTATACGTCAGACTGCGGGTTGACGGAGCGTGGAAGGTCCGGGCGGAGTTCGACTCGCTGCTTCCAGTGCACCGCATTGGGCTGCGAGAAGTGGGTGAAGGTGTACATGTTCGGGTGGATGCGTAAACGTCGTAGTCGGCGCCTGAGTTCCGTGAGTGCATGCGTGGGACGACCGTAGTGATGAACCATAAGCAGTGTGGACAGGGACTCGGCCCACATAGATAGTTGCTTGTTGACCATCGGCATGTTGAGGATTCTGCGACTTGTCATGATGATCAGATAGAGGACCTGATAATATTGATAGGATGCGTGGACGTCGAGTGAGTCGCCGAGTCTGAGTGCAATAAGCGCCGTGAGGTAGGGAAGGAAATAGTCGGTGCCATGCTGCAGGCTCACTGGCCACAAGGGCTCAGGAATACCATAGTGTCTGGCAGCACCGCATAGTTCTGACCGTTTCTACTTGCCGTAGAGCTGCCAAAGAAACACTGTCTCCGGGGATTGAATGACCGGCATGGCTTAGCCATGCATCAGACGCTCGAGCACTGAACTGTTAAGTGGATCAACTTGGAACAACGCCGGCCCGTAACCCCAGGATCCTAAAGGGAAAAAGAACGGGAAAACGAAAAGGGAAGAGAAAAGGGTCAGCTGATGGTCTCAGGGCAAGGTTCAAGCGCGCCGAGCAGCAGGGCCTTTTGTGCCAGTCGTTTCACAACGTGCTCACGTCCTTCATCGTGAGCGCTACAATCTCGCCTCTCACTTTCCATACATGTACAGAACCGTGATGAACTGCAGGAGTGCTCGCTTCGATCCCTTGCTCACTAAGGAGATGGTGGCGCCCCACTTGACTGCAATGGTTTTCAGCTGCTCCACCGTGTCTGATGCCAACTCCTGCTTGATGAGATCGAGGTAAGTCGCTTGGTTGGACAGCGTGCGTTCGCGCAGCCACGCCTTGAAGACCTTGTCCGTGAGGCTGGTGGGAAGTGGTACCTGTTGACCCTTGGGATTGCCCTGATGTAGAAGTTCTGGATCCAGTGTGATGTTTGGGGCAACCTCCGGGGTCTTGCGCTTTGCCGGCCGTCTTTTGGGGGCTGGATCAGCCTCCGGGGATGGAACTGGTAGGGGAGGTCCCTGAGCATCCGACCTCGCCGCGTTGATGTAGAGGGACTGGTGAGAGCGGCCGGGTGTAGGGGTCCAGGATGCGGTATTGGAAGGAGAAGAGGATGGCTGCTTCTTGTCCGGTGTAAGAGTGATGCCCTTGTTCTTGTAGCGTTCAAGCTGTTGTTCCAATTCGGCAATTTTGTGGCGAGTGAGGTTCTCCTGCTTGGCGGGCTGCAGCGACTCTATGAGATCCACGATTTTGAGCGCAAGTGGCTCCATAAACTGCATAACCTCGTTGCGCTTGTCCGGCGCATTGTCGGCGTGGAGAGATCGGGTCGTCTGGTCGATGTCGACTTCCCTGCCTCTCAAGGCTTTGAGAATAGATGTCAATAACACCGCCTCGGCTATTGTCTGAGCCATTACCGGTGTACTGTATCGCCCATTCGACAGTGCTCGGAGTGCGTGATCTTCTGCTCCTCCTCGAAGAAGTCGTGTCAGTGGGAGATCTAAGATTGCTGTTCCTGCGAGCCCGACCCTTCTGGACCACTGAGGCCGCGGACTTCCGTCTTGTCGAGGAAGATGTCATCAGATTGAAAGGTGCTAGGGAGCAGCTGCGAATAACGAGGCTGAGTGTACTGCGTTGCATCGCCTTGGCCTAGAGGTGCACGGGCCTGAAGTTGAACTGGTGGTGCTGGTGGTGGGGGCCGAGGACCTGTCTGCATGTGGGTTGTGCCACCACCATGATAGTTGTAGAACTGACCAGGAGGCTGAGGAGGGAACTGGTGAGCCATATGTGGAGGCCGAGGAGGATTGACTCGGGGTGCTACTTCCTCTCAAGGTTGGTGCTGCAAGGATCCGTCTGATTGGATATCAAATAAGCTTCCTGCTGGGACTGCGGTACTGACCATGATGGAAGGTACGAAGACCCCGGGTGCGAGGAGGAAGAAGGCGCCGACGTCGCCGGCCACGAATAGGTCCACTGAGAAGCCATCACGGGATGGGGGTTCATCTGCGACACTTGCTGATTGATTAAACGCTAGGCATACGGCACGAATTGTCGAAACGGCGAACGATTTGCAACCAAGCCCAGAGCTTTTAAACGAGAAACAGCGATCGTCACAACGGGTCAGCACATTGCAAATGAAACCGCAAAATAAAGTCGTGCTTGAGTAAGGCTCTAGCATGCACTTTTTGTCGCAAAATATCGTCGGCGGTCGAAGACGGCAGTGTGGCGAAGGATGCTCTTATTTGCAATGAAACATCATTAATTGTCATCAGGTGCAGCAGCTCTTGGTGCAGGTTCACGAGCGAGGACACCTGTGGGTGGTTTCGCATCGGTAGGCCATGCGAGTCCAACGATCTGGCTTGCTTCTGGAATCACCATCCAACACTTGCCCGACACATAGTGGATGACGTCAGGACGTTCACTGGAACCCAAGGCCTCAATGCAAGCTTGCTCTCCTCCCGAACGAATCGGCTGACAGGTACCGACAGCGCGCCCAAACAGCAGCAATTGGGCCATGTTGAAAGACATACTCCAGTTCTGGCTCATCGTGCGGGCAATTTCTTCAGCATCATAGTCGGCGTGTCCAGTGATCTTCCAACCTTGGGCGTAAAAGGCTGGGCACTCCGAGGAGTGCTGCCGGGAAGGATGTATCTGTCGGCTTCGCAGTATGCCTCTGGTGCCGCCGACACTGGAAGCGTGAGTCCAGAGCAGCATGGGCCGCGTCTTCGTTGGTTCTTTGAGCCGAACTGTGGCGCCAAGGTAGGGGATGTTCAGCATGAACCAGTGTGGAGTGATCTTGGAGTAGTGATGTTCCGGGTTGACCTTGGTATAGTTCAGGGTGGAGTGCTGAGACGGTATGCCTGCTGCATTCAGGGTAGCGGCCACATAGTCCATCTGCTCCTGATTGACCGGGATCCCGTCGCGGATGTACGGCGAGGCGAGCACCTGAAGTTCGTTCCTCCACGGGTCGGACTCCGGGTTGGGAAGCAGGATCAGCGGTGGGTGCGCCTGCGGATTGGGGCGCAGCTGCATGCTTCTCGAGGATGACTCCACAGCTGGATGAGCACCTGTGGCCTTTGAGGCTGGAGCCGATGGGACACTGCTTCTGCTGCGCGGAAGCGGGGATCGGTTGCTTCTCGGCCGCCGGGATGAAGCTTTAGTTGCCGTAGGTACTCGGGATGAGGATCTAGCTGCTGTAGGCGCCGACGCGGCGAGAGCCGGCGCTGCCGTGGTTGAATTATCCGATTTTGCGTCCCTTCGGGAGATCGGTGGTGGCGTCCTGGAGCGAGCTCGACCTCGACGCTGTGGAGGCACTGACTTGGAGTAGGGGGATGCGTTGTGAGAACGTGACCGTTCTCCCTGCGTTGTGTGGCGTGATCTTGCTGGTGGGTTGGTCGGTGGTAGCATCTGACCTGATGGAGTTGCCGTAGGGGTCGGTGCTATAGGGGTCGGTGCTGTGGTCTGAGATGGACATGCTGTGGTTGGAGCCGTTGGGGTAGTCGGCGTCATTGGAGTCATTGGAGTCATCGGGGTTGCTGGGCACGCCTTCACCAGGATTTGCGGCAGTGGGCCAGCAACTGATGCAGGCCAGACAGGCAAGGTAGGGATCGATGCCGAGGCGTCACCGGGAGCAAGCGCTGGAACCAAAGGTTTAGTAGCCCTTGAGGTACTAGACAACGCGCCAGAGATGCTGGAGGTTGGTGTCACAAGCGCACTCCTGCTTGGTGATGCTGTCTGGTTCACCGGCGATCTAGGCGGCGTAGGGCCCGCAGTGTTCCTGGATGCCTTGGTCATGGGGCCTGCTGAGTTCGACATCGGGCCTGCGTTGGGCAGTGGCATCTGTTGCCTGCAATTGCGAGCCAAGAACCAACTGACAGCGTCATGGATTCATGCCGGATATGTCAGGTAGTCTGGCAGTAGGTCAACTGGGGAAGTCAACCATGAAATAATCTGGGGTGCTGAAACGTCCGGGACATGTCCAAGCCTGTGGTGAAGGGTCAACGGGAAAATTCCAGATTCGCGAGCGACAAGGTCCGGTGGTTGTCTGAAGAAGGTGTCGGTACATGGGTCATAACAGGCGCCCGCAAAGGGGATCAAGACACTGACCGAAGCCCGGACGCAGTGCCTAAACACACTTGATATGAGACGGCGAAACTGACAATACGCACCCCCATGCAGGCACAGGCTGTTTGAAGGTCTCCGGCAGGGCCATGGAGTTTCGGCACCGAGGAAGTCTAGACATCTTTCGCTAACGCACTCTCCTCTTCCGGACCGCCAGCAGTGCGTTAGTTACTCCATGCTAGATCGTCCAAGGCGGTGGCGGCCGACTCCAAAAATAGACACAACCGCAGAACCCCTTAGGAAAAGGGGGGCCACACACACACACACACACCGGCAACAGGGAATTCCTGGCGTTGGCCGACTCTTGAAGCGGGGCCCACTTCAGCTCGGCCGCTGGCTTTCTCTCTCCGACTCTGCTTGAGCTTTTCGTCGGATCTCTTTGTCCTGCAAGCAAAGTGCTCGAGTGTGACGCAATGACTCCATGACTCCTCCATTTGTTTGAGGAGGAAGTCCGCATTTTCTCGCCTCCGCCATGCATGTTCCCACTCAGACTGGAAACTCCACCATCTCCACCCCAAAATCCAAACGGCCATGTTTCGGCTCAAAGCTCTGGCCAAAAAAACGAATCCACCAAACGCCATCCAAGCAGCAGCCGGGCCACACGCTGACGCCGCTGCTCGATTTCCTGCGGAAAGCTGGAATGCTCCCGGTCTGGTTCTTGCGAAAAGCGTCCCCCTCGTTCTGCTTTGCTCTCTGTTCATCTCTTTTTGCCATCTCTTTTCTGAAAACTTGGTGCCATCCCCCTCTCCTCTTGCTTCTGCCTCATCTTCGCCTCATCGGCCCGCCGGTTGATCGCCTAAAGCGCGCGCCACGGGCGATCAGGAAACGACATCTTCGCGTCTTCTCCAGCCGCACCTTCACAGCTCGCTGCTCCAGCTCCTTGATGTGCATCGCCAAGCGCTGGTCCAGGCACTCCTTGACATTGTCGCACCTCGGACCAATGATCTATATCACCATGTAGCCCTCTCTAAGACTCGTTTGCCGTGTTTCCGACTTCCAAGGTACTGCCGGCTTTGAAAAGGCAAAGACATCTGCAGAGTGACATTGGGATTGACCCCACTGCTTATGCATTCTGCCCTGTTGCCCATCTGCCCTTCGCTTCCCGCCTGGGTGACGACTCTGGCTCCGCCTGAAAGCCCTGCTTGCCTTTCATCGCCATGGTCGGCGGGGGCGACCTTAGACCGAGCCCAAATGACTGATCTGAGCGGTGCAGGGGTGCAGGCGTGCAGGCATGCAGGTGCTGAGAAAGATCGATAAAATCGACAAGATCCTGGCGCCCTGATGAGATGGCTGTGGGTCAAAACCAACGGTACCATTTTGGGGTTGGTGCATCACCCATTTTAGTCTGGCGGGGATTGGTTTTTGTTCACTGGGGGTACGATTTGGATTTTGACCCATGGCCAAATCCTCGTTTTCCGATCAGTTGAGATTTCAGCTGCCTGCCAACGCCGCCAAACAAGGAAAAAAGGGAAGCAGACTCCTTGCCACTGAGCTGGCCGGCAAGAATCAAAGCCGGAAACCGGCACGATCAGAAGACTTTCCTTTTAGTTGAGATGTCTTGGCTGGTGTCTTCTCTAACTTGAACTTGTTCCAGTTCACTCAATCCCTGAAATGCGTTCCCGGGCAAGACGTTCTCTTTGAGAGCCAATGTTCTTGTGGACATGGGACTTGTTTCGGATTCCTGTGCGACCCCATCGGGAGGGCTCAATAGCAGCCAGCCGCCCGGGAACGGGGAGCGCGAACTGTCGGCTTCAAAATCGTTCTTCGGGATGCCAAGCTTTACTTCGGGGTGCAAAACGGGCAAGCTGAAAACTGGGGGGAAGTTGGAGGAAAGCAGCATAGGCATCCACGCTTGGGGAATCTTAGGTGTGATATCCACAATGCATGTTCGATAGCGACCGAATCGAGCAAATCGCTGACTCCCGACTTCCTCGGCGCCGCACGCCGGCACGTCTTGTTGCAGATGCCTCATGGCGGCAAAAAGATGCCCCGTGTCAAGGGTGGTTTTGGTGTGTTGTTGTTTGTTGGGGGGTTCTTTTGTTGGGGGGGTTCTTTTTGTTGGCGGGTTCTTTGTTTTCTTGGGTCTTTTCTTGGGGGCGTTGTTTTGGCGTGTTGCTTCTTGGGGTCATGAAACCGCCAACCGCTTTTGCGGCTCCGACTCTTCAAAACTTCAGGGCCTCGAGGCTCCGACGGCCTCGCTGTCGCTGGCTCTGTCGGCCTCCCCGCGCAAGACGCGGGGCGGAAAGGCGTCGGCGTGCGCCTGGGGCACAGCACGCGCCGGGCGAAACTCCGAAGGCGTTGCTCGTCTTGCCGGTGCCAGCAGGGAATGAGTTGGAATGACCCGTATAAACCATCCTGGTGGTTTCCTTGAAGGGAATCTCTGGGCTCATTCCCACATTCCCTACTGAGCGCCAGCGAGTTGTTCTCTTTCGCTGGATGGGTCTGAGCCAGCTGAATTCAAGCACTGGACTGTGCCACTCCCCGATTTTGTGACTTGCCTTGCCTCTTGTCCTGCGATTCACACCGCGATGAGCATCCCTTGGAATCCGTGGCTTCGCTTCAATCACCAGCTTGCGGAAAAAAGAAGAAGAAAAAAACTGTCAAACAAAAAAATGTCAAACTGAGCTCCGGTCCCTTGGGGGAACCACACGTGGCGTTTCCTTCTTCTTGGACCTGCAGCTTCCGCGTTCCAGCCCAACGCACTTGGCTTTTCCTTCGGCCGGGCGCCCGGCGCCTTTTCTTTCGGCCTGGGGCGCCGCCAGTAGCTGCCTGCGACGAGCCACAGCTACTTTTGAAGAAATAGATGGCCCTGGTAGATGAGTAAACCACCTGGTAAACCAGGGTGTTCTATTATTTTGCCAAAACAACCCAAACGACACCTATATTCTCCAGCACCTCTCGCTCAAACAAAAGTTTGATCCATCTACCCTTGAGCTCCCAAGTGCCTCACTGGGCCCACAGGCCTCTCTTCGGCGCCCGTGGCAAAGACACTCCCGGCACCTCGCCTGAGCTCCAAATCTGAAATGTCCAGGGGTCCATAACCTATCACTCCATTTTGGGGCGGATGAACACCCATGTACCATCAATTTTCATGTTCGCCAGGGGTACAGGGTTTTGACCCACAGCCAAATCCCAAAACCCGAAAAAGTTGAAATCGCGGCTTTCAGCCCCAACCTTCCGATTTGTGGCTCCCAAGTTCATTTTTCACCCCAGCCTGCTTCAGCATCCTCGGCCGGCACCCACGCTTCGGGCGCAGGCTCCCTTGGCGCAGCTAGCTGATCACTTTCAAACAAACCGGAAAAGGCGACTATGAGAGTGGTGGGGTTTGGCTTGCGTACCGCCTAGAAGCCTAGAAGCCTAGAAGCCTAGAAGCCTAGAAGCCTAGAAGCCTAGAAGCGGCAAGCAGCCTTCATCCGCAGGGAACGAGTCCCTGGCCTTGCCGAAGGCTCTCCCATAATGGTCTGCCTGAGCTTCACGTGTTTGTTGCTTTTTCAACACATTCAAACTGAGGAGCGGGCACAACCTCTGGCGAGAACCTGATTCAACTGCAGCTTCCGCTCTGCAAATGCAAATGACCTCCCAAGTCGCCAACAGAAAGCGTCCCTCACGCTCCCTTGCAATCAGCTTGCCCATGCTGAATTCCAAGGACATTGGCCTGGCAAAAGTGCCGATTGCCCATTCTTGGTGCCGTGAGAAAAAGCGAAACAAAACGTGTGCCGAAGGCATGACTCAATGGTACAGAGCCCACGATCATGATCAAGTATGCACTATTGTGCGAAGTGGGTGGTGCCTAACCAACCATGCCGCTACACGCCTGAAGCAAAGAAACCTGCAAAGAAATCGCTAGGCAAGTCGAGACAGCTGATAAATCCTGGCTTGCAAATAAACTACAAATAACCTGCGCTGCGAGGTGCCTTCAAAGGTGAAATCTATAAGTCCCTGGTGCTAGCATGCGCCATTGGTTCCTCAGCCTCTCGGCACTCTTGCCTCGTTGGGGCGGACTTTTTCGCATGCCTTAAATGCACAGCAATAACAAAAGAAGGAAACAAAACAACAAAAAACAAACAAAACAAAAAACAAGAGCCATCTAATGGCATCTTTGATTTTTCGAGCGAGCATAAATTCCCTCCTTTTCTTCACATCTCATGAATCAAGAGCTTGAATGTCCCTCTGACTCGCGATCCGATGGCCTGCCCTGCGACATGACCTCCCCAATCTGATGAACCTCGGGCTGCCCGGCACTGGAAAATTTGCCCCCTGGATTTGTCAAAAAACAAACATCCAATCAGGTCCAAACTGCTTGATTCCCTGCAAAAGAGAGACACAGTGACACATAATCGGGAAAAGGAAAAATAAAAAATAAAAATCAACAAAAAATGAAGAAGAAAAAAAGGTCTGCTGCGGTAGGCTCACATGTATCGCTGACTGCGCGGCCAGCACGCGCAGTCCAGCGGAGAGGTGGTCCTTGCACCCGTAGAAAACCAGCTCTGACAGGTTTGGGTGCGCCTTGTTTTCGGGGCCCCGAAAATGGCCTCGGTGTTGCTTTTGGTTTCCCTTTCAAACCACAAGGCCATATCAGTTTCACAGTTAGCCTGGAACGATCTATAGCAATTTGTCCTGATCAAGTGATCAGGAGTACAGGGTCCTGTTTGCCCCTTTTTGCAGCCTGTGACACTAGTCTTAACACAAGCTTTTCCAAGATGCCTTCTTACACAGTGGCTGCCTTCGACAACTTAGAAGTAATTAAGTCACAATCGAAACCTTGGTCCACGCAGAACCACGCAAAGAATTCTACGGGATATCCACACCCATTTGAGGTTGGGACTGTCCCTTACTAACAACCAGAAGCTCACTGGTAGGATCTCTCGAGAACTTCTTCGGGGAGAGTCACTGTGCACCTCAGATTCCTTCTGGATTATCTAAAAGGGCTCCACCACCCAAACCGAAGCCACCTCTGGGACCAAACAAAGGACACCTGCATGCTCAAGGGTATACATAGCGCACCCCCCAGACTTCAACCCAGACTTTACTGGGAGAGCAAACCCTTGTAGTGGCCATGTATCCCATGAAACCTCTGGCAGCTTCAGTTTCGGGGGTGGTTCCGAAAGCATCTTAGATGATTTATTGACTCCAAAAATTGAAACGCCCCGAGGCCTTGGTCAATCTGCGAGAGAAGCAAAGAGCCGCCTGCGTGCAGCTTGCGCACTCCGGAGGCAAAGGCCATGTCCGAAGGCCCGGGTTCAAAAGGGGTGTCCCCCAAAAATTGTGTGACCTCCTCTTGGTTGTGGAACACAAACCAGAAATCAACCGTGTCACTCTTGTGGCTTTTGGATGCATCCTTTGGGAAACCCGGTTAAACTGCTGCAATTACGGATATCAACCGTTCATAGGGGGAAACCTCATCATGGTTGGTGTTCTGTTGGACTCTCTTTAAAGTCAAAAACAAAGACAAAAACCGGAAAGGAATTCTAAAAACATATACATATATAGTGACATGTGTAAATATATGTATATTTGTATATGTATCCATTCATTGATTTCCGGGTGTGCCTTGTTTCAGCAACACTCAGTGTTGCTTTCTTCGGCTTCCCTTCACACTTGGGAGCTGTAGATCCCCCAGCAAAAGGTGTCACTTTCTGCTGGCTAAAAGGAAATTCGAGGAGACTCCAAAAAGATAAAGTCTAAAGATCCAACCCAATTGCAGTGCAGTGCTACACCACCCCCAATTTTAGTGGATAACTGAATCGGATGTTCACTGGGAGCTCAGCGATTTGGGTTTTGGCCCATGGCCAGGTCCTCGCTTTCTTTGGCTCCCCTTTCAAAACCAACCCCAATACCCGGAGCGCCTTGGAGAAGTTGAAGTCCTCGGTGTGCGCCAGGTCCACCTCCAGAGGCGGCGCCTGCGACCTGACGCCGACGTGCCGCGGGTTTTCTTCGAGTGACATGGGCGGTCTCCTAGGGGACCTCAGTGGCTGGAGGGGGTTCAAAGCTGTTTTTTTCTTTCTGTTTTTTCTGTTTGGTTGTGCTTCTCGGATATTTTAGTGGACCCGGCAAAATGGAGCTTGGTTCTACCTTGGGCCTCCTTTTGAACCACAAACAAAAGGGTAGCTTCAGCAAAAATACATCTGGCTTGTTCTGTGATCTTCCTTTAAATGATACGACCAACAACAAAAAAGGTACCATCAAAAAAACCACAAAAGCATATGGCGGTGTTTTTCAAAACGGGGGGACTCCTCCAAAGAGTTACAAAAAAGGGGTTGCCTGGAAGACCCTTCGAAATCGAAAACACCTTGACAGCATTTGACTCGCTTTGACCCCGTGTGTGACTCGTCAGTTCCACTGCAGCATGACGATGCAAAGGCCTGCTCACCGAAACGCGATACGCCCGGCAGAAGGAGTCCAGGAAGTCAAAATACCTCCGCACACGGAAGAGAGCAGGGAGCGGTGCATACAAGTATGAATCTCGGTTTTTGCGCAAGAGTCGCACAATTGACTTTGCGCTCAGCCAAAAAGACTTCGAAGAGAGATGCCAGCATGTCACAAAAGGGTGATGCGGCGCTCGGGCACGGTCCTACGATGTTGCTGCGATATCGATGCGCCACCTGGAAACGCGCCACACTTGCCGTGGACATGCCGACGGCATCGGCAGAAAAAAAGATCGCGGGCGCCGCCTGCCATCCGAAGCGGCAGAAGTGGGGCACGACGATCCCGTGCCTTTTCCTAGGCGCACGGCTCTGGAAGGCATTGTGCTCCCACTCGGGCAGTTCTACGAGGACATGAATCGGCACACCCCTGGGTTCAAGGGGCACGGTTTCCTGTTTCAGGGGGGGTCACGCTTGCTCAAACTCGAGATACTGCGAGGCAGTCGTAACATGCCAAGCGCACTCCAGACAGGAGACGATGTAGCGGTCCAAAGTATCCCAGACCTGAATGAGCACTCGAGGCAAAGCTGGCTATGCGTGACATGATTCTCTGCCATTGCCCGATCCAGGTGTCAGCTGACTCGGCCACCCCTTCTTGCCTCCCTCAGCGGAAGATCTTCTTCCGCAGAAGGCACACATCGCGCAAAGCGCCGCGCAGCATCCTGGGATTCACCACACACGCGACACGGACCCTTCGAAAAATCGTTCTCGAGGCCCTTGAAGTCTGCAAAGAGCTTGGTCGCTTCAGTCCACATTGCTGCCGGGCTGCTTCCACCAGCTTGTCCACATTGTAGACCGACATGCAGCGTTTCGGGCTGTCAACCGCTTCGTTCAATGAATGATTGTGAGGTGGCTTTGCTGGCTGTGAATCTTTGCTTTATTTCCCACACGTGATTGGGACGTTGTCTTTTGCATGCATGTTGCTTATGTATTGCTCGACGGTGCATCAAAGTTATGCTGCAGCTATACTCGTGTCGGGTTGCCGCTCTCTGCATGTTGATTCTTTGCCTGTGAAAGGGCACGTGGCGGTGGCAAGTGATTTACACGCCGCTTGACCTTCATATGAGGATCGACTCTACACAAAGGCTAGAGCTCCATTTCCTGTCTCTTCAAACGGCGTGCGGCCCTCACCTCGCTGCAAGCTCCTGACGGCTGACCGCAACACGGCCCGTCTGACCACAACGCGCAAGCTGCCCTTCCTGGCACACCGACTTGCCAGTGCTGCAGCATTCCCCGCCTGCCGAGTATGGCATCCAACTCGAACAAAAACCAATTCACATGCACCCAGCGCGTGCCTACCCAATCCACCGACGCGTCAATGCTGCCATACTGCCCGTTGACGCCAGAACCTCAGAACCACCCAGCAGAACCGGACACGACGTGGCCGTGGCTCAAAAGCATGTACCAAAAAGACACCTTGCTAAATGGAAACTAACTCAGTAAACCCTGCGTCACCCAAGTTCTTCCTCTGTTTCGTCCATGGAAACACCGATCCATATGGGTCCAAAAAAACAAATTAACAGTATAATCTCCGTAACCCTAGGTTCTAAGGTGACAAAATTACACCTTGCTCAATAAAAAATCGGAGCCCAACACCCACGTCTCTCAACCGACGGCAACCGACCGGCCGTTGCCAGGCGGCAGCTGCCCTTCTGGATGGCCTCCTCCACGCCCTGCGCGCGGAGTCCGTCGGGCAAAAAGTCGGCTTCTGTCGCCGTTTTTTTTTTTTTTTAGAAAGAACAGAAGATTTAGGGAAAACCAAAAAAAAAAACGAACAGAAGATTTAGGGGGGGGGAGAAAAAAAACACGAACAGGGTACCCTGAACTAAGAATAGACACACCCAAGAGCTCGAAAAGGGAAGGGTGTGTGTGTGTGTGTTTTTTTTAAGGGACCCCCCCCAAAAAAAAATGGTGGTTGTCCTTTTGGGTTCCTTTTAAACCAAGCCCTGAACAGGCTTGCCTTACAAAAGACACACCCAACCAAGCGCGAGAGAACAGCACCAAGCGCATGGCTGCACTCGGCACTCGCCTTGTGAGTACCGGGGGCCCACCACGAAATTTCAGAGGCGCAGGTCTCTTTGAAGAAGCTGCCACCTGCCCGTTTTCAGGGCGACGCCATGTTTCTTTCCTTCCTCGTGCAATCAAACCTGATGAGTACAAAACACGTGCATGGCGGAACGCTTGCTGGTTCTCAGCAGTGAATGAAAAATGGAACAGTCTATGGTTTCTTTGAGGGAGTCCCCCCCCCCAAACGGTTCATTCCCAACACCCGGACATTTGCCTTGCCTGCGGCTGTGCACGAGCTCTCGGTGGTGCACTCACACCACGAATCCCCGTGCGCCACGCAGCCCTGGGCTCGTTCCATGGACAAACCAAGCTCAAATCAAGTCGACCCGGAAAAAAAACAAAAAGACCTGTCCTGCTAGGGGGCAACACCCCTCAAGACCCCCCCCCCAAAAAAAAAAGAAGCGATGAAACCGCCCAAAAAACCTTCAACTGTGCGGTCGTTTTCTTTTTCCGGGGTCAGCAAAACATGACCGGATCTTGGCTTCCCGGCGTGTGCAGCGCAGTCGGTGGCATTGGGACTGGGGTAGAGGTTACACCAGCTGTAGCGGGTCTTGTTGGCCAAGAAGTCCTGCGGCTCCAAGATTCGCAGCAGTGAACATCAACCAATCCAACCACGAAAGACTAAAATGGGTGGTGAATTCACCTACCATTTCCAAAATGGGATACCAAAACGGTTTTTGACCACCACAGCCATTTGGGTCTCTCAAAATGGTTTTGACCGTCCCCCAAAGTCACGGCTCTCCTTTTGGTTTCCGGCCCAAGAAGGATACCCGCAACCACACACAGAGCCCGCAAACCGGAGCCAGGAAGTGGTCAGCCGCAATGTGTGGTTTGCGCCCGGGCAGTAGCCTGCTTTGACAACACCTGTTCTCTGAGAGTCCGAGCACCATGTCTTAGGTCTAGGGTCAGCAAACCAAGTCACCTGGTGAATCATTTGCACAACTGACGCGCGCTTGCCAAAGTCTATAAATGTAAACATGACCAGCACCTGGAAAAAGTATTGGCCGAGCTCTGCAGCTGCTTTCAGGCAACACACCAATTGCCACCAACTCTCGACGAGAATTCCCAGTCCAAAGCTTGGATCCCTGGCTCGTCCTGCTTCCTCAGGCAGGGCGTCATATTTTGGACTGCGGGATGGCAAAGCGTCTTGGGAAAGTCGCTGCAGCACTGCATGGCCGGATACGAGACCATGTCCTCACACGGGAGAAACGGCCAACTCGTCAAGCCCCGGCCACCTCAAGACGGGTGAAACATCCACATTCGGTCCCAGCGAGCGCTCCTCCGCTCTGTAGCCCTGCAACTCGTGATCCTTGCACGTGCCATTCATCTCCGCCGTGTGCAACAGCTTGTGCTGCTCAGGCCTCTTCAGGCTCAAGTGAGGCGCATCCAACACAGAGAGAGAAGGAGAGAGATATAGAAAGGCGCGGCTGGTGCCGACCCAAGGAAAAAAAACTCCGCGCCAATTTCGCTTTAAAAGCAACCCATCTTTTTCCCCCGTCTGCCACATTTCCGAGCCCATTTTTGCTGCTTCAATAGGCAACCCCTCTGTTTTTCCCCCAGTGGCAACCAGTTGGGTGTGGGTGAAAAATAGGTACCCAATATAGAACCCTGGTAAATGGAAACATGGAACCTGCAGTTCCCTGGTACCCATACCCAGTTCGCCTCCAGAGGTCCACCTCCTGCGCGCAGGTCCAGGCCGTCCAGGTGCCGTTCAGCGCCTCGCAGCCGCTCTGCTGCTCGCAGTGGCACCAGCCCACGTCCCCGTAGCAGCCCTCCTGGGCGTTGCACACCGAGGCCTGCAGCTGGAAAAACCGCTGAGACGCGCGCTGAACAAAACACATTGAAACGAGGCGCCGTGAAAAAAATGGGGGGAAGAAACTTGGGGGGAGAGAAGATGGCTTGGGGAGGTTCGAAGGGGAAACCCAAGGTCTCTCAAGAGAGATTGTTCTCTCTCTCTCTCTCTCTGTCTCTCTCTTTTCTCCCGGTTCCCTGCTTCGTTCCCGTTCCCGGTTGCTTCGTTCCGCCTCCGGCGTGGTGGTGCTGCTGTAGAGGTCGCACCAGGCATACATCACCTTGTCCTTGGTGAACGTGTCCGCGCTGGAGCAGGGCGTCATGCTCTTGGCCGTGGGATCGCAGACCGTGGCCGGGGTCGAGGCGCAGCAGGTCTGCGCCGCGTAGGAGATGGCTGAGGACAGCGCCTGGCCCCACATGTCCAGGCCGTCGCAGCTGCCCGCGGCAGCGGCCTCCTGCAGCACCTGGCACCAAGATCCACCGGATCAAATCGGATCATTGTTGGTCGGTTTTCACAAGGATTTGAGGACAAAAACAAAATCCATCCAAAGCCATCGGATCATTTTGTCACTTTTCACAAGGTTTTTTGGTTTTCACAAGTTAGGACAAAAACAAAATCCATCCAAAGCCATCGGATGTCGGATTTATTTGTTGGTTTTCACAAGTTGTGGGGGGGGGAGGGTCCTTTGGGATTCGTTTTGAGATCCCGGCTTCGTCTTGGCTTCCTTTCGGACTTCCTTCCGTTTCCCTTTTGGTTTCCGTTTGAGGTCCGGTTGGTTCCCTTTCGAGTCCCGGTGGAGTTTCGGGGTTCCTGTTGGATTGTGGTTTCCCTACCTTCCTTGGGCACCCACGTGCGTCCCAGTTGAACCCCCCAAGCCAACCGTTTCAAGCCCCGGCTTGCGGGGAGTTCTGCGAGCCTGGTGCATGGAGACATCCCACTGCATCTGCTCATCCTGGCAAGTGTGCGCCGTCCAGGTCGCACCAAGCGCTCTGCAACCCTCCTCCGTCTGACAGTAGCAGTGGTTCTCCCAACCGCTGCAGCCTCCGATCCAAATCCCGATGCTCGACGAGACACGGAGACCAAAAGCTCGGGCTGCCCAAAAAGCAATATTGCCCCAAACCCCAATCTTGAACCTACTAATAGAATCAGCCCACTTTTGCAACCACCTCCTCTGTTTCTTGTTTCAAAGGGGAGGTATGGGGGGCCAGTTCTCCAAATGCGTCTCCCGATGTTCCTGCCTGGCTGGGCGTTGCAAACGCTCGCCTCCGGGAAGGTGCTTTTGAAGTCGCAGTGCGCGTGCATCACGGTGCTGGGCTTGAAATCCCCCTCGTCTTTGCAGGGCGTCATGCGCACCAAGCCCTTGTCGCAAACGGATGCCGGATAGGACGCGCAGCACTGCTGCGCGTAGGGCAGCACCCACTGAGCCAAAGACTGGCCGTGGAGATCCGTGCCCTCGCAAGTCTCTGACTCGCTGGCCGTCTGGAGCATCTTGTGCGTTTCCATATCCAAATGGTCGAAGACGTAGCCGCAAGTCTCCTCCTTCCAAGTGCCATTCAGCGCCTCGCAGGGACCACGGCTCGCACAGTGGCAGTCGGAACCGCAGTGGTGGCTGCAATCCTCTGGTCGTGGAGGGTGGTCGAAATGGCACCACTGGTGCATGGTATGGTGGGCCAAGAAGTCCTCCTTGCTCTTGCAGGGATCCATCTTCACCGCATGCTTGTCGCACACGGAGGCCGGGTAGGAGGAGCAGCACTTCTGCGCGGGCCACCTGATGTGGTCCAGCAGGGGCTGGCCATAGACATCCACCCCCGCGCAGGTGTCGGTATCGTGGGCCTGGTTCAGGGCCTTGTGCATCTGGGCGTCGAAGTACTTCACGTGCTCCGCGCAGGTGTACTTGGTCCAGTTCCCACCCAGCCGCCGACACGCCTCCCTGGTCTCCGCGTGCTGGCTGCTATTGGACTGGCACCACTCGTGCATCACGCTCTCCGGCTGGAAGTCCGCCTCGGCCTTGCAAATGCTCACGGGCTTCAGATGCGGGTCACCTTGGAAACCACCAGCCAAGTCTGTTTGTATCACTCAGCATCTTCAGCCCCCCCCCAAAGTGGTCAACATGCCCGGGCTCTTGAAAAGATCCAAGGAGCCGCCAGAACTTAACCGGTCAGAAAGAAATATCCCCCCCGGCCATTTTTCCTCCTTGCCCTTGCCATCCGCCGACCCCCCCAAAAAAAGAAACGTTTCCCCCGCGAGGCACAGACCGTGGCCGGGTAGGAGCCGCAGCACTGCCGGGCCTCTTGCGGCACCCAGTCCGCCAGCGCCGTGCCCCAGGTCATAGCCGCGCCGCAGCCTCCGAAGCGAAGAAGAAGAAAAAAACGGATCGAGCCACCCGCGGGAGCCCGGGCGGCGCGGGCCTTCCCGTAGCTGCACGAAAAGAAGAAGAAAGGCGGAAAAAGGAGAAAAAAATAAACGGCGCACGGGGAAAGGCACAAAAAGAGGAGAAACAATAAGGCCAGAAAGCATGCAAGTGATAGATGTGTCCTTTTCTTTCGCCCGAGTTCCGGGAAAATACAGGAAACACACACCTAACCAAACCGCGGTGGGGTTCTCGGCTCTCCTTTTGGCCGCATCAACGCCCCGCCCAAAGGCCACCCGTTCCGAATCCCCAGCCTGTGGACGAGGCGTTTTCCAAGATCTTGTAATCATCCCAGAGTTCCTTGAGCATATCCATGCAAGTTCGGCCTGCACGTACACGTGCATGTCATGCGTGTCAGACGCTGACCAACAATACGCCCTTCCAAAATTTCAACACGAATCAAGCTAGTTGTGAGGCTTTAGCGACGACGCCAGCCTTCAGAAATCTTCGCGGTTGCCAGAAAATCTGAGCGATCCTGCGCACACACACACACAATCTTGCACATAGCCAAGTGTCAACACTCACACAGACTTACAGAAACACGTGTGTATATATATATATATGGTTGCATCTCAAAATAGAACTGCTCAAAGCAAACATGCCATGTCGTGTTTGCTGCATTAAACGGCTCATTCACATACATACAGACATACATTACAGTACAGCACAGTACATGACATTGCATTACATTGCATACATTACATGCGTTGCATACATTGTACATACATACATACATGCATGCATGCATGCATGCATACATACATACATTACACTACACCACACTACATTACATTACATTACATACATACATACACTGCTGTACATTCATACGACACATACATTACATGCATTGCATGCATTACGTGCATTACGTACATTTCATACATTTCATACATTACATACATTGCATACATTACATACAATACACACATTACATACATTACATACATTACATACATTACATAGATACACGCGTACATACATACATACATACAATTACATACATACATACATACATACATACATACATACATACATACATACATACATACATACATACATACATACATACATACATACATACATACATACATACATACACACATACATACATACATACATACATACACACATACATACAGTCATACATACATACATACATACATACATACATACATACATACATACATGTATTACACTACATACATTACATACATTACATACATAACATACACTACATATATTACAAATGTTACATACATTACATTACATTACATGACATTACACTACAGTACACTACAGTGCAATACGGTAAATTACAGTATCTTACACACATTACACACATACATAACATGATACAACATAACATAACAGTACATAACATAACATATAACACATACATACACTACATTACATTACACACATAACAAAACATTACATTACATTGCATTACATTGCATTACATTACGCACATTACGTACTTTACACACATTACAAACATTACATGCATTACATACAGTACATACATTGCATACATTACATACATTACATACATGACATACATTACATACATTACATACATCGCATACGTAACATACATTACATAGATACATAAACTACATACATTACATACATAAGAGACATTATATATACATTGCACACATTACATACATTGCACACATTACATACACCACCTACATTACACACATTACATACAGTACATACAGTACATACGTTACACAAACTACATACATTACATACATGACAGTACATACATTACATACACACATTACATACATACATACATACATACATACATACATACATACATACATACATACAGACATACATACATACATACATACATACATACATACATGAGGGGGGTCCGTGACCACGATAAGAACTAAAAAACAAAACCACACGATAAGGGGGCGGCCAAAACCACGACAAGAGGGGGGCCAAGCTCACGACAAGAAAAACAGAATCGTATAGAGTCCCATTCTATTTCCGTATAGAGCCCCTGCTATTTCTGTGTAGAGTCCCATTCTATTTCCGTATAGAATCCTATTCTATTGCCGTATAGAGCCCCATTCCATTGCCGTATAAAGTCCTACTCTCGCATAGAGTCCCATTCTATTTCCGTATAGAGCCCCACTCTATTTCCGTAAAGAGTCCAATCTATTTCCGTATAGGGTCCCACTCTATTTCCGTATAGAGTCCCATTCTATTTCCGTATGGAGTCCAATTCTTAGAGTATAGAGCCCCATTCTATTGCCGTATAAAGTCCCATTGTATTGCCGTATAGAGTCCCATTCTATTGCCGTATAGAGTCCCATTCTATTGCCGTATAGAGTCCCATTGCCGTATAGAGTCCCATTCTATTTCCGCATAGAGTCCCATTCTTTTTCCGTATAGAGTCCCATTCTATTATCGTAAAGAATCCAATTCTATTGCCATATGAAATTCCACTCTATTTCCGTATAGAGTTTAATTCTATTTCCGTATAGAGCCCCATTCTATTTCCGTGTAGAGTCCCATTATAGAGTCTCACTCTGTTTCCGTATAGATTTGCATTCTATTGCCGTACCATTCTATTTCCGTAGAGAGCCCCATTCTATCTCCGTATAAAGTCCCATTCTATTTCCGTACAAAATCGAATTCTATTTCCGCACAGAGTTCATTCTATTGCCGTATAGAGCCCCACTCTATTGCCGTATAGAGTTCGATTCTATTGCCGTATAGAATGCAATTCTATTGCCGCAAAGAGTCCCATTCTATTGCCGTATAGAGTCCCATTCTTTTGCCGGAAAGATGCACAGTCCATTTCTGTATAGACTTCCGAAAAGAGTCCCATTCTATTTCTGTATAGAGTCGGATTCTATTGCGGTATAGAGTCCCATTCTATTCCCGTACACATTACCATTTTGCCGTATAGAGTCCCATTCTATTGCCGTATGGAGTCCCATTCTATTTCCGTATAGAGTCCTATTCTATTACCGTGTAGAGCCCCATTCTATGGCCGTATGGAGCCCAGCAATACAGAAATAGAATTGGAGTCTATACGGAAATACAAGAGGAGTCTATTCGGAATTCGAAAGGGGCTCAATACGGCAATAGAATGGGACTCTATACGGCATAGAATGGGATTCTATACGGCAATAGAATTGTATACGGCAACAGACTGGGACTGTTTACGGCAATACAATGGGAATCTTTACGGCAATACAGCTCTATATTCTGTTCCCGTAAAGAGTCCCATAAATTTTCGTATAGAATCCTATTCTATTCCCGTATAGAGTCCTATTCAGTCCCATTCTTTGAGGGCAGTCCAGAAAGCGAGTGTCGTTTATAAGGGGTCACTGGCTGCAAGTGAGCGCAGTACTCTTGAAGAGACAAGTGTAGGACTCTATACGTGGGTCGAGTAGGATTGGTTGGGACTCTTTACGCAAATAGAGTTTTGCTTTTTCTTTGTCGTGGTTTTGTTTTCTAATTATCGCGGTTGCGAACCCCCCTGCACGAATAGTGGGACTCTATATGCCAGTAGAGTGATGGGTTTGGGGGGCTTTCAAGGTTTGTTCAAGCACAGGGTCTGTGCCTGGGTGTGCCTTGTGGCCAACTCCGGAAATCAAGTTAGCATCTGAGCAACGGCGAGACCGGATCAAACAAAACGGATAGACAAGGGGCGCGGTTCCGAAAATTACACACCCCGCCGCTCAGAATGGGCCACGCTGAACAGAAGGATTCTCCTAGCGCAAATTTGAAACGCCAGGTGAGCAAGTAGACAATGACTGATGTCAGCCACGGATTTTCGAATCTTGTCGGTTATAAGCGGGGAAGTTTGCCTTAACAATGAAAAAATCCTCTAAGACGGGACACCTCGCCATCCAAAAGGGACGCAAACCCTGCCATTTGTTTTCGCTTCAACTGGCGCGCAGCTTTTTCGTCTTCTCCTGGCACGCGCTCGGAGTCTGGCAAGTGGCAAGCTAGTGGTCACTATGCGTGCCAACTCAAATCTCAAAAAGGAAAAAATCCCATCCCCGACTGGTCTCTTTTGACTCCTCTGCGGTCTATTGAGAATCTCGTAAAGAAGGGCTGTCCGCTAGAAAATTGTTAGTGCTCAACCAAATCCCTGAACACCAAAATGGTTTCCATTCTCCCACTACAACTGGGACCTAGGAGGTGTAGGAGGTGTAATGGGACGCACCATCGCTAGCCAATGCGCGCAACGTGTACGTCCGGGTTCCCTTTCGAGACTGCAAGATTTTTACGATGAGTTGCGCGTCCGCAGGGTGTCAAAAGGGGCCCAGCCGACCTTTTCTTTGTAAATGAAGGCGCAAGATCTTGCAAGGAACCTGCTAGTAGGCCCTGAGTGAGCCGGTGTAAAGCTCCGGAAAGTGTACATTTCCAGCTGGTCAATCTCTTGCGCCATGTGACGCTTCTCCAACCCGCAATCAAGGAAGGAGTTGCGGGCGAATGGCCCGTTAAAAGCTTGGTCAAAGACGCCAGAGAAAGATATAGCGCCCTGCAAACAAGAACGGTTCACAATTGGGGCTCCTTCAACTCAAAAGTGCTTCTACGCGGTCGACGTTCGCTTCTTCCGCCCATGTCTGGGGGAAGGCGATCGGACTTGTGGTACTTGTGGCCGTCGTCGTCCATCACCTCCTGCAGAATCTGGTGTTCGATCAGCAATTTATAGCATTTTCGTCAGCTTCTCCACATTCATAGTTCTCATGAGTTCGCGAAACATTTTGCAAGTGCCTGGAGGCACCTGGCGAGGTCGACCTGTTGCCATCGCTGCAAACCTCGCGTCAGTCTTGGACACAGCATGCACTTCACCAGGAACAGAGCCATCGCTATAAGCCCGGAGAAAGGCTTTGCCCAAACAAACCTTGAGCTGTTCAACGCACAGACCTATGCGCACCACCACCCCCCCCCCCCCGATCCGCGAAACAAAAGACAGGCCAAATGTGACAAGCGGCTTTCTCGTGCTCATGCCCATCTCCTCTACATTGTTGCCCCGGTGTCGCTTCATCAAGCCCAAGACTGTGTGGATAGAGCTGAAATGGAAGAGATCCCCAAAAGGCTGTCGCGCTGCTTTGCCTTCGTGGTACATCCAATCATCGGGCCCTGTGGGTACGTGTGTGGCAACATCCGCCCCCATCATCGTGATCGGCTTGCCAGCTCGGGCATCTGTCTGCGACAACGGTGCCAGCCAACACTGGCAACACTTCTCCAGCGCCTGGAAAATTGCGCTATGAGAAGTCAGGAGCCCTTGCGACTTCAAACCGCGTTTCAGCTTTGCGTTGATCTGCTCAGCTGGCTGCTGAGAGCTAGGCATGGAGTAGCCCCAGCTCTCCAAGCCGCTCTTCGCACCGCTCCACCAGTCACAGCGCAGAACCTACCCCGCAGTAAGAGTTAGTGTTTTCTCGGGCCACTCAAAAACTCCAACGGCAAGAGGCCCCCCCGAACAATGTTGGGGAAGGCGTCAAAATAGAATAGTACTTGATATCTTGAACACACAACAGGCGGTGCCTCTACAAGACCTCTTGAAAGGAAATCTCTGCAGGCTTTAGAAGGACCAGCGCAAGGTGCCTTTGGATTTCCAAAATCTCTGCCTTCGGGCCACCTAAAGTCCACCTTCAACGTTGCAAATTTGCAACGCGCCAAAGCCAGAGCGATCCGACCCACCCAAGGCCCGCAGAGAGAGCTCACTTTCGATGATTCAAAACCGCGCCACCGCCAGAGCGATCATCCAAAGTCCGCGGAGGCTTCACTTGCGGCGTTCAAAATTCCCACCACGCGCGCGCTACGGCAATAGAATCGGACTCTATACGGAAATAGAATGGGACTCTATACGGAAATAGAATGGGACTCTACACGGAGATAGAATGGGACTCTATACGGATATAGAATGGGACTCTACACGGAAATAGAATGGGACTCTATACGGAAATAGAATGGGACTCTATACGGAAATGGAATGGGACTCTATACGGAAATAGAATGGGACTCTATACGGAAATACAATGGGACTCTACACGGAAATAGAATGGGACTCTATGCAGAAATAGAATGGGACTCTACACGGAAATAGAATGGGACTCTATACGGAAATAGAATGGGACTCTATACGGAAATAGAATGGGACTCTATACGGAAATAGAATGGGACTCGAATACGGAAATAGAATTGGACTCTTTATGGAAATAGAATGGGACTCTATACGGCAATAGGATAGGACTCTATAGAATGGGACTCTATTACGGAAATAGAGTGGGACTCCATACGGCAATAGAATGGGACTCTATACGGCAATGGAATGGGACTCTATACCATTCTATTCCTTATCGTGACTTTGGCCCCCCTCTTCTCGTGGTTTTACTATTTTTATTGTCGTAGTTTATTTTTTCTTGTCGTGGTTCGGCCGCCCCCTGATACATACATACATACGTACATAAAAACATACATACATTACATTACATTACATTACATTACATTACATTACATTACATTACATTACATTACATTACATTACATTACATTACATTACATTACATTACATTATTGTTTACATTACATACATACATACATACACTGCTTTACATTCATACAATACATACATTACATGCATTACGTACATTACATACAGTACATACACATACATTACATACATTACATACATTACATACATTACATACATTAAATACATTACATACATTACAAACTTGACATACATTACATACATTACATACATTGCATACGTAACATACATTACATATATTACATATGTTACATGCAATACATTACATTACATTATACATTACATTACATTACATTACATTACATTACATACATTACATACATACATACATACATACATACATACATAGATACATACATACATACATACATTCATACATACATACATACGTACGTACGTACGTACGTACATACATACATACACACACACACATACATTACATACATTACATACATTGCATTACATTACATTATGTGTTTTTTACATTACATACCTTGCATACATACATGCATACATACATACATACATACATTACGTATATACATACATACGTATATACATACATACATTCATAAATACATACATACATACATGACATGACATTACATTGCATACATAAATGTATTGTAATGAAATGCAATGCAATGTAATGTAATGTAATGTAATGTACCGTAATGTAATGTAATGTATGTATGTAATTATGTACGCACGTATGTATGCATGTATGTATGTATGTATGTATAACATTACATTACATTCCATTACATTACGTTACATTACATTACTTTACTTTACATTACATTACATTACATTGCATACATACATACACTACATACATTACATACATTGCATTACATTACATTATTTTTTATATTACATACATTACATACATACATTACATAGATACATGCGTACATACATTCATACATACATACAATACATACATTGCACACACTACATACATTGCATACATTACATACACTACATACATTACATACATTACCTACATTACATACATTACATACATCACATACATCACATACATCACATTCATTACATACATTACTGACATTACTGACATTACATGCATTACACTACATGCATTACATTACATTACATTACATTACATTACATTACAGTACATTACATTACATTGCATTGCATTACATTACATCACACTACATTGCATTACATTACACTACATTACATTACATATCATTGCACATTACATTACATTACATACATACATGCATACATTGCACTACACTGCACTGCACTGTATTGTACTGCACTGCACTGCATTGCTCTGCATTGCATTGCATTGCCTTGCATTGCATTGCATGCATACATACAGTTCAAACATACATGTAGATATGTATGCACACACTATATTGGTTTGCATGAAATTGCACTACACTAGACATTACACTACATGCATACACAAATACGTGCAAACATGCATCTAGTACATTGCAGCATGCACATACAGTACATTGCATTCCATGCCAATACATGAAACCGCATTGCCTACCATGACGTTACAATAATTACATTTCACTACATTGAATTACATTATACTACATTGTATTGAGTGTGTTACACTACATTCCATTACTTTACTTCATGTTACTTCACTTTATACGCCTATCTACACACACACACGACCCAAGCAACTAGTCAGCCAATAATCCATGTTGCGCAAACCGAGTCCTTGCACGGCGTTGCCAGTGTTGCATTCGGTTTGCAAAGCCTGGCTCGGCTTGCAGAATCAGGGTTCCATTTGTGACAACCCCAAACTGGACTTAAACCCAGGGGTGGTTGATTTGCCCCCTACGTTATGTCGCCATTGGGGTTGTCAAAAGACGGAACTCTGTGAGAATCCTTTTCACAGCACCCAATGTGGGGCCTCATCAAAAGGTCCTTTACATGGGATGACCATTGGTTGCAGAACCCACTAAACAGAGTTGATGTTTCAACCACATGGTGAAAGTTGCCGGTGGTCAAATCTGTGGAGGCCCTTGTCGGGCATATTGGTCCACCCCCCTGTGGCTGTGGCTCAAGAACATGTACCAAAATGGCACCTTGGTAAATGGCACCAAAGAACCTGTGCAACCCCAGTTCTTCATCTGTTTCGTCCATGGAAACACCGATCCATATGGGTTGGAGCATAGGTGTCCTTCTTCAATTTGACTCCAGCAAGTCTTGCAAAGCCGAGGCACGTTTTCGGCCATGACTTGCAGCACTTCCTTGCGGGCCACTCCAGCGCATCGCCCAGGTTCCTGTGATGCGAGTGGGCGGAGAAAAACCGCGACCCACACCGAACGAACTGGGTGGCTCGTCTTTTTTGGCCCCCCCAACAAAAAAAACGACAAAAGCCGCAAAAACAGGGGGAGCCTCAAAAAATGCGACCCGTCTGAGCAGTCTGAGCAGTCTGAGAAATCTGTGTGTCACTCTGAGATGCAGAGCTTAAGGCTCGCGCTGGCTCCAAGTGGTTTCCACTCCATCGCAGCTCTGCTTTTCCCGAGCATGGATGATCAATGCTGGATACTCACCATGCGTGTACCTCACCCGCACGTAAATCAAGACACACCAAGTAACGGGAAAAAAGATTCAAAAACTTCCGCTTCGGTCGGGAGGCGCCGACATCTCGTCTTTGCAGGTGTGGTACTTGTACGTCAGATTTGCGGCGGTACACGCCTGCTTTGTCTCGCAGTAGCAGTAGGGAGAATCGGGATAGCCCATCGCAGAGCCTGAGACATCCGGAGGCAGGAGCTTTCCGGGGCGAGTTATATGAGGCTTGCCGACTTGGACTCGAAAACATGATCAGACCGCAAACCGCGGTCAAAAGGTGCGACAGAATCTGGATTAAAGCATCTATCTACAAAATACATCTCATCATAGGTGGCCTTTTAGGGTAAATAGATGGCCCTGGTAGATGACTAAACCACCAGGTAAACCAGGAATCGCCATCTATTCTTCTACCAAAACAGCCAAAAAGGACACCTATGCATCTGATTATCAGCTGGGATTCAGCCTGCGCTGGTGCAGGCAAACTCTGAGATGTTACTCTGCGTAGTCATATCGCACCAGCCGTGATCCTCGCAAAGGTCGGGTGATGTGTTGAACGCATGGCCATGTGAGCCACACTCGAAACCCTGGTTCGTGTTTTGCTTCATATCTACGAATTCAATCCTCTTTTGAAGGGTTCATAATCAATTCCTATGGATCGCCAAAGAACGTCTTTGGTTTGCCTGGCACCCTGTCAAGCGCGCAACGGGCGCTGCAGGCGCAGCTGAAGCAAGCTCTGAACTGGTGCCAAAGTCTCTGACATCAAAGAATCAGGCATGAACTCGTGAAAGCTATCACAAGGATGGATGTCTTCGAGGGTGTAAGTCCGCGACGTCGTTGTTGTCGCAGTGGCAAATGTTGTCGTCGCTGTCGCTGTGGTTCCGACAAACCATGTCACTGCAAGGTAGCTGACGCTGATGCGTGGGGCAGGGTCGATCCCCATCTTCACAAAAACGTGTGAGATGGCAGAAGATAGGCCGGCATCCGTGCTCTGCGCCAATGCACTGCTGATCTGAGCGGCAAGATCCGATGCACAAGCAAATGTAAATATAATTTTGATCTCCCCCGCGTTGCGCTGCAACAAAACTGGCGTGGCGGACGGCATGATCGGCACAACCTGGAGCTTGATAGCATCTGGCTTGATTCCATGCCCGACGAGCCCAGTCAGCGCAGTCTTCAGCGGGGCCTCACCAAGGGCCTGCAAGCGCACTGGCTACGCGAAAACACACAAACAGGCAAGCGCACACACACACACACATCTAAACATCTACACATCTGAGTGCTCAGGGTGAAATTGAAATTCCTGAAAGGACAGAGCATCTTCCTTATAGATAAACTAGAACATTGTTCTCGTTCAAATGATGCAGTGCAAACAGCGCAAACAGGTGCTCAGGCGCGTGGATTGCACGCCAGGTGGCTTGGAGCGTTGCAGCTGCCGTGTGGTTGAGGGCAGTCGCGTCGTAGCTCAAGACAAAACTGCCCTCGACAGTGCTCTCAAAGCCTCGTCTGCCACGCTTCACGCTTGGATCGACCAGCAACTTGCCAGTGCAACATGCATCCACTGGCCCAATGCGCGGAGCACCTGCCAAAGAACTAAGAACCCAACTTCCGTAGAGGCTCTCACCACTGCCATCACTTCCACCTCTGCAATTGTGCAAGCTAACTGCCAATCCAGTGCGTCATAGTCAAAACACAACTACTCGTGACAGCGCTCTCAGACCCTCCTTTGCCACACTTCGCGCTTGGATCGACCAGCAACTTGCCCGTGCAACATGCATCCACTAGCGCAATGCACGGAGCAGCTGCCAAAGAACTAAGAACCCAACCTCCGTAGAGGCTATCACCAGTGCCATCACTTCCACCTCAGCCATTGTTCAAGCTATCTGCAAATTATGATTCTCGTTGGGAAGTACTGGCAGATTTCTTTCAGGCAAGGGGTTGCAGCTCCGCATGTCTTGTGCTTGTTTAGGGCAGGTGTAGGTGGAGTTCAAGTGGGTAGAAAGGCTCAGGGTTCGGGATACGAAACATTGCCAAAGCCGAGAAGTAGCGGAAGCTGCAAACGATAAAAGCAGAGGAAACAAACACTTCCAAGCAAATGGCACTCCGTTGTTCAAGGCAGAGTGTTATCGCTTGTGTTGCTTTGCGCTAAAGTCCTGCCCTCCTGCCTGCTTCCTTCCTCCTTCTTTCTGGCACTTGCTTGCGTTCCATTGCATAAAAGCGCTGGGGCAGGCACTGCTGATCCTGGTGGTGCTGCTGGCCACGGATACAAACGTTGTTGTCGCTGTGGTTCCAGCAAACCAGGTCGCTGCAAGGTAGCTGACGCTGATGCGTGGGGCAGGGTCGATCCCCATCTTCACAAAAACGTCTGTGATGGCAGAAGATAGGCCGGCATCTGTGATCTGCGTCAATGTACTGCCGATCTGAGCGGCAAGATCAGATGCACAAGCAAATGTAAATATAATTTTGATCTCCCCCGCGTTGCGCTGCAACAAAACTGGCGTGGCGGACGGCATGATCGGCACAACCTGGAGCTTGATAGCATCTGGTTTGATTCCATGCCCGACGAGCCCAGTCAGCGCAGTCTTCAGCGGGGCCTCACCAAGGGCCTGCAAGCGCACTGGCTACGCGAAAACACACAAACAGGCAAGCGCACAAACACACACACACACACATCTAAACATCTACACATCTGAGTGCTCAGGGTGTAATTGAAATTCCTGAAAGGACAGAGCATCTTCCTTATAGACTAGAACATTGTTCTCGTTCAAACCAGGCGGCTTGGAGCATTGCAGCTGCCGTGTCGTTGAGGGCAGTCGCGTCGTAGCTCAAGACAAAACTGCCCTCGACAGTGCTCTCAAAGCCTCGTCTGCCACGCTTCACGTTTCGATCGACCAGCAACTTGCCAGTGCAACATGCATCCACTGGCGCAATGCACGGAGCACCTGCCAAAGAACTAAGAACCCAACTTCCATAGAGGCTCTCACCACTGCCATCACTTCCACCTCAGCAATTGTGCAAGCTAACTGCCAATCCAGTGCGTCATAATCAACACAGAACTACTCGTGACAGCGCTCTCAGACACTCCTTTGCCACACTTCGCGCTTGGATCGACCAGCAACTTGCCCGTGCAACATGCATCCACTAGCGCAATGCACGGAGCAGCTGCCAAAGAACTAAGAACCCAACCTCCGTAGAGGCTATCACCAGTGCCATCACTTCCACCTCAGCCATTGTTCAAGCTATCTGCAAATTATGATTCTTGTTGGGAAGTATTGGCAGATTTCTTTCCGGCCTAATCCCAAGTCCCAAATCCCAAATCTCAAAATTGGATTTGGGATGCGCGAATCCCGAATCCCGAATCCCGAAATCCCGAATCCCGAATTTCAATATCGGATTTGGAAGTCGCGATTCCCGAATCCCGCATCCCGAAATTAGCCCAGTGATTCCAGTTACCTCCATGTGCGGAACCAGCTTGGTTACCAGGAACCAACCGTGAAAACGAGGCCCGGAATTGTGAAAAAGAGGCCCACAACCGTGAAATAGAGGCCCGGAACCGTTAAAACCGTTAGACAGGAATCTGGTTCCCACTTTTTGGGGGCCAAGCCACCAACGGCCAGTTGCTAGTATACTGGTTACTAGGAGTCGCTGGGTAGGATTTGGATTTGGGATTCACGACTCATGCTTCCCGAAGTTCATCTGACGTCTCAATGCAATTCCACGCGCTCCGTCTTTTTTCTTTTTTCCATCACAGTTCTCTTGATCGATTGTGACTTTGGTATAGGCAAGTATCTCAGCTATAAACGCATGCCACACTGCAAGGGAAGGCCAAACTCAAAGTTGGGCATGCCCTGCAGTGAATCAGCCCAGTGTGGAAAAATCCCAAAGTGGAAGGATCAAGTGAACAAGTCTTGCAAGACCCTCAATGAGAGGTCAGATAAACGTGCAACGTGCGGAAGCGCCGCAGGCAGAACTTCCCACCCTGGCTCTACGGCTGCCACGCCTTCTCGAGACATTCGGTCGCTCAGGTTGGCAGCTGACTCCACGTGTTCCAAGTATGCTCGACACTCTAGTTTGGCACACTGCAAGTGAATGCAAGCCGCAATGGCAGCAATGTCTTCCTGTCATCTGTACCCACGGATGATTGCTGCAAGGGTCCCTTGGTTGTCCACAAAGTGCACAATGTCACAGCGCAACGCGTCTCCACAGGCGCGGGCCGCCAGGGCTAACGGCGAGACATTCGGCCTGGTTGATCGGCAAAAGAACTTGCATAATAGAGTCAGGCACAGCTAAATAGCCTACTTTTGGGTAAGCCCGTGAAGCACGTTGGGCAACAAAAGCCATCCCAGCTGGCTTGCCCGCTTCATACATGGCATCTGTGTAAATCCCTGCACAGTCCTGAACGCTCGTGCGCGGCCCGGCAGGTACTGCGCTGCCAACTGTAGGAAGAACAAGGCATCCCGTGAAGCTTGGTTGAGGAAACTTTCCATGCTGGATGGCCACTAATGCGTTTTCGCACCCCCTTAAACACTTGCCAGTAATGGTCGTCGACGCAAAGTGAGCCTTTGCGCACAGCTTCCCAGCTGCAGCTGGTTCCAGCCAATTGCACTCAAGCGCCTCTTGGGCAGCCACGCACAGAGTTTCACGCTTGTTGTTGTTGCAACCAACATGAACCAGGCTTGCAGAGAAGGCTTGCGAAAGGTCAACTTTACAGCCAATGTACTCTACAACAGCCTGCATCGCCTGCCCTTTGTCTATTGCGGCCACAGAGTGCAAGGCAGAGCGCGCAGTGCCTTTCCCCAAGGAGGTGTCCATGACAGCAAAGTCATCGTAATAATGGGTCACGCAAACAAGGGTAATCCGAGTTAGAAGCGCAACTAACAAGCCCGGGGCCCTATTATAATTGTTCACAGAGCTTTGAGCCCGAACGCATGGCCAACCAAGGGTAGGAACGCCAAGCGCCCTTGGTTTTTGTGGAACAACGCAGCAACGCTGAAGGCTGCCTGGCCATCCGAAGTAGCGTAGTAAAAATTCAAGCCCAAGTGAAACTCAAGGAAGCAGAGCTTGTTGCGCAAACCTGCTGGCCCAGATCTTCCGCGGCAGCTTGCCTTCAAGAAATCCGACACGAAAACTGCGTTGGTTGGGTGCAAAGGCAAAGAGTTCGCGCGCAGCATTCCGTCCACTTATTCCAAGTGTTTTGCACTTGCTGCAAACCTCTGTAATCAAAGGAAGCCAAACGTTGCTCAACCCCCGCCAACGTTGGCCACAAGCTGGAAGCGGAACCGACTTGTGGCCACTTGCTTGTGTAGAGCTGCACGTACATTTGCAGCTATCACAGGGGGCGGCGCAACTGGAATGGCGGCGCGAGGCGGCGTAGGCCACTTCGAGGCAACCATTCGGAGCGTGGGTACGCTTGGCTCATTAGCAAGGAGCACCCCCGCTTTGCGCGCTTCTCTTGTAAGCTTCAGTGTGAGGCGGCAATGCGCATCAAGAAACGGTCCACAAACGCTTGGATAATTTGCTGTCTGGTGATCGGAGCTGTCACTTCTTGCTGGAGAAGAGTCGCCAGGCGGGGTTCAAGCGCCTCACTGGGCGGCGTTGAGCGTAGCCACCATGATTCCGCGCCCGCAGAAATGAATGGATGTCCGGGCGATGAGGCAGGGTGGCTGCGGCGATGCAGTCAAGGAATTCACGAATGCAGCGTGCACCCATCCTGCCCCGTGCACAAAACGAAGCAGATCCCGACTCCCGAATCCCGAATCCCGGATCTCGAAATTGGATTTCGGATTCGCGAATCCCCACTCCCGAATCCCGAATCCCGGATCTCAAAATTGGATTTGGGATTCGCGAATTTTCCGCATCCCGAATCCCGAATCCCAGATCTCAAAATTGGATTTGGGATTCGCGAATCCCGAATCCCGAATCCCGAAATTGGGATTGGGATTGGTGATTCGCGCAGCGAATCCCGAATCCCGGATCTCAAAATTGGATTTGGGATTCACGCATCCCGAATCCCGAGTCCCGAAATTGGGATTGGGATTGGTGATTCGCGAATCCCGATTCCCGAGTCCCGAATCCCGAATCTCAAAGTTGGATTTGACATGCGCGAATCCCGAATCCCGAACCCCGAATCCCGAATCCCGAAATTGGGATTGGGATTTGGGATTGGAGAATCCCGAATCCCGAATCTCAAAATTCGATTTAAAATTCGCGAACCCCGAATCCCGAATCCCGAATCCCGAAATTGGGATTGGGATTCGGGGATTGGGATTTGCGAATCCCGAATCCCGCGCGGCGAAGCGATCCCCGGATCGCCACTCCGGCAAAGACGATTTCAAGAAGCGACGCTTCTTAGAGCACGGTCCAAAGCACATGGTGCTTTGGATTTCCCCAGCATCACCGCGGAACCGCAGCATCAAGGCACAACTTTCGTAGAAGACGAAAAGTGTTTCTTCCAGAGCCAGGTTTCCTGGACCGGAGTTAAACTGCGTGGATAATGTTTCGCCATATTGCGGGAATCGCTGGCACAGCAAGCGCCACTGCGGCTAGCTCTCGTCCCCTTGCAGCATCCAGTACAACTTCCGCTTGTAGCTCGCATCACGCATCACGAATCAGCAACTTTGAAAAGCAGAGGCAACCACTTGTTTTCTTATAAAGCCCAAGAAATGCGTGTGATGGGTCTTCTTCATCAAAACCTAATGCGGATGAACCAAATCCCCGTCTTGGGGCCGACGGCTTGGTTTCACAATGCCCGGCTTGAAAGCGGCCTTGCTGGTCCACTTCTCTCAGTGAATGGCTCTCAATGGCTCTCAAGGGTATAGGCATTTGCTGTTTTGAGATGTGGGTCAAAAGTAGGGCAACATGGGCAACCCCAAAATCAAACAGAGGTAAATCGGTCCATATCCTGGTGGTTTCATTTTGACCCACACCCATAATTCAGGGGCTGGTTTAGGTTCGGTTTTCAGTGGCTGGAGAAAGCTGGGTTTGGGGCTGGGCCCAGAGATGGTTCATGGCTTAATCTGACGATGTAGGTGGGTTTAGGGTAGGTTAAAGGATGGGTTTGAGTTGGCTTGGGTGAAAGGTTCTAGCCGGTGGACTGCCAAAGCCGGAAAATGCTGCAAACAAACGATTTTCAGCAGAGGAAAGCAAACACTTCCATAAGTGGCCTTTGGGAAAAATAGATGGTCCTGGTAAATGGAACAAAACCCATCGAAACGAGTGCCATCTATTTGTGTTTATCGAAACTGACCTAAAAAGGACACCTATGAACACTTCTAAACCAATGGCACGCCGGTGTTCAACTCGTTATCAATCTAGCTCCCAGAGCTGTGCTGCTTTGCGCTTCAGCGCCTTCCTGCTGTTTCCTTCTTCCTTCTTTCTGGCGCTTGAGCGGCAGTCGCTTGCTTGCGGTCGCTTGCTGTGTCCCCCCCCTTTTTTTAATCGAGGAGTAAAAGATACACGGTCATCTTTATTTGGATGCGTCCCTAAGACACCCCAAAAGATTGGAAGTTGACCTTTTGGTTTGCCTTTAAAGCCACCAAACAAAGGCTAGCCTTAAAACAATCAGTCTTGAGTGCCTGGGATTGCGTTGGGAAACGACCTCAAAAACAAGCGGGCACCGTGCCTCACAAAGACACGCAGCCAAGTATCAGCTTGGTCAAGATCCATGGATTGTTCGGGCGTGGTTTCAGACTGAGGGGTGCCGTTAAGCTTGAATTACACGAAGAGGGAAGAGGAACAGGTCCTTCTCTCCTGGGGTCTGCGCTTTGGCTTGATGTCGCCGCAGAGTAAGTTGTTGCTGCAGGTGTGCTTGTCGACATCACCGCATAAGATGCAACGACATCAGCAGGCTGAAATTGAAAAGGTGCAGGATCGATGTTGCTCGAAGTTGCCAATGCCTCCAATTCAGATTTCAGCGTTGCTCCCGTGATCTGATTCATAGAGTGAGCAAGGATCAGCGGAGATGTGGTCAGTGGGCACAAGAAGTGGAAAACGCATGTTCCCTGTGGCGAGGTTGGAGTCTCAGACAAATACTGAACATTGATGTCGTTGGGTTGCACGCCACTGCCAACCAGGGCAGCCAGCGACATCTTCATCACTTCGGCCATGTGCTTTTGCAAAGCCAATACGTCCGCCTGTGACCCATTGTACGTGGCAGGGTCATACACCGCAGGGTCATATGTAAAGTCAAAGCGCCCTTCCATCTGGGTAAGACCTCGATTGCGCAGGAATCCCATGACCCAGCGACACCATGCTCTCGTTCTGATTCTTGCTGCAGTCATGTGCGGTCCATTGCCAAAATTCACATGCGTGTTAAGACTGAGACCGGTGAAGTCTGGCCCATACAAGCTCTCTCCTGGCAACACAAGATGTGCCAGTGTTCGTATTTTCTATTGTGGCACCTCAGCTCACAGAATCCATATCACTCCCCATACAAAAATCCCCATGCCATGGTTTCACGTGAGGCATAGCCGGTAGCCCGTGCACAATTAGACAGAGAGAGTTCATTTACGTTGATAACCCCCAACAAATATGCTAAGAAAGATCCAAGAACTACACTCAAAAACATACATTGCCTTGAAAGCGACCAAAGTCTTCGAAAGACTGCCGAAAAACCTCGAAATCGCCGCCTTTGTGTACAAGTGCAGTACACGAAGTACCTTTTGGCAACTCCAGCACATAAATCGCAGCTGTTCAGTGTCCGGGCAGTACAAATTGGCAGCTCCAGCTTGAAAAACGCAACTTTTCGGTACCAGCATAGTACGCGTTAGCAGCCTCAGCTTGAAAATCGCAACTGTTCAGCCGTTGCGCTCTCGCTTTTTGGTCGTTGTGGTTCAACAAGTCTGGCCTGTTTGCTACCCGACAAGCCGATTTTTGCACAAGGCTGCTTCCCATGATTGTCGTTGTGTGTTTCGTTCTCCTCATCGTTTGGCGGCAGTTTTGGACACAAGAAAAAGTTGAGGATGCAAAAACAAATTATCAGCGGGTCTTATACAACAACTTGTTGTGAAATATATATATATATATACACATATATATATATATATATTATACGTGTGTTGCGCAGTGTAAACGCTTTCATCGCAAACACTCCGCTCCTGCCGGGGCCTGGTACTCTTTCGAGTGGCGGTCAAGTTCCGCGTCTGCACGGCTTGCAAACAAATCGTCCCGTTATTTTCTGGTGGGACAACTGCATCTCACGGGCGCAGCGCGCAGCCAAGGTGCCTCCGTCTGAAAGGATCTGGGACAACCCCTGGCCTCAGGAAGGGCCATGAATCATTGGGATTGAAGTGAGTTGCCTTTCGGGGGTTGCTCCCTCAAATTGGCTGTGGCTCAAATAAACGTACCAAAATGGCGCCTTGGTAAACGGAGCCAAACACTAAAACCCTGCGTAGCTCTTATTTTTGAGCCACACCCAAATGGGTGTGGGTCAAAAATAGGTACCCAAAATGGAACCCTGGTAAATGGAAACAATGACTAAAACCTGTGGTCCATATCCTGGTGGTTTCACTTTGACCCATACCCACACCCCATGTTTGGTGGTCTGAAAAGGGAAACCAAAAGAAAAACCAACATTTAGGGGTCATGGGAAACCAACATGGACTAAAACCTGCGGTCAACAATCAAATGACGCAAACCAACCAAAAGCGCGGGTAAAGTCACTGAGCCTCAGGCGCGACTGCCGCTGCAGAAGGGCTGCGGAGCTGGCGGCGCAGTTTCCTGTCACTTTTAACCGACGGCTTCATTTTGGGTGGAGGAACATCCATTTGCCACCTATTTTGATGTTTACAAGGGGTTTTGTGGGTTTTGACCCACAGCCACTTCTTTCATGAAACCCCCCGGGAGAAAACGGACACCCCGAAAAAAAATCCGGCCTGCATCGCAGCTCGCGCCGCTGGCGCAAAGTACTGGTACCAGTAGCAAAGTCCTCAATGCCATCCTCAGATATGGCTGCGAGTCAAAAGTAGGTACCCCACATGGGCATAGGTGTCCTTTTAGGGGAAATAGATGGCCCTGGTAGATGATTAAACCACCAGGTAAACCCAACATTGCCATGGCACCTGAAAGGGGATCGATCCCTCCAAGAATTAATGTTCCAGGTACCCTCCCACAGGTGCCAGGTCAGTTGGAGGGAGGGTACCCAAAATGGGTTGCCCGAGTACATGGAAACATGGACTAACATCTGCGGCCTGGTTTAATTTTTTGACCCATGCCCATATCCAAATCGATTTGGTTTGAAGAAGCGAGACTTTGGCTGGCTAGAGGACGCTTGCGCCGGCGCTTTTCTGGCCGAGACTCATGCTTGAGGTTGCGGTAGGGTGGGAAAGTGAAAGCTCCAAACTGGAGAGCTGCGCGCGAGACATGGGGCAATCCTTCATGAAACCCAAGGTGAAAGGTCCTTGCAAAGCTTTCAAGCTCTTTTCCAACCAGTCTCCAAAGCGTCCAAACGAACACCAGCAATCAACGCGGATGCGTGCGGTCGCTTCATTTCTCCGCAGGCTTTCCAGCAGCGGCTTCTTTGGCACGCCGCAGATCTTCGCCGCCAACGCCGCCGCGCGGCCTCGGAGTTTCGGCGCATCGATTCGGCGTCCCTCCGGCCGATTTGGCGTTGGGGTCCCGGGCTTTCGGCGAGCTCCGTACACAGCAACTGAGCGACCTCCGGTGCATTGTCAATGTGAACCCACACGGAGACAAACGCGTTTGAGCGTCCAAAAGAACCCGCTCCACGCAATTTGCTTTGAAACAGAAGTCGTCACGCCTCAAGGGCAGACACCATGCCCTCGCCATCGTCTGCTCCCGCTTCGCATCCATCAACCAGCAAAACCATCTCGCCTTTCCTTGGGCAGCTGGTTGCGTCGCAATTCACGTGAAAGCAGGTGCTTTTTTGGCCAGAACTCTGATTCTCGGGATGTTCCTGCACCTCCTGCAGGACATCCTCCACAGCGCCTGGCCGGCGCGTGCTTCGGCTGCGAGGCGCGAGGCGCGGCTGCGACGCGAGGCGCGCCTCGCAGCCGCGTCTCGTAGCGCTTCGTGAGCTCACGGCACAACACCACCGCCCGCGCGGGCGCGAACTCCCGCAGCATCTCCAGCGTGGTCCTTGAGCCGAAGCCGACGCAACCCCACGAGAAAAATGGGAATGGGAGTGGGCCAAATGCAAAGATATGTTGACTGGCTCATGTCAACCTCGATGGTCCCAAACTTAAAGGCGGCCCGTGGACCAGTACTCGACCCTCACAAGCCAATCGTACGTGCGCTCAAGCGGTTCAAAGCACTTCTCAGGCGGGGCACAGCAAACGGTGGGGCGCTTCGTACAGGATGAGCGTAGCCGCTGAGGCCTCTCAAACTCACCCGCAATGCAGTCCCACGACACCCGCGACACGCGTCACTGAACTCACAGCGAGAGCGCCACGCGCCTGTCGAAGCAGCTTCTGGAGCTGACTGCGCCGGGCCGTAGGCTTGGGCGCCAGAAATCCGCCGAACAGAAAACCTCGGAGGGAGTTGTTTCCCGCCAACGAGCCTAACTAACATGATTTCGGCATGAGCTTGACTTTTCCGGGGTCTCTCCAAATTGGGCTCACCCCTTAAAAGGTTGGTTTTCCCTTAGGGTATGGCTCAAAATTAAAAAGCAGGGGGCTACGCAGGTTTTGGTCCATGTTTCCACTTACCAGGGCAACCGGGGTTTTGAGCCATGGCCATTTTTACGAACCTCCCGTGGAAGTGCACAAACCCTTCCAAGAGACTCTTGTCTTTCCAGGTCTGTCCAGGTTAGTCGGTGAGAGGGTAAAAACAAACACCCACTGGATGGATTGGACTGAAGGTGTAGGATGATTTGAGCCGTGTGTTGAACCATGGAATTCCGGTGTTTTGAGCCGCACCCCCTTGGCGTCCCTAGAAAACCCTCCAACACACGAGCCTTCCGAACCCGCCGCCCGGCCCCTTTCCGCCCCGCGCCTCGGGAGGTGGGCAGCGCAGCCACCGAGAGCGCCGCGGTGAGGGCGGAGGCGCCGGGCACGGGCCGCACCGGGAAGCCTCGCACCGGAAACACATGGCGGCGGTCAACCATCGGGAAACCTTGAAATGGGCACCCTCCCAGTGCCAGGTCAGGAGGGAGGGTACCCAAAATGGGTTGCCCTGGTAAATGGAACCAAGGACTAAAACCCGCGGTCCCCTGGTTGTTTAACTTTGACCCATACCCACATCCAACGGCAAGCCCCGCAGAAATTCTTCACTCGTCTGCGTTCTGCTGCTATCAGCTTTTAACTTTTGGTGGTTAATTCGGAAAACCCAGTAGTTGGCAAAAAGTGAAAGTCCTGATATCCCTCAAAATGCAGCAAAGTTCAACACTCGCCATCTATACACGTCATGTGAAGTGGACAGCTCCAAATTTGCCACGTCTCTGATTTTTGGGCTCCGGGGCCGTCCCTTCGAGGCCCGATCCAATTCACGCCTCACCTGGCGCCTCACCAGGAATCTGAATGGGCTCCCAAAAGTGTATCCTTGAGAGAACTTGAATTTGAGCCCAACCCCAAGAACAGCCCCTTGATCAAAACAACAGCAGCCTTGACCAACTTCAACACAATTTTGTATCATGAAGGGGCTCTAGCAAAACCTCGAAGGGGCTCTCTTCAGCCCATGCTTGTCATCCCGTGTCACTTTTGCCCAAAAAAAGATGCGACTGCTTCCCTTCAGGTCCCGCCTTCATCCTGCAAGATGCGCAGCACGGCAAAGCCCGGGTCCGAAAGCACCGGGGTTCCGGCGTCCGAGACCAATGCCAGCGACCTCAAACTGAGGCAAGAAGTGGGGCAAATAAGGACAATTGTTGTCTCCAAAAATGATGGCGTTCTTGCTGGTTTCCCCCCAAAGCCACAAAAACAAGGAACCCTCAAACAACAGATACACACATATTGTCTGGAGCAAAACGGAAAATTCCGGGTCTGACTGGGCGAGGTACTGTCCTTCCCGCAGCCGCCGGAGGATATGCTGGCCAGCCTGCTCCTGGCTTGGGAGGAGCTCACTTGCCAAGGTGGGTTCTTCGCCCCACCTCGTTGAAGGAATGGCAGCTGAACAGTGGGGGTGCGGAAACACCAAGGCGCTGAAGTAAACGCGCCGTGCTCCTTGCAAGCATTCTACGGGCCCCAAAGGATGCTGCAAGTGCATGCAAAGTACCCGCCACACATGGGGTGCCGAAAAAGCCAGCGTATTCCTCGTGTCTTCCGCAAATATGGCATCCACCTCCGGCATCCGGCAACAAGCTCGACCAAACATACATGGTCATAGTTTATACTGAACACATCCATGCCACAGTGCACGCGCTGCTTCGTTTGCATCTCTTCCTGGACTTGAATTCAGCCTGCTCATGCTTGTTTTTGGGTCGCAGCCTCTCTCATCACCTGCAAGGCTCTCAAGGTGATGTCCCCCAAGTTGCCAATAGGCCTCGCATCCAGAGGGGGCCACAAGTCACGCAACGGAGAACTGCTCGAACCCCATGGCTCCGGCCAAGAGGCGTGGCAACCACGTACAGGGCAGGACGCTCCAAAGGGGAGGGGTCCTGAGGACAAAAACCAGTGAAGGCCTCGTCAAAAGCTGAGAACGACTCTGGCCTCCATGTCAATTTCATGGGGCCTCACTGCACAAAGGCTGAGCCATGACTCAAACTCCAAACAGTGCTTGTAGCCAATGCAAGCCAAGCAGCACTGCGTCTGGGTCAGCCTCTCCTGCAACTATCTCCTCACCTCGGCACTGCTCTCACGCACTGTCTGCCTTCAACCAGGTCATTCTTCCGGGGGCCCCCAGCCTGGAGCTCGCGGATCGAAGCTTCGCCAACATATATGGCCCGCTGTTGGGTTTGCGGGGAAAGCCGGCTTCCGAAGTCGACCATTTTAGGGTTCCGATTCCATCTTTTGAGAAGCACCTCCAGCAATGAAGACCACAATGGCATGTTGGCACCGGCGCAGACCTGAGCGCCCTGCGCTCGCGCTTCCTTCGCGCCCGACATGCCACGTGCCGCCGCAGCCTCCGCGCGCACGGTGGCGAAGCGGCAGTCCAAGACGCTTCGACCTCGCCTGGAACCAGCGGCCACCGGCCACAGCCACGAGCGGTGGCCCAAGCAAGCGGGCGACACCGGCGCCAGCGCGCCAGCCACGGCCGGCGAGGCGCCAGGCGCCGGCACCGCGGCCGGACTTGCAGCCGGCACGCGCACATTGCCGGCAAACATGAGCCTCTCGCAGCTTCCGAAGCCCCGAAAACGTCAAAAAATGCCACAAAAAGCCTTGGGCATTCGGTAGACTATGCCTGGAAGCGGTTGATTTCCGGGGAAGTGCTGTGCAGCTTCCCAGCCGAAACACCATGCTTTGCACTGTCTTGTAGCCTGGGTCTCAAAGCAGGCATGCCGGGAGGCGTCATTTGAGAATCCGTCCTTTGCGTGGGAAGACGTCAATAGGTAGGAAAACATGCCAGCTCATGATCTCAACTCGAGCCATCTTGGACATCTTGTCAAGCTAAGCTGTTGCACTTGGATGTGCCGTGCGCCAATTTTCCTCTGAGAGTCTGTGGCCATTTCTGGTCTCTCAATGACTCGAAACTCGCCACCTCTTGCAGAGCGGCACCCTGTCTGCCCATAGGCGCAGCGATTTGTCGCCACATCATGCCGCACCAGCTGAAAAAGCTGTTCAACAGCACACCCAGTGACGCATGAAAACCCGCAAATCTTGCTCCACTTGACAACGAGCTGACCAAAAGAAAGAACAAAGAAAGGGCCGGCAAGGGCTGTCCCATATTCCCAAGCAAAAACGCTGCTCTTGCTGAAACAATAGCACTGGGCGAGCAAACGTGTCGACATGCGCCAGAAGGCCTGCGCAAAAAAGGGCCACACCCCATTCGAGGAATCGCAGGAGATGGCTGGAGATGCTACGGGGCACCGCTCTTGAGCTGATCTCAAAAGCCAAGAGCAGTGAGGCACGAGCCTCCCGGGCTAAAGCCCGGGGAGATCAAAAGCTCGAAAGGCTGGATGTTGGCAGAAGACTCACGCGAGTCTCTCCATCTCCAACCTTCGGTCAGCCTTTTCCAGGCGCCTTGGGACCCTTGTCCTGGGGGCGAGCAAGCAGCAACCCGGAAGCGATGCACACAAGCCCGAGCAAGCGAAGCCTTCAGGAGCATGAAAGCTGCGAAGAGGGGTTCAGACAGTTCCTGGCACAAATCGTCATCTCTCTCTCTCACATCTCCTCTGGTACAAAGCTACCAGAACAAAACACCCCGCCCATGCCACAGAAGCACCAGAGGCATTTTCTTCTGCGCGCCAGCTCACACAAAAACACAACGCTGCATCCTGGCTCACTTGCTCACAGCCTCTCCAAGGCTCTTCACGTCAGTCTTGCTGAAGACGTTCCTGGCAATGCCCACCACGGAAATGGCAAAGAAGAAGAGCAGGTAGCCCAAATCCGCAGACACCTCGGGAGCCTGGTAGGTTGGAGTGATGAATTCAGAGTCGATGCTGGCGGTGTCAGCGTACGCGGCACCCGACATCCTTGACAAGCACAAACGTGAGGGGGGGGGGGGGTTCGCAAAGCACAACGCCACACAAAGACACACAAGTGGCCCCTGTGCTGCTGCTGTCCGCTGTTCATGATTCTGAATGACACGCTGTCATCCGTGCAGTCCACGCTACTTTGCTGACAGTTTGCTGACCCTCTCAGCCCCTCACATCAAAGGAGCCATGGCTGCTGCCGGCACAATCACGGTTCGCGGCACTTCCTTGGGCGCTGCAAGGAACGACATGCTCCGCGACAGCAATGCTGCAATGGCAGCAGCCACCATCACCAGGCTCATCACGCGGCGGGCCATGGCGCCAGCTAGGTGAGGGCTCGACTCTGAAGTCTTGAGAGTCTAGGTGCAGCACTGAGCCAAACATCACGGACATGTGTTGCGTTGAACAAGCTCGAAGAAGCCTGCTCAGCCAGTCCCAACAGCAGCAACCAGCACAATCAAAGACGAGCGAGCCAAAGCTAGTGCAAAACGGCATGTCAACTGATGCTCCTGTTTTTGCTGGGCAAACGCAGGTCTTCTCTCCTCGAGTCTCTGGGTTCAATTGCTTGTGGTTACCTGCGACCGACAGCCGGGCTAAGAAGCATCCGGCCGGCCGGCCCGTAAAAAGACGACTGCATCCTGGCTCACTTGCTCACAGCCTCTCCAAGGCTCTTCACGTCAGTCTTGCTGAAGACGTTCCTGGCAATGCCCACCACGGAAATGGCAAAGAAGAAGAGCAGGTAGCCCAAATCGGGAGACACCTCGGGAGCCTGGTAGGTTGGAGTGATGAATTCAGAGTCGATGCTGGCGGTGTCAGCGTACGCGGCACCCGACATCCTTGACAAGCACAAACGTGAGGGGGGGGGGGGGGTTCGCAAAGCACAACGCCACACAAAGACACACAAGTGGCCCCTGTGCTGCTGCTGTCCGCCGTTCATGACTCTGAATGACACGCTGTCATCCGTGCAGTCCACGCTACTTTGCTGACAGTTTGCTGACCCTCTCAGCCCCTCACATCAAAGGAGCCATGGCTGCTGCCGGCACAATCACCGTTCGCGGCACTTCCTTGGGCGCTGCAAGGAACGTCGTGCTCTGCGACAGCAATGCTGCAATGGCAGCAGCCACCATCACCAGGCTCATCACGCGGCGGGCCATGGCGCCAGCTAGGTGAGGGCTCGACTCTGAAGTCTTGAGAGTCTAGGTGCAGCACTGAGCCAAACATCACGGACATGTGTTGCGTTGAACAAGCTCGAAGAAGCCTGCTCAGCCAGTCCCAACAGCAGCAACCAGCACAATCAAAGACGAGCGAGCCAAAGCTAGTGCAAAACGGCATGTCAACTGATGCTCCTGTTTTTGCTGGGCAAACGCAGGTCTTCTCTCCTCGAGTCTCTGGGTTCAATTGCTTGTGGTTACCTGCGACCGACAGCCGGGCTAAGAAGCATCCGGCCGGCCGGCCCGTAAAAAGACGACTGCATCCTGGCTCACTTGCTCACAGCCTCTCCAAGGCTCTTCACGTCAGTCTTGCTGAAGACGTTCCTGGCAATGCCCACCACGGAAATGGCAAAGAAGAAGAGCAGGTAGCCCAAATCGGGAGACACCTCGGGAGCCTGGTAGGTTGGAGTGATGAATTCAGAGTCGATGCTGGCGGTGTCAGCGTACGCGGCACCCGACATCCTTGACAAGCACAAACGTGAGGGGGGGGGGGGTTCGCAAAGCACAACGCCACACAAAGACAAAAGACACACAAGTGGCCCCTGTGCTGCTGCTGTCCGCTGCTCATGATTCTGAATGACACGCTGTCATCCGTGCAGTCCACGCTACCCTCTCAGCCCCTCACATCAAAGGAGCCATGGCTGCTGCAGGCACAATCACCGTTCGCGGCACTTCCTTGGGCGCTGCAAGGAACGTCGTGCTCCGCGACAGCAATGCTGCAATGGCAGCAGCCACCATCACCAGGCTCATCACGCGGCGGGCCATGGCGCCAGCTAGGTGAGGGCTCGACTCTGAAGTCTTGAGAGTCTAGGTGCAGCACTGAGCCAAACATCACGGACATGTGTTGCGTTGAACAAGCTCGAAGAAGCCTGCTCAGCCAGTCCCAACAGCAGCAACCAGCACAATCAAAGACGAGCGAGCCAAAGCTAGTGCAAAACGGCATGTCAATGTCAACTGATGCTCCTGTTTTTGCTGGGCAAACGCAGGTCTTCTCTCTTCGAGTCTCTGGGTTCAATTGCTCGTGGTTACCTGCGACCGACAGCCGGGCTAAGAAGCATCCGGCCGGCCGGCCCGTAAAAAGACGACTGCATCCTGGCTCACTTGCTCACAGCCTCTCCAAGGCTCTTCACGTCAGTCTTGCTGAAGACGTTCCTGGCAATGCCCACCACGGAAATGGCAAAGAAGAAGAGCAGGTAGCCCAAATCGGGAGACACCTCGGGAGCCTGGTAGGTTGGAGTGATGAATTCAGAGTCGATGCTGGCGGTGTCAGCGTACGCGGCACCCGACATCCTTGACAAGCACAAACGCGAGGGGGGGGGGGGGGTTCGCAAAGCACAACGCCACACAAAGACAAAAGACACACAAGTGGCCCCTGTGCTGCTGCTGTCCGCTGTTCATGACTCTGAATGACACGCTGTCATCCGTGCAGTCCACGCTACTTTGCTGACAGTTTGCTGACCCTCTCAGCCCCTCACATCAAAGGAGCCATGGCTGCTGCCGGCACAATCACGGTTCGCGGCACTTCCTTGGGCGCTGCAAGGAACGTCGTGCTCCGCGACAGCAATGCTGCAATGGCAGCAGCCACCATCACCAGGCTCATCACGCGGCGGGCCATGGCGCCAGCGAGGTGAGGGCTCGACTCTGAAGTCTTGAGAGTCTAGGTGCAGCACTGAGCCAAACATCACGGACATGTGGTTTGTTCAATACCCCTCACTGCATGCAAGCTCGAGGTTGCACACTTAGAGAGGCTGCACCTTGTCTTTCAAGAAGCTGTTCTCGCTGACAGCGTGCTTAATGTGGTTGTTGATTTGCGTCAGCACATCCTGAGGCCAATTCGCAGCCCCGCAAAAAATTGCGCAGGCGCAAAAACGACAACGAAGCCCGCTCCGGGAAGTGCTGCTTCACCGCATCGGTGTTCGTTTGGATGGACTGCGCCACGGCCTGTTTCATCTCCCATCCAACTTTCACATGACCCGCGAAGCATGGCCCCGCACCCGGTACCAGTCGATGAGCTGCATCGTCCTCTCTTTGTCTCTCTGGGCCCTGAGCCAAGTCGCGGCTTTCTGCGCGCGTCGGTCCAGCTGGCTCGCTCACTCTCTAAGGGTGCCACCGGAGCATGCGGGAGAGCATCAGAACAAACAACATCTTCACGAAGTCCTGTTGCGTCAGCTGAAGAGCGATGCCCATCCCACGGCCCTGCCCACGGCTCCGCCTTGATGCTCTTCAGCATCTCCTCCTGACGGACAATTTTTGGAGCCTCGAAAGGGGACCCAAAGCAATGTTACGAAAGGGCGGCTGCACCCATTTATTGGTTGGGTGTGTTTTGAGGGGTACCCAGTTTGGGCTTGATTTTCATCGAAACCAAAAGAACCGCCATATTTTAAGATACCCCCATTTGACTTGCCCCTTCTGTGGCTCATGGGCTCGAATCTCCTTGTCGCCCATGCGATCCAACCTCGGCAACGGAAAAGACATGTCTGAATTTGAGCAGCAGCCTAAACAACTGACTGAACAAACTTGAAAGAGGTTTTGTGCGTGAAGGACTTCGAAGTTCAGGCAAACTCTGCATGTGAATTGCAAAGCCACAGCCAGCACCTTCCTGGATGCATGGGCTTTCCCTCTGAAGGTCACTCACAGCTCAGTGCACGGCACGAACAAGACATAGTCCACGTCAGCATCCGCAGCCTTTCGAATTAACGCATCGAACTTCTGAGTCTGTCCAAAACGTCAAGATCCCAAAACAGAAAGGGCCTCCCCCTGCTCTGCCGTGGTGTTGGCACCACCTTGCCTGGCAAGGACAATAAGGAAACTGAGAAATAACATTGGTGACGTGGCACGCTGACTGACCAGAAAAGATACAAGCTGGGCATTGCAGACAGGGCACAAGTCAATCGCCGTGACCACTGCCGTCTCCACGTTCTTCTCGTGCAGCAGCCTTAGCTCACAGCTCGCCAACGTCGACGGCATGGTGTTGCGGCATCCCCGAGCTCGAAGAGCATGCTTGCATGGGCAAGCAGCACAAGCAAGCCCTGCAACGTAAACTTCTCAGAACGTGTCACGTCTGAGACCCAGGCTTCAGCAGCCGCTTCAGCTGCTCCACGGTCTTATTGGCATACTGCCTCGCAACGGATCAACTCGCCCAAAACGCGAGGCCGTTCCCCAAGCAACAGCTCGACCGCTTCACCGCTCCTTGGCCGGCTGGCGACGTCGGGGCGGCTCGTGAGCAGCCTGGCGCCGCGACCGGCGGCTTCCGTGCGGAGCGGAGCCGTGCCGGCGGCGCGGCACCGGGTCCCAGTTCAGCTTCCGGGCCTGGCGATCGCTTCCTCACTCGGACGCCTCGTCTTCTTTTTTTGGCCACCTCTTCCTTTGTTGGTGGGTGGTTCTTGGGACACCCAAATAGAGGAAAAAAATGGGGCGTCCCCTGCAAAAAGACGCACCCACTCGGGGCATCGTTGCGCCTGGGGATGGTTCCGGTCATTGAAGGAGACGGAGAACTCCACCAACTGGTTGTGCTGATAGCCTGTCATCCGAGAGCTCTCAGTTACAAGATGAAAAAAAGAAAACTGGAGCTTCCAAGAGCTGCCTTTCTCCGACATCTGGCTCTTGTCCAAGTAGACATCTCTCTTGTAGGCCTCGGCCGGCTCCGGCTCTCCAAGACCGAAAAAGGAAAAAAAAGAAAACAGAAAAGAAAGAAAATAGAACCAAAAAAAAGAAAAGGAAAAAACCGATCGACCTCTTTCTGGGCCCCGGCGGCATGCGTCTCAGAGCACGCGATGAAGCCGAAGCCTGCGCTTCGCGCAAGTCCCAAGCCCTCGCCCCACTTTGGCCCAAGCGGCCTCGGGTGGCGGAGAAGCTCTTCACGCTGCCCAGGCGCCGGGGCTCGTCCGACCTCGAGCGCAGGCCTCCCTGCCTTCCCTCCCACTCCCGGGGTCCCGAAAAATCGTGTCTTGGTGGGGTTTCCCTTTGAAACAAAGCAAAGAAAGACGAGGACCCTCCCAAAAAAAGGACACACACAAACACACGCGCGCGCGCACACACACGCACACGCACCTGAGGCTCCGGCAGCCTCTCGGGAGTCGACTCCTTCCTCTCCGCAGCCTTTTCGCGCAAGGCGCAACCCACAAGCGCTGGGGCTCAAGTGAGTCATAATCATCACCAGAACCATGTAAAGAACTAAGAATTATGTATGCCCAGAACCACGTAGAACCATGTAATCATTATTGAAATGGTCGTAAGCCCAGAACCATGTTTCAAGAACTAAGGCGGATATCCGCAGCATTTTTTCTGGTTGGGAGTATCCCGTAACCTTCATCAATCCCCGGATTTTGGTTGAAGCTCAAGTGCACTCAGCACAGGACAGCCGCTGGATACCCTCCTGGCTCCAACCACGTGGGCGTGGCTCAAAACTAGGGATCGATCAGTGCCAAATGGATCCGGCAAATGGACAAGACGAAATCCTGCGTAACTTGAGCTGATTAACTTTCAGCCACACCCACGTTTCTGCAAAGACAAAGACGAAGACTCCAAGCCTGCCGGAGCCTTGCCCGGCAGAGCGGGCCTGTGACACACTGAACTGGTGCGACAACAAAACACGGTCCAAGGAGGATGTTCCGGGCTCCCCCGCACAGTTCCTGGTGTCACCTCAGTCACAGAACCCGTCAAAGCTGGATATCTGAGCGACTCAATCAACTCAAACGGACCTAGCCAAAGTCATGGCTAGTCGTTTGCATCACTTGTCAGCACACGTTCAGACGCGACGTGTTTCACGGGACATGTATCACCTCGGTCAAAACAACTTACTTCCCGAGGACCTGCGAGTCCTGGTTTTCGTGCGCTTCTCATGAGCTCCCCCCATGTCCCTCACACGGCAGACTGCCGCACTACGTTCCCTGAACCTCAACCGGCTTCTCGGGCTGCATCCATGGGGCATTTTTGGCAGGCAGCCGCGGCAGCCAGTTGCAATCATAGGCCTCGCGCAAATCGAAGAAAAAACGGCGGCCCCAAAGCGAAAGCCAACGAACGGCTCCCGTCTCCTGCGGCTGCCCTCTGCTGTTCACTTGCACCGCAAACTCCACGGGCTGGCGCGAAGGAGGCAAGAGAGCAGTGCAGCCAGCCACAATCTGTTGCAAAGGTGAGAAACCTTCTGAAGAGAAGGCAACAATCTGGCTGTGGCTCAAAAAACCGGAATTCCAAAATGGAACCCTGGTAAGTGGAAACATGGGCCAAAACCTGCGGTTTGCCCCTCCTGTTTAGTTTTGAGCCACACCCGCGTCTGTCTCAGTCCACCTGTCCCAGCTGCGGCGGATTCGGCAGGTTGTTCTTGTGGATGAACACCTGCGTCGCAACGTGTCTTAACATTGGGGAACCCACTTTGAATCATGTCCGTTGGGTTTCATGGAAACCAACTCCCAAAAACAGGGCACACCAATACTTCAAAGAAACCGTGCGAGAACGGTTGCGCTCTCATGTAGTGCAAAGCTATGCGCTATGTTGCCTCGTTGCTGCCAAGCCGCGTCACACCCCCAATCCTCCTTCGACTGCTTGCACCTGCCATTGAAAGAATAAGTCCGTACTTTCACGTATTCTTCTGCAAACCCACTTGGAAAAATGGAGGGAGGGAGGGAGGGAGGGAGGGAGGGAGGGAGGGAGGGAGGGAGGGAGGGAGGGAGGGAGGGAGGGAGGGAGGGAGGGAGGGAGGGAGGGAGGGGAGGGAGGGAAGGAAGGAAGGAAGGAAGGGAGGGAGGGGGAGGGAGGGAGGAGGGAGGAGGGCTACCAGTGGGCAGATTATTCAAAAGTGCACTCTGCCCGAGTGCATTTCTCCGTTTTTGGCGTGATTTGAATGGATTGCTTGTTTGTTTGGGATATCTCTTTAGCAAGAAAGTCTAACTAAACTCTACATGTTAAATAGAATGTCCAGTAGGATTATTTTTCAGTCCTATTCAAATGATATTCAAAGTCCAACTATTTGTTGGAGCGGCAGTGGGGCGAAGATGTGATGTTAGTAGGAAAACTGCGACCAGACCATGGTACTGGTTGGGGCTAGGTAAAACATCATTTTACAAAACAGCTATATGTCAAAACAATGATCGAGCACGCTTGCATCACCAGCCAGCATTCCTGGCATCACCAGCCGGCATCCCACAGCGAGCACCCATCTCTGGCCCGCATCTCCAGCAACCCCTGCATCATCTGCAACATGCGGTAATGTTGCAAAAACTGATGCTGACTCCCCCCCCCCCCCCCAGCCCCGCTATTTCAACAAGTCAAGACAATAATGTCACAGCAACAGCAGGCTTGCATCAGGTTATTTGGCAAAACTTCGCGCAAATTTGAGCCAAGCCGACTCGATGAAGCCATAGCCATTCTTCATGTTGAAGGTCTTGAGACAGCCAACCTCATTCATACGCCGTGCAACTGTCAACTCAAAGTCAGACAAATTTGCACAGAGCAACGTAGTAGGCAACGAATTCACCGTTGTAGGCCTCGCGAGCCAGGCTACCGCATGTGAGAAAGTGTGGCAAATCACCTGAACAAGGCATGCATTGTTGGTAGGATAGCAAGCAAACCTGTCAAGAACTGCGGTTTCAGACGCTGGTGACGCCATCAAGTGCATTGCAACCTGCCTGGTAGAATCCACGCAAACGAGACTTGTGGTGATTCAGCAGCCTCGGATTTCACTGGAGGCGCTGGGAATGTCCAAGTCGATTTGTGCGACAGTCAAACCAATGCCAACCCCACCAGCAAAGGAGAAGAGTCCAATGGCGGAAGCTAGCGATGGATTCCGGGAGTCTGGATCGCTCAATTTGGGTCCAACACTGCCTCCACTCAGCATTTTGGCACAAGACTCATAAGACCCGAAACAATGCAGCCACCACCCACCCAATCAAGCAACCAACCAACGACCACCTTGCGAATGCTGGGACAGTTTAGAGCCTACTTCCCACCAAATGTGGGGCATAAAGCACACCCACATCAAATGGTCCAACATGAGGACAAGCGCAAGCGAAATGCAATTCTTTGGCGCCGGATGGTTTTCCTGCCAGGTCACTTGGCATGCAAATCATCCGGGCCCTGGCACCGCCCACACGGCGCGCCGCAAGACAGAGCTCGGTGGGCCCCGCCCGCCTCCGCGCTTGCCCGTGGCACGAAGGCCGGGGCGTCCACGCGCGGCACGAAGGCCGGGGCGTCCACATTGAAGGAGCCTGGCCCCAACTGGCGAGGCGGTTTCCAGCCGAGCAAGTGACTTGCTCGGCAGCAGGTAAGAACTCTTACCCCGGCAAGCTCGTGCATAGCAACATCTTGACAGCTGACCAAAGCGACAGATGCCACACACGCCGCCTTTCGCAGTCTCGCCTCAGCACGCAAAACAAAGTCGCCTTTAGACCTCCCTTTCACCCGAGCATGGCATATCACTCAACCGAGATCGTCTCTGCAAACACAGCTATGAATCCGCACGGCTCTGCTGCAACTCAAGCAAAGCCCCCTGCCTTCTGCTTCCCCATCTACTACCACCTGGCTCACTGCTTGGTTCGCCAAAGAAATGAGACAACACGTGCAGTTCGCTAGCGGCTATCTCACGAATTGGGTTTGCAAACGTCTCACGGTTGCAGCCCTAAAGGCGACCCAAAATGGCCTGTCTCGTTGCTTGCACTGGCGAGGGCACGGCATTTTGTGGACCTTGTTTTCCCAAAGCCTTCCCGAAAGTGTGTGATAATAATAGTAATAACAATAATAATAGCCTAATAATAATAATAATAATAATAATAAAAATTAATAATAATAATAATAATAATAATAATAATAATAATAATAATAATGATAATGATAATAATAATAATAATAATAATAATAATAATAATAATAATAAACACAAAATACACCTGCATAGACCAGCACCTGCAACAGCACCCCCGGAAGAGCGCCCCAAACAGCAGTCACCACGAACAGCACCCTCAAACAGGAGCACCCAGCGTTCAATCTGGCAAGGATGCGCCCGCACTGTCACCAGCAGCCCAAACAGCAGCCTGGACAATATCCCTCCGACCTGCGCCAGCACCCCAAATTGCATGCCCCCTGGCACCCTACCGTCAATCTTCCAAAAATGCGCCTGGCCGTCACCACCTCAAACCGCCCACACTGCAGGTCCTAGCACCCAGCCTCCTGCACAAACACCAGCACCTCAAACAGCACCCCAAACAGCGCCCCCAAACAGCGCCTACACCAGCACAGCAAACTGCACGCCCCCTAGCAACAGCCCGTCATTCTCCCAAATCACTTGTCCCTCTTCATTAGAAGTTAGAACCCGTATAGCTTTCAGCTATCCGGGATTAAAAGAGAAAAAAACAACCCCGCGGATACCAGAACACGGAGCCTCAGGCTCCTCAACCTGCGCAAGGTGCGGAGTCCAAAGCCATGGTCAATCTTGCCCTCTCGAACGTGTCAGAGGATGTTAGTGACATCTCCACGTCTTTGGTATCTTGAGTGTTCCCATTACGACACTTGACACTTGGGAGAAAAGCTCGTTCCAATATTTCGGACATACCAGCATTGAATTTGGGAGCACTGCTCGACTCTTGGACCTGCGCAGGATCTGCAAGCATGACTTGGCCCTTCCCGAAATCTGCGGTAAGGGCCTGTTGCTCATGTGTACATCCCCCACGGCTACATTGTTCATCTATCATGCGCGCGAAGTCAGAAGCTGCATTGGAAGTATCAAAGCATGTTCCTTGCCTGCACACTCAAAACTGCAAATTAACGCACCACTGGGCCGAGCGATGGTGATTGGAATCTCCCCAATTCTGTGCAAGCACAGGCCTCCCTCTCTGGCTTCTCCTCTGCCATTGCCGGGACCTTGGCAAGTCCCTCAGGCGCGTGGCTCCGCAGTCCAATGAGAACAGCAAAAGCAACCATCCAGGAGCACCATGAACCGTTTGCAACAAAGGGCCAGCAATATGAGCCAACCACAGTCTCCCCGTGCCCTGTAACAAAAAGGTGAACGTCAGCGGCAATAGCCTGCTGACAGCTGCAAAGTTGCCAATCCCAGTCCCTTCACAGTAGCTGCCGAACCCTGAGGCTGGCGCGCGTTGCGTTGACACGCAGCCACAACGTGTTGTGACCGATGCTTGCCACAAGTTGGTTTTGTTAAGTTGTCCAAATGGACTGGCTGCCGCATGAAGAGTTGTGCTGTGAAACGTTGTTTGAACGAATCCATTACCTTGCTCTCACTTGAGCCTGGTTTTGACAAATGGCATTCAGAATGGCCTCCAAAAACCGCCAATACGCAATGCCCTGCCCAACTGATTATCTGTGTACTTCGGCCAGATTGATCTAATAACAAAACAAGTTTGTGACATGGCTGGCCTCGGAAACAACAGTCGGCGACCCCAAAGCGTGCTGATAGGCCAAACACGGACTGCGTATTCCACCCAAACATGTTGTTTCTCCTCCGTGGAGGATGGATCGCCAAGAAAAATTGAACACCGCATTACAAGTATAAACGACAAAAGGACTTGGAGAGAGCACAAACAAAAGGCCTGCATGAGCGCGGAGCAAACTTTTGTACTTGCAAAAATTCATGACATGTCTGCATCCAAGCGTTCACGCAAACTGTCGAATCCCTCCTGCGCCTCGCGCCCCGCCCCAGTGAGGCGCAGAGGCGCTTTTCCTCTCGTTGAAGCAACATGAAGCAACCGTCAGGTACACAACGCTTGCGCTTGCCTCGATGTTGTCACCGCGAGAAACCTATCTACATTAGGTACGCCTACCGCCTATCAGTTTCATGAGGGTCGCACGATTGATGACCAGAAAGTACCCCTGCAAAAAACGCAAGAGCGACCAACAGAAGGCCCCCTGCTCGAACATGACCGGTTTCCTCAATATCACAAACACACCAGCTTCAGCTGCTCGGCAAACCAGGCAGGCAGCCAGGGCCCACCCGCCGATGCCGCTGCAACCGCGTTCTGGTGCGAAGCACGTGTCCACACACTTGTTGTTTTTTGAGTTTTGTCATCTCTCGCAGTCACTTTCACGCATCGAAGCGGGTGCATTGGGAGGTTGCCCCCCTTCCCGTTTTGGGAAAGCCCCATACACTGGAATCCTGGAATCGGCCAACTGCCCATCGTTCCCAGCCGGGCATTTGATGCCCGCGGGCTTGAGAAAAATGAAAAAAATGTGACGACGAAAAAGCAAAGCATCACAGGACTGGCAGGGTGGCGGCAACAGGACAGTTATTTTTCCTCTTTCGCGACAGTCTTGCCTGTTTGCAGGACCGGAGAGGACTGGCTGGCAGGGTGGGCAGCTTTTGCGGCAATACCGCGTGTTTGCAGGACCTGGCATGAGTGGCAGGGCTCGTTTTCTGTTTCCCCCTTTTTTGCTTTTTTTGCGCCTGGATGTTTGCAGCGGCAGGGCATCAGGAGCGATAGAATCCTGTTGACTGCTTCAAGCACAGAGGGAACATGCCATGAAAAGGAAGTCCAACCGACCCAAACGCTCAGCTCCTTTTTTACAGGTGTTGCTCAGAAGTTCAGGCTCAGGGGTACAGGAGGAGTGACAATGCGTGTCCACTCCCTATCCCTGCACCCCCACACAGATGCCCCCAAGGTCAACAATGCGTGTTCGACCTTCACACAAGGTGTTTTACCTATGGGGTGTGAGACAAACAGGAAGCATGCTGATCACAACAAGAAGCAATGCGTTCATCCTGTGTGTGGCACAGAGGAATGCGTCCTCTGCTGATTGGACCAACGATGGATTCTCTGCTGGTGGGACCGTTGATAGGTCCTGTTGGATGCAATGCGTGCATTCGTGTGGAAAAAGAGTAACGCGTATTCTGCGGTTAGAATAATGCGTATTCTGTGGATCTTCGTAGCGAGCGGGCCAGATGAAAGCAAGGTTCACTGACCTAGACAAGAATGCATGTGCTAGCAAATTGGCGGTGCGAAACCAGGGCAAAGCAAGGCTGGGCCGAACTCGTCGATAAGTTCCAGAAGAACTATCCAGGTGAGCTGTTGGGCCAGACAGCATGCCTAGCATTTGCTAGTGTACGAAATGGCCAAATCTAAAACATTTCAAGTGGATTCCATGGCAGCTTAGGCTCTCATCCCGGCAATACCAAAAGGCCGTGGAAGCACGGGCACGCACGCATAAAGTCCGCGCCGAAGCACAACTGCTCACCCAAGCTTTGTTTGATGGCAACTCAAGTTGGCTGCATCGCACTGAGACAGTGTTCCGCAACGCGCTGGCCCTTTGTGAAGCAGTGGGCTGTGGACCAGCAGAGCGCCAGTCGCAAATGGTCAATGGATGACGCTTTCCACGAAATCACTCACGGGCGCATGGAGATACCATCCCTCCTGATGTTGCGCCCTAAACCTGCTAAGCCGACGCATGCCGTGCAGCCAGTGAGGAAATCGCAGCCCGAACAGAGGGCGCCAAAAAGGCCAGCCCCCAGACCACATAAGGCCGAGCCGGCCCGCAAAAAAGGAAAAGGGAAAGGCAAAGGAAAAACCCGGGACAATTGGGCCGCATCACGCAACGGGAAGCCAATCTGCCGCCGTTTCCATGATACACGCCGGACAGAAAATCCCAGATTCGCGCATGTCTGCGCCATCAAAGGCTGTCAACAAGCCCACAGAGCATCGCAGCATCCAGCGAACCGCACGTGAAACAGTCCGGGGGATGCTCCGGCCGCCCCTCCGGACAACCTCGGCCGGCGGCATCAGACACACCCGGTCTTACATACGGATCCGCAGGCCACACCGCCACGCATTCGTTTGAATGGAGGGCTCCTCCTGGACATTTTTGCCGGCGTGCATGCACCCGTTTCTGCCGCAGCAGATAGGCAAGGCCTTGCACGCTTTGCATCGTTCGATTTGGATGCAAACGCTGCACACGCCAGGCCTCTTCTCCTGGGGTCTGAACCCCGTGACTCTGCCCCAGTCTCAGCCGAGCTCCCGGCCGAGCTCCCGCAGTTCCCGGCAATCCTGCCAAAGGCTTCCCGCCCGAAGGCCCCGCCCACGCCGACGCTGGGTCTGATCAACGGCCATCGCATCTGGGGCCAAGGCTTGGGAGCCGATGTGGCGTCGGCCGTACGAGCCCTCGTCCAACGAGAGGAGTGGCTTCGCCAACGGCAGAGGGTCCTTCAGCCGAAGATGATCGTTTGGGCGACTGGACCGCTGCCCATTTGACGGCGCCCAAGACGCTTCCGAAGGGTGCGCCCCGCACTTTGCCGCTGACTCCAAAGTTCGCCCCGGTCATCTCCAAGGTGCAGGCTACATGGCCAGAACTGCAGAGCGGCCCGGACATTCGGGCATCAGGTGCGGCAAGGATCTTGGCGAAGACTCCGTACTACGGTGGGTCAATGATACATCATCCACCGCAGATTGCTGGGTATGCCCAGCCAATCCCTAGGTATGCCCTCCTCCTGACAGTGCGCCCGCGCCCAAAGAGGCAACTTCGGCCATTCCTTGGCAGCGCAACATCCCGTGCCCGCCGCCAGCGCCGGAGGCGAGTGGCTCATCAAGCATGAAAGCGGCGACCCTTGCATTGTTGACTTGTTGTGACCGATGGTGCGCATGAAATTTGCTTGTTTGTTGCTTGGTGGCGTGCAGTGGTCGTTGTGCAGTTGTTGAGTTGGTCGTCTTGACGAATTTTGCATGAGTGAGTTGCTGTTGTTGACCGTCTTGCTTGCCCCGCCTCGCCCTCGCAGGTGCATCGATATCGTGCGGCCCTCAGCTTCTGCGTGTGGTTTGGTGTTGGGCTGAAGTCGGTCGTGTTGAGCTTGCCGTGAACAGTATTTGTTTCATCAGACATGGCTTGAATCTTGTGTTGGCCCTTGTGTTGCGCGTGCTGCGCTTGTGCATCCAGGGCTCCGTTCCAGCTCGTTAAGCCATCCCCTTTCGGGAGAGCCCCCCCTTTTTCCGACGGGTTCGTGCGGTCGGATGTCATGAATTTGGCGTCTTGAGCATGTACGGTGGCACGGCTGACAAACCCGTCGACAGGTACCTTGTTTCGCTGCGTGATTTTCGCGTAAGTCATTGTGTTGAGGGTGGACGCCCTCACATCTTGAAACTTCGTACGGGTCCGACGGATGAACTCGAGTCTTTCCGACAGCAGTGCCCGGCGAATCGAAAACCAGGCAACAGTTGCCAGTTGTGTCACTCGGCCCGCCCTTGAAGTTCTAATTTTCAGCGTTGGTATCTTCATATTTTGAGCTTAGTACGGATTTTGTCGGATGAAGTTTTGCGTGTCCACGGCAGAGGCCATTTGACCTTTACCTTCGTGCGAGGGCCTTGGAGTTCACAGCCATGCCATGAGAGTGCGTTGTGCGTGTCGATGCTCCGTTGTTTTGGTTGTAGCGCCCTGTGGGAAGGTCGTCTTGTTTTGCACTCCCATGCGGTGCGATTGCCCAAATGTCGCTTGCGTTCTTTTCAAGCTGGGCCTGGAGTCAATTAATTTTGACCGCCTGTGCCCATACTGTGGCCAGTCCTGATGGGGGATCCTCTGCGGTTGCCATGGGAGGGACACCCCGTCTAGCACGACAGCCTGACTTGGCAACGGCAGCTTCTCCCACCCGCTGCCCCCGCGTCCCGCCAGTGGTGCGAGTGGCAGGTGTGCCACTTGAGGAGTTGCTTCGCCGCGTCCCGGTGGACCCTCTGCCAACCGATGCCCCTTTGTCTCCTGCCACACTCGCTTTTGCACCCCCCCTTCAAAGGAGCCATGGCCCTGGGTAAGATTTCCGCAGAAAGGGACATCGTACATTTTCGGCTCCGACACGGCAGAATGCTCGCTGGCAGCACAGGCCTCCAGGACCGGGTGGCCTGCGCTGCACCGACGCCCTTTCCACTAAGTCGGCATCAACCCTTGTGGCACTCAGTTTGGCCCTGGCCCGATATGCAGAGTTTTGCCGGTAGCATGGTATCCCTCTACTCCCGTTTGATGAGGCCTATGTTTACAAGTTCCCCCTTCAGCAGGCTCCTTCCTCCCCGTCAACAGCATCCACACTGTGGACAGCTATCAGGTTTGCAATCCATATGCTGGGATGCGTGCACTCCGAAGATTTGCTCCACTCGTGAAGAGGAATATGGTGGACAGACTGGATTTGACGCGGTCTGGCTATAAGGACAAC